CCCCAACCCCAACCCCAACCCCAACCCCAACCCCAACCCCAACCCCAACCCCAACCCCAACCCCAACCCCAACCCCAACCCCAACCCCAACCCCAACCCCAACCCCAACCCCAACCCCAACCCCAACCCCAACCCCAATAAATATTTTTTTTAAATACTCCATTTAAAATTTATTACAGAAAATATTTTAGACTTCTTTTAAGCAAATAACCAAATTAAACATAATTTATCGACTCTTATGTAATTTTAGGATATATTAAAGTTAGCATTTAATAGGTATGAATTAATTAAATACCTATTTATACAAATTTATACTATTTCTTAGTTATTCTATATAGATTTGGTATATTATTTAGCTTTAAGCTTCACGAAATTTATATATATTAACATTAAATTTCATTTTTAATAAATTTTAATTCTTTTTTAAATAATTAACAAAAGAAGATACAATAAATTCAATTAAAATTTTTTTAAATAATTGGATATTAAATATTTCTAGAGTTATAATCAAATAGAATACAAGTAATTTATACAATCATGAAATAATAAATATTTTTGTACAATAGCTCAACTTAATTTGAGGATTCTTTTCTTTTGAGTACCATCAAACTATTCTCTTCTTATTTTTCCTTTCTTATAAGATTTAGAGAAATTAATTTCTTTATTTATTAATTTTGGAGATACTATTATAGTAGGTAAACTTAACCTTGAATATATAATATTTTAATAAATTTATTTAAATTAAATTAAATAAAATATTACTGGCTTTTTTTAACTGGAGATTCTTATCTTGAATTACTTAAGCTTTCTTTAGAGGAATTTTTGTCAATATTATTACTTGATATTACTGTATGAGGTGTATTAATTTAGTTAAAAGAAGCTATTTATTAGTTTTAATTATTCTTAGTTGAGCTAACAGAAATTTTATTACTCATATCTTTAGAAGATTATAAATTTAGTATATTTAAATGCTCTTATTCTGGTATTTAAAGTTTGCTCGGTAATTTATATCTACCAGTTTTTTCATCTAAATACTTATGAGTAAAATTATATTACATCTTTTATCTGATTACATTTTTTTTATTTGCATCAATTTAACTCTTAATAAAGCCAAGATTATCATCAGAATGTAAAGCTTAATACTTATTGTAAATCACATTCTTTTCTACTGATTGCATTAAACCATCAATCTTTATTTATAATTTTAATAAATTTTACAAATAATTAAAAATTTTTTTTTTAAATTTACATCCTGTAGGGAGGCTCTTGAAATTTTGTTATGATCAAACAAAGATGATATTGGCTAGTTTTAAACTGTTCTTATTTGGTATGGAGAGGGAGATAAATTTTTTTGAATTTATGAATTATTTTCTTATTATTTTTATTAATTTTATAATTGATAAAATTTTTTGTTAGTTTGAAAATTCCTAGGTGATAAATTATTATGAAGAATTTAATCTACTATAGAATTACGAGATTATAAATAAGCTTTTTAATTTTGTTAGCCATTATTTTGTTCTAATAAATCAATTGAATTTATTAAACTTTAAGCAGATTTTGATTAATTGTGTTTTATTTTTATTTATAAAGTAGACGATTAAGGTAATTAATTTTTTGATTATGTAGAACTGGGTTCATAGTTTTTATGAAAAAAGGAGTCTTCTTAAAAGGAGATAAGCGAATCTTATTAGGTGGATAACAGTTACTCGCTTTTTCTTTGTCGATAATCTAAATCATTTTTTTTTATTGATTATATTTGATTGATTAAATTCATAGATTTTCCAACAAACTACTTTAATCTAATTACATTCTAAATTGCTTATTCTTATTTCATTTATTTAATTTAGTTTTTTTATTTTATTTTTATTTGGTCATTAAATAATTCTTGTTCTTAATTTTTTGGAGATTTAAACTCTTTATATATGTTGATTTTTTCTAAGAAAGAGTTTTACTGATATTTATCAATTTCTTCAGTTATGTTTCTTAAAGAATCTATTTGAACTTTAGTGTATTTGCTTCTTTCTTCTTAACTTATGGGCATAATTATATTCTTTTGAGATAATTCTTAAATAAAAGATACTCTTCTTGATTTTTCTTCCTCTACTGGATTGGTTTCTATAAGTGATTGTTAACGTTTTTAATTTTGTATTATTTTATGAATTTATGCTTCAGTATTCAAATTCTTTTGAATCATACCCTAGTACCAAATCTCTCTTTCTTTAAATAAGTTATGAATCTCCTTTACCATATTTATGAATTGCATATTTTCAAAAAATTCCTATTAAAAAAAATAAATTTCAGTAAAATCTTTTAACAAAATTACTAAAATAATAAAACCTTTTTTTCTAAAACAAATAGCTCAGAATTAGAATAGCATACAGCTCTAGTAATTCTTTTAGATTTTTTAAAAATCTCATAATCACCAAAATATTAGTAGGGACCAAGTATAACTAAACTACATTTTTTTAATTTGGAATTCTTTATTTTTTCATTCCAAACATGATTGCTTTTGACTAATTTATCAGGAATACTTTTGAAATTATCTAAACTATCTTTAATTTCTACTGTTTACTGAAGCTATTAAAAAATTTATAAATTATTTTATTGCTTAGGATTACTTAAATTAAGTGTATTTTATTACTTCAACTTCACCAGATCTTACAAAATATAGATTTTTGCTTTTCTCTCCTTCTTCATAGAGAATATCACCTCTTTTAAATTACTTTATCTCTACTTACATCATTATTTCATGAACAAAAGCAAGGCTCCATCTCTAAAAAATAGATACATTTCTTAAAAAATCAATCTTTTCTTTATAAAGTAAATCATGATATGCATCAATAACTTCATTATAAGTAGTTGCTGTAATTGAAACAAAATGAGTGTCTTCTCTGCAAACAACAGAAGCTGTTCTTATACCTTCTGTTCTCAAGGCTATTTCACCAAAACTTTCTCCCTTTTCAAGAGTTTTTTTAATATTAAATCCTTCATTTTATAGTTAGACAACTGATTAAATCAATTGAGAGTCATCTGCATTTTCATCTAAATTTTATGGTAAAGGAAAGAACCTAGGAGTTTCTTCGAATTCATGCATAATCATTTATTTTATTTATTTTTCTTCTTTGTTATCTGTTATACTTTGATCAAAGGTTTTGGAAATCGAAGGAGTTAAAATGAACACAGCCCCTTCCAGTATTATGTAAAATTTTCTACCATAATCACCTAAATACAATTAATTAAAATTTAATAAGATTGAAATAATAATTTTATTATTCTTTAATAAAATACCTGCTTTGTATAATCTATGAAATTGTGGGTGTTTTTCATAAGTAATAAATTTGCATAAACGTAAGATTAACTCTTCAGGTAATTGTTTCTCAATTTCATTAAAGAATTTAACATTTCTAAGGCATTTTCTTACAAATTAGATTTCTTTTGCGTTTCTTTTACTTGGTTGCTTCACTAAAATGCATTTAAGAATCTTTTTATAAAAACGATTATAGTTAATTAAATTAAGCTAAATTATAGTTTTGGGCATAATAGATTATTGTCATTTAATTTTCATTCATGAATTGAAAAAACCAACGCATGTATTGTTTAATAAACATTGAGATTAAATGATATGTTGGTTAACTAATTGTTTATTCCTTTATTGCTAAAATAAACTTAAAAATAATCAAACTCAAACAAAATTTTTTACATCAACAGCATCTTTGTTTTCCAAATTTTAGTCAAACAATGCTATATTATCTATTTTTTAATGTATTTAGTGAGGCTTATACTTTGTTAGATCTATTTCTAGTGACCAATTTGTTTACTTCTTTTATAATATTTATAACCTATGAGCAATAAAATTGGGACTCATTTTTTAATTAGAGGGAGTAATCTATTAATTTGGTTCGATATTTTCCTAAAGCTGCAGATGATATTTCTAATTTTAAAGTTAGCTATTCTCTTCATGCAGATTTTATGATTGTGAGGGATTCAAATTTATTTATTATAAGCTTCCTTAAGAAGAATTAAGTCCCTATGAACTCTTTATTCGAATAAGCTCTGGTTCTTATTCAAGATTTAATTTTTGCTATGAATTAATCTAAAAAACTTGAGAAGCATGCAAAGAAGTTATTTATTCATTCATGTCTTGAGTTGTATTATTACTTTTAGAGTTATTGCTTTTGATGAGTTATAGCTAAGGAGATGATAATAAAGATATCAATTTTCTGCTATCTTATCTTTTTTAAAGAGTAAAAAGAGATACTATATCAATAACAACTTCTATGAAAGAGAAATTAATAATAATTTTTACTTATCTTGTACTTGCTAAGATACTTCATTTTAATTTTGCTAATTAATCTATGACATTTGCTTTAAATAATTTATTTTTGATGTCAGTATCTTTCTGAAAATCAATCAATTTTATATATATAAATGATATTTCTGTTTCTTTGATAACTAATAGAGTTAAGAGTAACTTTTAAACACTATTTAAAAAAAACACTCATTTAAGCAATCTTGAATGAAATTTTGTAAAATTTTTGATTTTAAGTTAATTTAAACACTATTCACAAGAAATTGTTAAATAAAAAATAGCTTAATAATTGCTTATGCTTAAAAATAATATATTTACTTAAATTTAAGTCAATGAAATAATTTAAATTTATTATCTGCTTTATTTAAAAATGTTAAAAAACTCATTTATTTTTTTATATAAAAAAGTATTTATTTAATTAAGTAAGTTATTATATTTTAATCGCTGATTACTTACAGTAATTCTTTTTATTTTTAAAACAATCTTAATATTTTAGTATTGATTAAAAAATTAAAGAAAGGAATGGAAAAATTTGTATGTTACTTAAAAAATAATATTATCAATAAATGTAATAAAACAAATATTAATTTATCAAAAAAAGCTTAAAATATTATGAGCTTAATAACAAATTGGAAATATTTAAAATAATTAATATTAATTAAATTTGAAATAAATATTATATTCTAAAAAAGATTAATTTTATGAAAATACTAAACTTAATATTTATTTTTTATACTCTTCCAACACTATATTTTAAGTCCATTAATTTTAACTGGTTTAATAATATACTAAATTACTAATCATTTTGTTATGTAAGTATTGTAATATGAATCTGACGTAGGGATTTTTGATAAACTAATCAAACTTTTTGTTAGATCCTTGTTTATTATTAGCTGAATATATAAAAAAATAATAAGTAGTTTGAATATTGTACCAATTTAGTTAATTAAAAGTATAGCAATAGCTTTATTGATTTATCAAAATATTAATTTATAATAATAAATCTTTAAAAATATACATTTAATAGAGTATTCAAAAAATATAAATAAAAATGTCAACTGGAAATTTAAAAGCTTCTTTAGACTCTCTTTCAACTAAATAATATACCTGCAGGCTCTTAGAATTAGGAGATTATGATAAAATGTACTTTGAATGCTTGAGTAATTTAACTAGTTCTCCTTAGATATCTAGAGAGGATTTCTAGAAAGAGTTTTAATTGCAATCTAAAAATGAAATTATTAATTCAGTACATATTGTAATTGAGGAAGTTGAAAAAAAGAAAATTGTTGCTGCTGGTAGTGTTATTATTGAAAGAAATATTGTAGGAAATGTTGGCCACATAGAAGGTATTGTTGCAGCTAAAGGTGAATAAGGTAAAGGATGGGGCTCTAAGATAATGAAGGCTCTTAATAAAATAGGATTGGAAAATTTGGGATGTATTAAATTAGCTTTATATTGCAAACCTTCAAATACCGCTTTTTATGAAAAGCTAGGATATGTTGCTGAAGGCGATGAGTGCATGATGAGAAAATGAAATAAAAAATTATATTGTTAAGTTGATTGGTTAGTAAAATCAGAAGCCAAATTTAACTAATACCTTTTTGATTTAGTTATAAACGATATTTATAATTAATATTACAGATTAAAAAAATTCTATAAAAATAAAATAAATTATTTATCAATCTTTCTCGTTTCTCAATGTTTATTATTTTTATTAAGTCAATAAATAATTTTAAGTTGCTAAGAAAAATTGAAAAAATTTTAGAAAATTAATTTAAGTAAAAAGAAAATAATTTTATAATATTTTTAAAAATCTCTACTTTTTATATTTTTATTTACTTTAGATAAAAAATTTCTTATGTCCTTCATCGAATTTCATAGTATTTTATATCTAAATATGATTTATTGTAAGAATATACTGTAATTATGTGATAGATATCTGATTTAATATATTTCAATATAATAAATAAACAAAAGATTAGTTTGAATAAATTATAATTTGCACACTTGAATAAATAAATAAGCAAGTATATACAAAAGAAAGAAACAAAAAAAATGGATTTCATATTAGAAGAAATCTAAAAAACAGTTCCAGACTTATTTGTTTTATGTGATGACATATAGAAATAAATGTCCAGCAAACCTAATAGGCTAATTAGAATAAAAAAGTAAATAAAACAATATTTTCAAGAGAATGGGTAAGCAAAAAAATAAATTAATGATAAGAGGTCTACTTTAGATTAATAGCAATTAGCAAATATTTCATCTAGTTAAGTGTAAATAAACAGAAGTCAAGTTAGGCACTTGAGCTAGCCAATAGTAGAGAACAAAAAAACAGATTCTTATAGTGAGTTAGACACACCTATACCTAGAGAGAGCTTTTAAGAAATCCCAATTAATGAAAATCTTCAAATAATGATCCTCAAGTTTATAAAAGAACTACATGTTTCTGAAGTTCTTGTTTAAAAATCCATAAAAGGATATAATGGAGATCCCTCTGTTTATCTAGGTTAAAGCAATCCAGTTTTACTAAATTTCGATTAAATTCTTTCTTAGATTTTAATGTATAAAATGGAATTAAATAAGTATAGTTCAACAAAATTAAGCAATATTTTTGATGAGTTATATAACTATTATACTGACGAAAGACTCTAAGTTGAAGATTAGTTTAAATAGATGCTACATCAAGATGAAATAGACCCATAAAATAACAGCTAAATAGAATAAATTGTCAAATAGCTTTTATAGAATGAGCTCTTACAAATATCAGCTCCATTTATCGAAAGTTCATTAGTTAATTCCCAAAACTTTTAGAAATTTTTGACATAAAATAGCCAATACGAAATTTAAAGAATAGCAATAGAATTAATATAACCTTGTTAAAAAAACCTAATAATTTATCTTATGAATCGATTTTTATTGAATAATTACATCAAACCTAGTATTGTAGTGAAGGTAAAAGAGTTGCTCAAAGATAAAAAGACTTATACTTATTTTTTAATTACTCCTAATACTACTTCTGATTCACTTATAAATATTGAAGAATATTCTTTTGATTCAGAAAATAATTTATTCATAAGAGATGGAGATGCTGAAAATAATATAAATCTAGAATAATTTATATCTCATATATTATCTTCCATCTTTACTCTACCTTTAGAGAGCTTCCTTCCAAATTACGCTGTCAACACAAAAGGTGACTTATTTAGAGTATTCAATTAAATACAGTCAAAAGACGGTAAAATCTAACACTCAGGTAAAAATTTTTATTTTTTATTTTCTTTTTGATGTCAATTATCTAATAAGTTAAGTTTATCTATATCAAAATCCTTATAAATACGTATTAAAGAAAATTAATGAGTATCAGTAAAAATCTGATACACCTAATAATTAATTAATTAATGTTTATACCGAATAAAATACAAATACGCACACAATTGAATATTCTTTAAATTAATTTATGGCTTAAATAAAAAATTTACTCTTCTTCATATTTTGCATAAATTTTATTTTAGTCAATTCTAAATGTAATATCAATAAAATAAATCGAAATAAATCATATGACGTTAATTTATTAAAAATTATTATTTATTATGAAAAGCTTTGAGAAATCCTATTTTCTTCTATAAAGAGGTAATGTCCTTATAGCTAAATGAGAGCTTCTTTTAAGAATTATTCAAGCAAGAGCATTTACTGCAGTTCTTTAAATGTTTGAAACTTATTATTGATGGATAAAAAAATGATTATCATTTGAAAGACAAGAACGGATAGTATTCTTTGTATTTAAATAATGAGCAATATCACTACATATTTTCTGTGTTATAGAGAATCAATTAAGTAATTTTTTTCTCTTGTTAATATCTATATTTAAAAATTAATTATTAAAGGCATTTATGTGGGTAAAAGAAGTTATACTCCCTACTTAGGGTTTTTTCTGTATAAGGGACATAATAAGCAAGGTTTATCCTATAATAAACGAATTCATATCTAACAATAAACAAAAAACTTTAAAAGAATATAAAGAATTTATGAAGAAAATTTCAATTGAGGAGTATATTTAAAAATTAGCTTCAAAGAGATCATTGCAAAAGTATAAAGAAGCTTGCAAATCCTTCGATGAAAACCTTAAAATAGCTATAACTTAAAAGGGGGAATCCTTAGATTATGTGCTCAAGTTATGGCTTTAGTAAATAAATCTTTCAAATATAAGCTCACCTAAGTATAAGTTAACCTTAATTTATTTTGCTTCTTCGCATTACTTATTTTTTAAGTCTTCTATTTCGGATCAAGCTATTTTAGACTAATCATGGAAATAGGAAGAATCATGGGAAAATGCGCTAAATATTCTTTACAGTGATGAGCACTTTGACAATGTTAGCTTTAATCCTTCTATATTTATAGAGCTACTTGCTATTTTCTTTGGAATAAATATCAAAAAGTATGAAAAGTGCTTTGAATCAATTAAATATTTCGAAGAAACAGAAGAAAATTTTTAACTCTTAGATTAATATTTTGCTCATAAAAAGCTGCTAGGCGATAAATTTTACCCTGAGAAAGAAACATTATTTGAAAAATCGCTGAAATATAAAAAATTTAAATTGGCTATGTATCTTTAAAAGTAAGGAGAGGGGAAAAAGTTACATAATGATACTTTGATTAAATACTTAGTTAAAGCTAACTTAAATAAACAGTATTTTGCTGATATTAGTGAAATTATTAGCTAATTAATGTCTAGCAATAAATAGCTAGTTCTAGATTATTAATGGAATCATATTTGGAATAATATATTTACTTCCATAGAAGATGATCCAAAATAATAAGAAACTACTTCATAGAATAGAGATTAAGAAGAGTAGTACATGCATGTCTATTGTACAAATTTTGGAGAAAGAAAAATCCCAAAATATATTTGGGAATAAGCATTTTAGTATAATGAAAAGACATAAGAATTTATATTTAGAAGAAAAGATATGCAGCAGTAAACTTCTCATTTGGTAGGTTACTACTGCCTACTAAAAACAGGATCTGAGGCTTCTGGAACGATATTAGTTGAGCATGCTACTAGGTACCCAGGTTTAAACTACATGAAGGACTCTCTAATGAAAAAGTTTATTCCTTCTTCCAGATTAAGAAAAGAATTTGTTAAGATTTAAGACTAATACTACTATTTTTCACACTTTAACTCTACTATAAATAGTCTATCATCTGTAATTCATTATTTAATATGCAAATTAAATTTAAATAATTTAAATTATTTTTCTTTAGTAGATCTCAGAAAAAGGTCCATTTTAGCTATATGAAAATATAGATAGGGAATAACTTTCAGATAGAATTATTTTAGAAATGATTATATACCCTGAGAGCAATCCTATATCTTGCTTCTTATCAGAAACTCAGCTAAATTCAAAATTAGGGTATAATTTTTATTTTATTTTGATTGTTATTTTATAATTTTAATAAAATTAAAAGATTAATTGACATTGGGTAGAGCGAAATTCTTGTTCAAAATATCGGAGTTATTAATGGTGAGTTTTAGCTATATGTTAAATCAATACTCTTTTGCATGTTTGAAATGAATTTATTAATACCAACGAGTGTTATAGATAAATATGCAAATATTAACAGTTTTGATGTGTTGAAAGAGTGGTTATTAGATATTTCTAAGCATTAAGATGATTTAATTAAAATTTCATAATATAAATTCAAACAAGGTTAAAATATTTTTTAGGAATAGCAAGATAAAATTTCAATTAACTATTTTAATAATTGCGAGCCTTAATTTTATTTTGGTATACCAATTTAGAAAGAAGCAATTAAACATCTGTTAGAAAGACTGGTGACTATAGTTAAAGTGATGAAGTGGTGTAAAAAAAAGAATACTTCAATAAGCCATTAAGAACTTTTTAAAATTGTTGATAAGGAGCTGGCTAGCATATATGAGCAGATTAATAACGATTAATAAACTTTCCTTGAAAAAAGATATAGCTAGATATTACAAAAAAATATTCATCTATAAACATTTAATACTGTTAATATGGCTAGTATGTTTTAAGCTTTTAGCGAAAAAAGAAGAGGGGATATCACAACAATTGATTAACTGCTATCTTAATTTAAATAAATAGGTCCTACTTAAGCATTGGAAAAGATTAAAAAATTCATTAAGATAATAACCACATCTGATAATGAATCTGAATATCATAAGGCGTATAATCTCAAAAATATTAAACAATTTAGCTTTTTCAATAGAAATATTCTGTTTAAATATATATCATAACCAGCTTAAGAAGAGCAAATAATTAAGTTTCTTTAAGAACAAAAGCTTGAAAAGCCCATAGATTATTTAAATTTGAGCAACTGCACTATATTAAATTCTAAATTGCTAAAATAATTTTAACTAGAAAGAATTTAAACTCTAATTTTATCGAATACAAAAATTGCAGACAGTGATCTTGTGACAATAGCAGATTCGTACAAAAGTCTAGTCTACTTAGATATAAGCAATTGTGATGATATACATTATATTGGATATGCAAAACCACTTACTTATCTTATGTCTAGCCAAATAGTCTTTCCCTCTTTAAAGACTCTTGTAGCAAATAACATGAAAAATCTTTGGATTTTAGATGTTTCGGGATCTCATATTTAGAATATTTCTGTCAGCGATTCATTAAAAGTAAAATTTAATTAAAAATTACTTTTAAAAAATATATTTTTTTTTTTTGATAAAAACAGCTTACTTACTTTTTCATTAATTGTCCACAAATTAAAAAGTTATAAGTTTAAGGATGCAAATAGCTAATGAGTAAAATCATTTTATTTTAGAAAATTTTTAAATTAATCCAAATTATTTTTTTGATAGATGAGTTAATTGTGATGTATGTACTTGAGGGTATAAGTATTTAATTAGATGAAATAACTTCTGATGGAAAGTTTGAGAAAGCAATATAGGTTATTAGAGGAAGCAAAGGGAATTTCATGTAATCCTACTAAGCTGCCATAAATGAAATATACTATGAATAGCACTATAATGATAATGTTAGTATAAAAGATAATTTAATTGTGTTGTCATAAGCCTTTACTAAAAGAGACCTTCAACATGTTTTCCCTAAAAATTTTGTTACTAATGTTATTGGCAATTTGTTTAATTCAAAGAAAGCTAACAAATAAATAAATGATGAATTCTTCCGCTTTATGTTCAAATTTTTCTAAAAAAATCCACACATCAAAGATGTCGATTTTAAGAGCATTTGTTAAGAAAAAAAACCAATAACTTTTTTAGTAAATTAATATTTTTTTTATATTAAATAAAATACAACTTTTTTTAATTTAAATAGAATATATTCTATGAGTCTCTAAATAGCAATGATAAAATTTGTTAGCAATATGATTCTTATATTTTTAACAATATTGATCTAGATGATGAAGAGTGCTAAGTTGTTGCAAAAATAATTTAGAAAACTAAAAAAGAAGGAATCAGTCTGTAGTTTACAAATGTTAACAGATTGAATTAAGATAAAAGTATGCAAGAAGTACTAGAAGCTATATCTAGTAACAAAATCACTTACACAAAAATAGCTTTTGAAAAGAATGATCTTAGCAAATCGTAGATTGAAATACTGAAGAATATGTTTATTAACTTTAATGGAAGAATTTAACAATTAAAGATTAGTCATTGTAACTTAGACAATTCCCATTTAATTACTCTTTGTGAGGGCTTAAAATAACTAAAGTATTTAAGAGTTTTGGATTTGTCTGGGAATTATATTTCACCAAAATCATTTGAGTATTTAACTCCTTGCTTTGATTCCTTTTAGCTATCATTTTAGACTCTGATATTGGATGATAATAATCTTTGTTCTGACGATTTTGAAAAAATTTAACAATGGAAATATATTAAATTTTTACAAATCAGATCATGTTTTCTCAGTTCAAATTAAATAACCAATCTTTAACAATACCTATGTTCAAATTAAGAATGCAAATTGACTCATCTAAATCTCTCATAAAATAAATTAACTCCTCACGCATTCAGTATATTATCAGAAGTACTGAAAAGAAATACAACATTAAAGGAGCTAGGCTTAAGTAAAACTATACAAGATGGCACTTAAGAAGCTTGTTTAAATTATCTAGTTGAAGGTCTTAAGTAAAATAATAATTTGACATTGTTAGATATAAGTCAAAATAAGATTTAAGATGAAGGATTTATAATAATCTTTAATTTCCTTAAAGAAGAAAATTATTTAAGATAACTTAAAATTCTTGAAGACAACTCCTTCAGCTTAGAAATAATAAATTCATTTTTAGAATTCATAAAGCACAATAGCATATAATTGAAACAATTAGAATTATCACCAAGACCTTATATTATCGAATTTGATGATATTTACTAACAAATTCTACACTAACTAGAAAAAAATACGAATGTTTACTCTATGTTAAGATCTAGGCCTTAAGATTTATTTAGAGTAATTTATTTATTTATTTATTTATTTATTTATTTATTATAATTTATCTTTTTTTTATCTATTAATAATTACTAAGTCAGCTTTAATTCTTATCATTTTTTTAAATGTTTTTTTATATAGAATAAATCGTTTACTAATTCCAACATGCTTGATTACAAGCAAGAAGCAGTTGATTTCTGTAGATTAGGTCTTAGCATTGATGGAGGAGGTATGAGAGGTATCATTCCTGCTACAATGATTAAGGTTTTGTGTGAAGAAACAAAGTATAAGGTACATGAAATTTTTGAAACTGTTGGAGGTACTTCAATAGGTGGATTGCTAGGTATTTCTTTATTTTTCACTAATTTAAAAGAATCAAAAAAATTTTTTTAATATATTTAGCTTTAGGAAGTACAGGAACTCTTGATGGAGCTAATCCTATTTTAGATATGGATTAGATGGTTAACGTATTTAAATTAGATGGTGCAAATATTTTCAATACTTCTAAGCTCAAGGCTATGCTCAATAATTTAATGGACCAAGCCAAATATGATCCTGCTGGTCTGGAAAGCGTTCTTTTCAGAAACTTCCAAAATTGTAAGCTCTCAGATGTTATTAAAGGAACAAATGTTATTGTAACAGCTGTAAGAAGAGAAATGAACCAAGGTTTGATAAATTTAAAACATATAATTTTTACTAACTAATTTTTTTAGGTAAAAGTATAGCTAAAGTATTTAGAAGTAGAGAAGCTATTTTTAATGATGACAAAAACTTTTACATGAGAGACGTAGCAAGAGCTACAAGTGCAGCCCCAACTTTCTTCCCTTCTGCAGAAATCAAAAACATAAATCAAACAAAATCTTATAGTCTAGTAGATGGAGGTGTAGGACAAAACAATCCTTCAAAATTGGTTTTAGAAGATATTAAGAAAGAGGCTTTAAATAGTGGTAATGAAAACAATTTCTTTTTGCTCAGTCTTGGTACAGGAGAGCCTAAAAAGTCTTAATAGCTCAGTAAAAATGCAGGTCTGTTAAATGTTGTTAATATAATTGATAGTTTAGGAGAAGGAGCTTCTGCTTATGTTGATATTGAGCTTAAGCAAAATTATGGAGACAAATATCTTAGAATATAACCTTAAATCCCAATAAGCAAATCAGATGCTGAGTTAGATAGTATCGACCCTAAAATAGTTGAAATTTATTAATAAACTGCAGAAAATGAAGCTCGCTTATATTTATGTGAACAAAGTAAATATGGTCCTTTCAATGATAGACCAATTGTTGATTGGTTTGCCGAAAATACATAGCGTAAAAAAGATGTTTACATATGATTCAATTATAAGTATGTGAAACATGCATATATTTATTGTCAACTTAAATTAATAAATAAATGTTATTTGATTTTTATATTTATTAATGAATACTTTTTTTTTCCCTCTTAAAAAAATTTAAATAATTAATTAATTATTTATTTTTTATAATAAATAAATTTCAAATTAATTTACAAAAACAAAAAATTGTAAAAAGAAAAAGAACAAAAGAAATTCTAAATACAGTTTGATTGCTTAATCAGAATGCTAAAAGTGGAGCAGCATTCATTTTTTAAACACGCATCCAATCTCGTTAAGTTTTTAAAACAATATTTGATTAAGATGAATCAACCTGTATTTAGATATTTCAATAGAATATATTCTTAATCATTTGAAAAATATATTCGAACATGTATTATCAAAAACAAATCCAACTTTTCTCCCTTTAAAAAGCTATAAAAATAAATTAGTAAATTAAAATAGTTTAAGATACAACGTGCTCTTGAGATTTAGAACTTTGGCAGGACTTGAAATATTTTTTATAAATAAAATAAAAATAAAGCATATAAAATTAAATAGATAAATTAAAATAAGTAAATAAAATTAGATAAATAAATAAATTTAAAAATAAATAAATAAACAAACAAACAAATTAAAAATTAAATAATAAAGAAAGATAAAAAAAGAAATTAAATATAATAAGAAATATTAAAAACTAAGAAAAAAAAAATTAATTGCCAAAGTGCACTTTCTATTTTTAAAAATTTCAAAATTTTTTGAAATTAAGAAATTAGAGCAACAGAATAATTTTAATTATTTAAATTTCTAAATGTAAAGATCAAGAGTTACCAAATTAAGATTTAAAATTAACTCAGATGATGTTTCATAAAAAGTAAACAAAAACTAATAGAAACTTAAAAAGAAATAAAAATAATTTTTAATGTTTAGAACTTTTTAAGACCTAAAAATAATTCAGCTAATAAATATTTCACATGAAACAAGCCAAAATAATTCTAAATATACCCATAAATAAAAGATTATTCTATTTTTTGTTTATTGAAATTAAAAAATAAAATGTAAAAGAGTTAACAATTTGTGTAAAATAGTTGTAAGTATTTATTACATTAAAGGAATAAATAAGAGTAGCTCTAAAGACATTGAGAAATAAAATTTTATTTCACAAACTTAAATACTTTTATTCAAAAAAAATTAATAATATTTTCGATAAAAACAATCTAAAAATATATTTTCCAAGGTGATCTATTATATAATTTATGCAACAATAAATTTATTTACAAAATATATATTAATTTGGTAATAATATATTAATAAATATAAAATAGATTATGACTTTTTAGCTTATAAAAAGGAGCAAATTTATTTAATATAAAATAATGAGAAATTGAAATATTTTCTAAATTTAAATATTAACCAATAGTTGAAAATTTGATTTAAAAAGTTATTTAAGTTGGGATACAAGTTAATATTATATTATATATATATAATTACATATGGAAAACTTCAAAAAATTTTAAGTACAATATTTATATTTATTTTATGATATTTTATTGATAAATACATTATTTTGTTTTAGATATTACATTTTGATCAATAATCATGCTTTTAAATTTAAAGATAAGGTGAATGATGTATCAGTGTATCTATTAAAGGTTGTTCCTATCAAGCTATCACATTATGAATAGACTTCTTAATTGTGAGAAACTATTAGTTTTTATTGTTTTGTAATTAGGTTTCTAAATGTTTCAATCACATTCTATGTATTTGATGAATCAAGAGCAGCTTCTGACTCATCTAATATCAAAAAAGGAGAATCTTTTGCAATAGCAAGGAAAAGAGCTATTTGTGCCAAAGTCTTCTCACCTCCACTTAACTCTTTTTCTGGATTTAAAGCATAAGCTTTTTTAGGAGGGCAACAAAAGTAATTTATTCCACCTTTATACTTTTCTTCTTCATCACTAACTGTTAAATCAGCATTTCCTTTTTAGCCTTAATGTTTTCCTTTGAGTTTAGTTAATTCACCATAATATATTTTTACTTAACTTTAAACTTCTTTAAAGAATTCATCAAATTTTTCTTTACGTAATTTCTTGATATTTTTGAGATCTTCTTCTGCCTTCTTTTTTTCAGACACTAATTCTGCTTAGCGATTTTTTAAATTTTCTTTTTTTACTTTCATTTCTTCACTTGTAACAGTTGCACCCATTAGTCCTTCAGCAAGGTCTTTTGAAGCATATTCTTCAATTTTTTTACGTAATTCTTCTAAGCGGTCAACTAGACGATTTTAATAATTTAACAAAGAGCCTATATCTACAGTCTCCAATAACTAAGTTAGAAGACTCTCTTTTGTTTCATCTACCATTTATTATTGGCGAACAGTCCTTTTCTTCTAAAATTAGCTTTTATCTTTAAAAAGCATAAAGTAGTTAAGCATTTCAATTTCACTAAATTTATTTAGAGATTCCTATAGCTTTACATCATTTATTTATGACAAAGCCTGTGTATATTGTTTAAGAGACTTAGTAAAATCTTTTGAAAGAGTTTGTATTTATTCTTTTTCATCTTAAGACTCAATATCATCTTGCTATGAGGATTAACTTTTACTCTTACTATCTAACTCTTCCATCATAGAATCATTTTAGGCTTTATTATTCATTTTAGACGAGTCTTTAAATTCTATTTACTTCAATTAGCATTCTTGCCAAAGAGTTTCTTTTTTATCTATTAATTACCCTATTGAGTGCTTTATTTGAATTATATCTTTTCTAAGTTGATTTGGTTACTAAATTAACAGCTAGTAGCTGCTTTCATTTTCTTAATTTATTTCTTAAATTTCCTTTTCAAACTATTATACTTCAGATATAGCTTTCTTGTATTTGTTGTCTAACTCGTTTTTAGTGTTTTAAATTTTGGTAGAAACATTTTTAAATTGTTCAAGTAACTCTTCGAAGTTTTTTTTATTTTCATTGTATTTTTCTTATGCCTTAATAATATTATCAAGCTTTTCTTAATGAGACTTAATAGAATTATTAATATCTTGTACTTTAGTTTATTATTTCTCAATATTTTTGAATATTCTTTCTACTGTATCGGCGTTTACAGAAATTAATTCTTTAATATCAATTTTATATTTTTTACAAAAAGGATCATAAACTTCGCTTCTCTTTTTGTCAATCTTTTCTTAGGTATCTTGCAACCTTTTCTCAATTTCTTTCACAGTGTTTTCAAGATTTATAATTTCTAAGCTTTTTGCAATTACATTTTTTATTTGCTGTTTTTTTTCTTCAAGTTTTTTGATTTTCTCTTAAATAGAAGTTAATTCCTTTTAAAAAAAATTATTTAATTAAACTTAAAATTTATTAAATAAAAGCTACTTACTGTATTTGTTATTTCGATTGAAGATTCACGAACTTGTAACTATTCTATTAATTTATTGTATTTTTTTTCAGTGTCTGAATTTTTAATAGATTCTAGCTCTACCATCTTCTTATCTATTTATTTTTCTTCATTTTAGATCTTTTTTTGTAGGTTCTAAATATTTTATTCTGTTCCTAAATCCTTTTTAGAGTATTTCTCTTTGTCACTACTAGAAATTTAAATACTTCCGCTGGTCACAATGTCTCCATCTTTTGTAATAATCTAATAAACTTCTTTAATTTTACGATTTCTCAACTAAAAAGCTTTTTCTGTGTTTTCGCAAATAACTTTGCCTCTTAATAAGTATTTTAATGTGTCTGCTATTTTTGCCTTTAATTCTGGATTTTCTTCATATTTAGATGATCTTTCATCAATATCAACAAGAGATGTAGCTAGTTCACCTAAATTACCAATTCTGGCCTTTACTAAATCATCATCTGAGTTCGGTAAATTTTATAAAATCATAACATCTCTTGCCTTAAAAATTTTATAAAAAATTATCTTCAAATCTTACTCTTAAAAATTATTTAATTACTAATCCTTATGAGGCTAAGGTAACATTTACTAGAGAGGCTGTTTAAGGACTATCCACAACCTGTTATTTTAAAAAATTTTAATTTATCCTTAAATTAAAATAAATAATTACCAAGCATGATAGGAATGAACCTAAAGCTATTTTTATAGACAAATCATAGGATTTATTTGAATTATTCCTAATTAATTCAGAAAATTATCCATAAAATCCTTTAAATTTATGAAGTTCTCTATACACTTTATTTTAATTTCTAATTTCTTCCATTTACTCTAACTCATACTCTCTTTTATAAAAATAAAATAAATTTAAAAACTAAAAATGAATTGAAAATATTACAAGGAAAGCTTATTTGATAATAGTACTGATAAATCCTTTTAAATGTTTTCCATCTTGAGAACATTATCTTTTCTTTGATTTTCTAATTCTATTAATTCTTACTTAATTGAAGAGATTTCCTATTATTTTTACTAAAGTTCTCCTTATTTAGAAATTTAATTAGTCTTTGCCTCATTAATTTTTGTTTCAAGCTCTTCAATGTGATTATTTTATTTAGACTAAGCCTCTATTGACACTTTTAATTGAGAAAGAGCATTATTCATATCATTTGCAAGCTTTTTACTCTCAAGTTCTAAGTTCAAAGTTTATGAATTGCACACTCTTACTAATTCTTGATACTCTTCATAGTTGTCTTTCAATTTTTTATTCTCAATTTTGCTTTTTTAGGATTCTTTCGATTGCATATCATTCAAAATAGACTCTTCTTTTCTCAATTGACCATTTAATTTTGCCAAGCTATCATTAATATCTTTTATTTGATCTTAGAAACTTTTTTGCAATTTAGCATTCTCTGAAAAACTTTTAGCATTCTTAACTTAATCCTCCTCTTATTCCAATTACTCCTAAAGTTCTCTAATTTATTGCTTAATTTACTCTCTTTCTTTCTCTTTTTTAGACTGTTCTTTTTGCAAATTTTTAATTTTCTAATATTTTAAATTAAAATTTAGATTTATTTGCTTTTAAAAAATAATTTTACAATATTGTTCTACTAAATTTTCTATTTGATTGCTCCTTCTTCTGTTTTTCTTTCATCTAATTTATTTTGTGTGGTTGATAATGCTTTCATTTCTTATAAAATGCTGCTGTCAATTTAAAAGAAGTTAGCTTATTCGATTTTGACTTCTATTTATTTTATTTCTTCATTTAAGGATTCATATTTCTCATTCTATTCACTTATGCTTCTTAATTTTTAATCCTCTTTTTTTAGATTCTTTTATTCTGAAATAATTTTAATGGTCTCATCATTGATTGATTTTATTTATTGATTTAACTCATCATATTCCTTTTTATATTAAAGACTTCCGCATGCTTTTTCAATGATTTCTGATAGTTCTTCTGGACTTTTCTTAATGAGTTTATCAGTTTCGCCTTAAAGCATAAAAGATTATGGACCTATATAAATAATTAAATAAATTGCCAATCTATAAATATTCTATTATTTACCAATATTATATTTTTTAAGCTATTCTAAATATTAATCTTGATTTAATATGTTGTTATTCATGTAAAATGTTATTTATTTTTTTCTGTTTTAGGTTTTTTTAAAGGATATTTTTTAACGCTTATCTTATAATACTACCTCTACTGAGCACATATCAGGTTTTGATTGCTAAGTTATACTACTAATTGGATGATGATTTCTTGCATTTTCTATATTGAAAGCAAAAGTCAAAGCATCAACTATATTACTTTTACCACAGCCATTAGGACCTATTATACCAGTCATTTAAGTAAAAGGTCCAATTTAATGCTTACCTCTAAATGATTTAAAATTTTCAACCTCTATAAAGTAGATATTCATTTCTAATAACTTTAATAAACTATAATTTTTTTTTTTTTTTGAAATTTGAAAATTAATTTAATCAGATAATATCTTAATTTATAATTATAAATCCCGCCACAAAAATTTCACAAATGAATGTCTTTTATTAAAATTCTAAATATTAGCTAATGATTAGCTAAATAATCTAGTTTTTATCAAAAAAACATAAAACAATTTCTATTTTATTGTTAAATTATAAATTCTTAACAAAAATAAAGAGTGAAAAGTAATATAAATAAGTTCAAATAAGGTGAATAAAATATTTTAATTCTGCTTAAATTAATATTTTATTAAATTTATACAATTCAGAGAAATATTTCTTGCTAAATTTTCCTTTTTATATTTTAAGTGAAAAATTAAACTAAAAAAAATAAAATAAATTTTAACAAACGAAAATGAACAAAATGAAAAATTTTTAATTTAAGTTAAATTTAAATTTTTAAATAAAATTTAAAAATATTTTTATTATTATTTAAATAATTTTTTTTTAATTTATAAAAATAAATAAAGAAAGTAAATATATTTGAATGAAGTTATTTATAAAAATTTAAGAAAGCATTTTAATTAATATATTTTCGTTTATTTCTATAAAAAATATTTTGCTCTTTTTTGATTTACTGAAAAATTTTCATATATTAAATAAAAAAATTTTTTTTGAACCTATTTTTTCATTATTATTTAAGTTAAAAAAAATATTTTAAATTTTTAATAAAATCAAAATTAAATATTAGTTACTATTTTCTAAAATTATTCAATTTAACTTTTAACTAATTTAGATATTTTTAATAAACTTTAGTTATCAAAATTTTTTGAAATGATAACAAGTTAAAATAAAATTTAATTTTCAATTAATTTATCTACATTGATTTTTCAATATTTGATCAAAATTGATATCTTTCAATTTTTTTTTATGCTTCAATTTACTTAAAATTATTATCTAAAAATGAAAAAATTCTCAATTAATATTTGCATACTTGTTTAAAAGGAGTGCTATTAAATATCCTTCAATTTTTACTTTTTTTATTAAATAAAAAAATATGTTTATTTTATGTAAACAGATATTTTTTTCTAGTTATTTCTTATAGATAATCTTTCAATAAATTAATTGAAAGTGCGTTATAAGAGTCTCTGAATTATAGGATTGGTGGGGGAGAAGATTGATTATATTATTAAAAGATATTTCTATGGAATTAAGAAATAATATCATTAGAAAATTAGCACATATCATTCAAAACTTAACTGTGTAAATGCTTAAGAAAGATGAAGTACAAACTTAATTATGCGTTATATGAAACCTAGATAAACTGTTTTTTTGTAAGCGATTGTTGGAAGTATCGTTTAAAGTTTATATATTATGACAAAAATAAGCATGATAGAATAAAAAAATTAGAAAAGGATAAAAGTGAAATGAATTTGGCAAAATTAAGATACAAGTTGAGTTTGAGTGAATATATGCATGCATCAAAAAATAGAGTGATATCGACCCCCTTTAAGATATGCGATCACACCTTTAAAACTAAATACTACTTTGCTTAAGCTAGATATAGGATATATTAAAGCATTTAGTAAATTGATATTTGGAAATGTGACGCACTTTGGTGATAGATAAAAATGGAGTATTAAATCAATAAAATACATCAAATGTATCGTAATTAATAATAAATTAATTGTATAGTACAAAATAATAGTCCCTTGTATTTAAGAAAAATAAAAAAATTAATTAGAGCAGATAAAGAAGAATCCTTCTGATAATACCATAATTTACATTTACATAATAATTAAACTAAATTATTTATCTTTCAGAAAAAAGAAGATAACAAAGCAAAACAAGCTTAAACTATAATATATATTTAAGATGCTATCCAAGATTTCCAAATTTTCCTTTTCTTCCTCTATTTTGAAGAGTACTGAATAATTCTTTAAGCAAGCTGGTAAAATAGCTAACATTCCTGAAGAAGACGTAAACTTCTACTTCGAACCTGAATTGAGTTGCTAGATTAACATTCCCTTAAAGAGAGAAAATGGTGAATTCATCAATGTTAACTGCTATCGTACCTAACACAAGTAACACAGAGTTCCTACCAAGGGTGGTTTGAGATTCATGGTCGGAGTTACTACTGAAGATGTCCATGCCTTCTCAGCCTTGACAACTGTTAAGAATGCTATTGCTGCAGTTCCTTTTGGAGGTTCTTTCGGTGCTATCTCCATTGACCCTGCCTTGATGACCTAGAGAGAAGTTGAACTCATCACCAGAAAATACACCACTGAACTTTGCAAAAGAGGTTTCATTGGTGCTTCTATTGATGTTCCAGGACCTGATCACCACACTGGAGAACGTGAAATGAACTGGATAAAGGACACCTATCAAACGTATGCATATTTAACCTTTATTTTTAGAGGATAATTAAATTAACTCCACCACATATACTACATATTATTGCTTTCTAAATTGAATCAAAATTAAACACAAAATTTTATTTTTTGTCTTATTAAAATAGTTTCTATGGTTAAAACGACATTAATGCTTAAGGATGTGTCACTGGTAAATCTTTGGTAATGAATCCTTTCATTTTTCTTTTCATTTCAAAGAACATTCAGCGATTTTAGAAATCATAATGATTTAAAATAACTGATTGAATTAGTTAATTGCTAGATTAAAAATTAAAATATTTGATTTAAAAATAGAATTAAGGTGGTATTAGAGGAAGAGTTCAAGCTGGTGGCCTTGGTGCCTCTATCTACTTGAATTATTTATTCAATCATAAAAAGCTTGCTTAAAGATTAGGCTTAGAATAAGGTATTGCTGGAAAGACCTTCATTATTCATGTAAATTTGTTTGTTATTTTTTAGTTTGCACTTATTTTAAATAGAAATATAGAAGTGATAAGAATAAAATAAAAGATTTCTTTAAGAAGTATTAAGTAGTAAAGTGATTAAAATGAAAAGTATGCAAATTAGTGAAAAAAATTAGGATTTTGATTTCATTTGAAAATTATTTGTTTCATCATTTTGAGACTGCCCTATCAAAAATAATATCATATCTTATCATATTTACTTTGTTTATATTTAATTTATTTATTTATTTAGCATTCAATGTGCTAAATAAAACAAACATAATAAATTTTTGTGATAAATATGTAAAAATTTATTTAATAAATAGAGTTTTGGTAAAATCGGTTACTGGACTGCTTTCTATTTACAAGAATTAGGTGCCAAGCTTATTGGTGTCATCGAAAAGGACGGATCTATTTACAATCCTGAAGGTAAATAAATTTTTAGCTTAGTCTACCTTTAAATGAGTTTAAAACTTTAAATAATATTATATTAGGTATTGATGTCAATCTTGTTAAGCTTCACTTTGATAAGAACCACAGTTTTAAGGGATATCCTGGTGCTGAATTCTATCCTGATGAAACTGCTATGTATAAATAATGTGATTTACTTATTCCTACCTATGTTAATCACCTTATTAATAAAGGTATTTTTTACTTATTTTTCTTAACTACTTTCTTTAACATTAGCAAGATAGATTGAATTAACAAAATTAAGATTAAAATTAGATAGTGCAATCAATTTAAACAAAATTTTATTAATTATAAAATTAGATAATGCTGATAAACTTAACTGCAAGTATTTAGCAGAAAATACCAATGCCGTTGTTAGCTATGAAGCTGATTAAATTTTGAACAGCAAGGGAATCGTAGTATTCCCTGATGTTTTAATTTCATCTGGACCTATCGTAGTTAGCTACATGGAATGGTTAAAGAATCTCGAACACATTCGTAAGGGAAGATTAACTCGTAAGTGGGAAGAATAAAGGTAAAATAAGCTAACCATATTTTAAATTGCGAATTTAATAAATATTTTCATAATACTAAAAGTAACTACTCTTTAATGGAATTCATTTCTTAAGCAACTGGCTTAAAAATGGAAGTTAGTGAAGAAAACAAAGAAAAGCTTCAAGGTGCTTAGGAAAGAGATATCGTTAACTCAGGTTTAGAAGCTATTATTGAAGAATCAGTTGATGAGCTTCTTCCTATCCTTGAAAAGAACCCTAGTATTTCCTTACGTGATGCCTGCTATGTTGATGCTTTAACTAAATTACACTCTCATTACAAAACTGCTGGTATTGCACTTAGCAACGCCGTTAAAATTGAAAAGAAATAATGAAAAAAAAATTGAATTTAAATATTTTATCAAATTGTATTCATACCCATCTTTTCTATTTTTAAATTAATTAAATGTCAAATAGAATTAATAACGATTCTTGTTTACAAATTATTTAAATTGTTTATTTTATAGCATAAACAAACATCTTTTAAATATTTTTAATTTACAATTGATATAAGTATTAGCTATATTACTAAAAGAAAAAAATTAAAATTTACAATTTTAAGATTAATTAAAAAAAAATCTGATGAAGGCGAGATTCGAACTCGCGCCCTTTCGGAATAGAGCCTTAATCTACCGCCTTAGACCGCTCGGCCACTTCATCTTCGCTGAATTTTAGATTTAAAAATATAAGGATATTAGTAAATATTTTGTGTTGTTTATTTTATATTTGCTAAACCACCATCATAATTCAAATTAATTTAAATAATTTAAATAGAATATTTTCTAAGCACAAATCTAAGTTTTGTTTTATTTATATTTTAATAAAGATTCTAATATTACTATAGCTGGTTTTCGTAGAAGATTATTATTATTTTATTCTAAAAACGTTTATATTGTTAATTTTTGAAGGAGTATGTGAAAATTATTATTTCCATCTAATTAATAGTTGTTATTTTACTTAGGTATTTATTGATTTATTGAATGAATTTTTATTTTGAATATTTATTTAAGATGAATAACATGCAATTAAGTTAAAAGCACTGAATAAAAAAAAATCTCTTAATATCAAATAGTGATAAATATTTAGCATTTAATGAATTAATATTTGATTTTTAAAAGACATATGACATATAAATATATTTTTGCAATCACATTTAAATAAAATCATTTAGAAGCTTATTTTTTATTTTATTGCTAGTATTATGACTTTCCTTTAGACATAGCGGTATTAAAAAGATCTTTGTATAATTTATTAGTTGGTTCTCTCTTAAGGCATTCCCAGAAAGAAGCAGCAGCTTCAGCATAGTTTTCAATTCCGTTGTAAATTTCTCCTTCTCTGAAATATGTTTTAATCCATTCAGGGTCTATTTTTTTAGCTCTGCTTGTGTAGCGAAGACCTTCTTCAAAACGTTTTAAGAAAATATAACAAGCTGCTACGTTAGTGTGAATTGCAACAAGATTAGAATCGTATTCAAGAGCACTTAAATACTTTTAGAGAGCTTCTTCATAATGAGAGGTTCTAAATAATTCATTACCTTCATCTTTTAAAGCTATAGCCTTTGCATTATCAATTGTTTTAGGAACAAATTCTTCATCTTCCTTTTTCATATTTAACTTATTTTTGAACTCTTCTGCTAATTCCTAATTAATATCATTTTTTGTGTGCTTCTTTAAAATCTAATAAAGATCCATGTGTCCATGCTCGAAAGCTAATTATAAAGGAGTTTTCTATTCATGTAAGTAGTTGGGGTCTGCTCCTTTTTCTAAAAGAACATTCATAAAAGGAATGTTTCCTTTTTCTGCACATAAGTGTAAGACGCTCCATCCATTAGGATCATGAACATTAACGTCAGCATTATGTGAAATAAGTAAATCAAACAAATCTGATTTGCCATAATCTACACTTAAAATTAAAGGAGAAGGTATCACACCCTTTTTATCACCATTAGGGGAAGCACCTTTTTACAATAAGAATTCAACTGTTTTAACATGGTTATAGCCAGCAGCCCAATTGATAGGGAAACCAAAAGTGCTGGGTTCTTCTATATTAGCTCCTTTAGAAATCAAATACTCAATTGTTGATATATCTCCATTGCTACTAGCTAAGTGAATTGCAGATGCATCCTAAGTTAATAGAATAAATATTTTTACTTATTGATATGATTAAATTTAATTTTCATTAATTTAAATAAATTATTTATGATTTTTTCTAATTGAATTTAATAAAATTTTATAATTTATTTACTCCTCCTCTCTTTGATAATGGGTCTTGTTTGAGCTTGTCAACCATGTATTAAATTATTTCTAAGTGTCCATGTTAAGCAGCTATGAAAAAAGGATTGTTCTTTTCATTATCAAGAGTGTTGTAATCTGCACCAAGATTTAAAAGGTATTCGAAAATAGGAATATCACCTCTTGAGGCAGCAAAATGGAGGCAACTTCTTCCGTTTCCGTCTTTAATTGAATTAATTAAATCTTTTACACTGGAAAATTATGAATATGCATTTTGCTTCTTTTTAATCTTTTTTTCAATTCTTGAAATGCATTGCTTGATTTCATCGAGAGACTTTTTATCAACGCTTTCAAGGAAGCTTTAAACTATTTCTTTGTTTTCTATAAATTGCTTTGATTATGGGCCTTCTGAAGCTATTGGGTTCATTTAATTGTGAAGATTCTAAATTTCTAAAACTTTACTATTTTTAATTTTAATTTTTTTGATAATTAAAAATATCTTGCTTCGATTTCTGAAGAACTATATAAACAATATAGTAGAAGGATGATTAGTTTTCTTGCAATCCTATAAATATATCAAAATAATTTCAACCTTACAAATTAAATGTAGGTAAATGTTTTAACTAAAAGCTTACTAGATATTTGAATAAATTTATAATTTCTTGAAAAATTTTAAGACTTTCTATCAATCTAACACTAAATAATATCACAAACAAGAAAACAAACAAACCCAAAATATAAATCAAAAATAAAATCTTCTACCAATAAATACTAAAGCTTATTTTAACAGTATTATCAATATTATTTGCATTCGTTTGTATTATCTTAAACTCCACTTTTATCCTTTTAAAAATAATTTTAAAAAAATTTTATTATTTTAAAAAGTAAAATTTTTAAATACTTTTGAAGTGTCTTTAATATCTTTCTTTCCTTTGTTATTTTGGCTTTGTTTCGTAGGGGAATTATCATTTTTTTAATTATCACCACCATCGCTGTCACTTGAATCACTTACACTTTCATTAATTTCTTTTAAAAAGTTAAGATCTTATACTTCAGCTTGTTTTGATTTCAGCCTTCTAACATCCAAATAATATTCTAAGCTATATGGGAGCAGTTCATCAATAATAGCTCTTGCAATATCATAGTCAATATTCATTCTATCGATATATTTATTTTATTAAATTAAAGAATTTTCTTTTTTTTAACCCATTAATTTAATTTCTTCTAAGTTGAGAGAATTAAAAAAATTAAAGAAACTCTCATCTTCAACTTCATGAGTAATTACTCTTATTGCACCTGTTTTTCTATTTTTTTAACTCTAGAAAATAAATTATAATTTATGGATTGCCTTACATTTAAATTTACTTTTTTAACAGTTTTTCTGCACACATCTTTACCTTCATACCATTCGATTTGTGTACCTTCACCTTTTTAGTTTTAAATATTTTACAGATTTTTTATTTAAAATATTTTTTTTAATTTTTACTTCTTTCTGGTTCCATATTATCATTTAAAAAAAATACTTTGACAAGATATTAATTTTAAAAGAATTCATTTTCCTAATGTATAAAAAAAAAATTACAAAAAATAAGCTTTGAATACATAAAAAAGTAAAAATTTTAATTAAGTGTAAGTATACTTTGAATTCAAATTTTAATTCTATTGAAGATTTATCGCCAATATTGACAAATATATTATGAAGATGCTTTAAAATTTAATCGTCTTTTTCTTTGACATATGGCTTAACCAAATCAAAGTTCTTAAAGGCCATAAACCAGTAATTGCTGATTGGCAATACTTCATGAGAAGCAAATCTTTCATTTTTAGCCCTTTAATCATTATGATTTGTTATATTAAAGTATCTATCTAAATCAGCTGTTTCTTCTTTCGAAAACTAGAATTCTTTTCTGCGGCCAGATATAATATCTTATTACTAAATTGCATTTATGAATTTAAAATAATTTTTGTTTTTTAAGAAAATTTAATTTACACTTTAGAATATTTATTATCCTAGAGTTTTATATTTTTCCAAGATTTCCTTGACTTTAGATTAATATATTTTATTTTCTTATTCGAGATCATCTTTCAGTTAATAAAGGTGAATCAATTAGTAATATCCTTCATTTTATAGTTTTTATTAAATTTACTATTCCATTTTTTATTTGACTAATTAGTACTCATCTTTAATTGTAATAACTGCTTTTAATTCTTCATCCATTTTTAAAATTTAATAAATTTAAATAATAGGTAGAGAGAAACTTGTGTGTGATTTATATGATTTAAATATTATTTGTTGGTTTTAATTAAAAATTTAATAATGTAGTAAATATCTTGCAAATTATATTTCTTTTAGATTATAAATATATCACAAGTTATTATTAACATAATTTAATAAATAAATAAATGTTAAAATATTTTAATAATTAATATTTAATACAAAATATACAAACATTTATTTTTAAATAAAAAAACAAACTTACTGTATTCTAAAATTTATTAAAAATATTCTAAATTGAATTTATTTATTTGTTTGAAAATAAGAATTCAGACTGAGAGATGGTGAGATTGCTTTTAAAAGCTAAGTTTTAGAGGTAAGCTAATGATAGATAAAATTAATTTAAATACTGCATAAGGTAGGATTGAGAAAATAATCACAGCTGAGATTGATGCAAACCATAAGAACAAACTCAAAAAGGAAGTTTCATCAAAAAAGTTATAGCAAGTCTAAATACCAGAAATCAGAATTTTAATAAACATAATTGCAAGCAATCCTTTAGAAGAATTGTCTATATATTTAGCAAAAAAAGTTACATTAATTTAATATTAAAAAATTGATTTTACCAAATTTAATTGCATATTCTTTAATCGAAACTCTTAAGAATTTCTAGATAATATCCATGTAAGAGAATATCATAATTAGCAATTTATCGATACCAAATAGGATAGCAGTGCATATTGGAGTTTGATCTTAAAATCTATTTTTATTTTTGTAAGAATTAATATTTTTAAAATAAAGTAATTAATTAAATTTGTTACTCTCCTATAGTTTTGTTGCCTGAGTAGAGGTTGATATCTAGTGATAAAGTACCTTTAAATGCAGAATAGATAATTTATGCATTTTTAAATATTATGACTATAAAGAAAAAGTTTATTATAAAATCATTAAGCAATCCTTTATTGTTTTAGGCTTAAACAATATTGAATATTAGATTCATTTTATTTATAATAACAATTAGAGTAAAGTAAAAGATAATCAAGTAAAGTCTCTCTACTTCATCAGAAACCCAGAATACGAATATAGTTAGATCTAAATGAAGAAACAGGAAAAACTTTTTCTTTGCATTATAGGCTGGGCTATTAGTGTCTCTTACTGTTGAGTTTTGGAAGATGCTCAATTTTTGATTTGATTACTCCTCTCTGTCTTTACGCAATAATTTATATCCTCTGACAAAATTATAAATCATTCCTGCAATTGTATAGCCAGTTATAAATCTACACCAAAATACTTAATCTGTAGTTTTATGAATTAGATATCTAAGGTCAATTAAGTCGTATTTAATCATTATCACAAATAAGAAGAAATAGTAGACGGTTAATAGCCAATTTATTTACATAGATTTAACCTTTGGATAAAAGTAAAAAAGAATGAAGATTGTGTAGTTAAATAAGTTAAAACTGTCCCATTTTGTTGTTGTTTCCATAAAGAACTGCTTAGTGTATACAAAAGAATCATATTTAATTAATACTAAAAAGATTATGTAATATATTAGTATTAAAACCAAACATCTTTAAAGTGTTAAGAACTGTGAAATCTTATTACTCAACAAAAATGGTAAATGCTTAATTTTTTTAAAAATCTGCCTTATATTAAATCTATTTTCATTTTCTTGGCTAAACATATCAAGAGTTTCATTTTTACCTCCTGGAACTTGCTGATATTAAGGCAAAGTTGATTTCTATTAAAGATGTTAAGACTCATAATCGTCTTCATGTCGAATATCTGATTTATGGAATGACAGCTGCATTTATGGGATTGTTTTTGATGTGAAATCGTAGAATGAAAAAAATATTATGAACAGTACTATGCATGCTATATTTACATAGAAAGCATTTGAATAAAAGTCTAGCCCGATATTAGAAATGCTAAAAACAAAAATATTTTCACTATAATAGAAGATGCATATTATGCCTATAAGAACCTTTTACATTAATTATAGCTATTTCCACTACTCTAAAGCGGTTTTATAGTTAACTGCTACTATATAGATTAATCCAATCAAGCAAAGCAAAATAATCAAATTAACTAGCTTGAAATCTTTTTTACTTAGTTCTGATTCTAATGCTTGCTTTTATAAAATTTTTATAGTGTTGCGATAATCTTCTAAAATTTATCTTTATTTTTCATTTTTTAAGTCCTTTTCCTTCATAATATCATTATACTTTGACTCCATATCTAATTCATCCTTTAATTTTACTTGATCTATCTTTTTTAAAGCTTCCCTCAATTAAATAAATTTCGAATGTAATGCTAGGATTTCATATTCAAATACTCCTTTTTAAAATGGATGGCTGACACCTCTATTAAAAAGAGGAAGGTTAACACCTAATATAAAAAAATTGTTTTGTAAATTCTTAGTATTTTGAAATTTAAATTAATACCTTTCATGTATTAAGCAATAGTTGGCATTAGATCTAAATAGCTAATTTCAGCTTCATGACCTTTTCCAACTGTATCGCTAGAAGCTACTAAGAGAATACCATGATTAGATCCATTTACGCATCCATGATTGCAAAAATTATCTTCACCATTAAAAAACTATCCTCCATGATCACTGCTTATAAAAATTACTGTATCTTTTAAATTAGCCTAAAAGTATTTAATTAGCTATATAAATAACTTATTTAACTAAAAGAATTGGAAGAAGTTATAAGAGTGAGATTTTGAATATGCATGATTTAACGAATCTGTCTGAGAAGAGTAATAAATTATTGAATGATCTATTTATTTAAATACACAAAATGATAAATTATGATTGAATTATCTAAAAAAGAAAGCAATTTTTTGTCTTTTAAAATCCTTTTTTAAATTTAACTTAATTTTTATGAATAATAGAATAAAATATTTACTTGGAGTTAAATCTTTATTTACTAAAGGTCCTGTAGTTAAACAATCAAGTATTTTTTTATTAAAATCATCTTAAGGTAAATAAGTAGGAATTTCTTTTTCTAAATATTCTTCGAAATATGTTCTATTGAAGCGAACTCCAGTTCTTACATCAAACTTTTCCATGTCAAACCTACCATCGAAAACAAATGAGGCTTGACTGCTATCTGTTTAGTTTTTACATATCAATTTAAGCATTCCATCCTCCGAGTCCACCTTACTATAATCTACATAACTTGATATTAGTGTGAATATAGGAAATTTTGAACCTAAAAGCCAAACCTTTTATTAATTTTCATATTCTTTAGCTTTGGCTATTTATATTGCTATGTTATCTACCGAAACTTATCCTCCTATTAAATTTAGTGAAGGCTTTCCTGTCATATATGTTTCATGTATCGCTCCTGTTTATCTATAATGAGGACCAACAGACTATTTAAAAAATGAGGAAAAATTACTAGTAATTTTTGAAAGTGTTAACTTTAACTCCATCTTTCTTTCGTTGTATTCAAAAAATTAGATAAAATAAAAAGTAAATTACTTTATAAATTAAAATGTCATTTGATATTTCTGCTTTCAACTATTTAATTTGATCATATGAAAAACCATCCATATTAAACCATATGAAGTGTTTCTTTTTCATAGAGTGATGGCATATCAAATAGTTTAAAGATTATTTGTCAACCTCATTTTCTTTTTTATCTTTTATGAAACTATCATAATAATCTTAGCAAAATGTATTTTTGTTTTCCAACATAAACCCACTAAAATACCTATCGTAAAAAAGCACTAATAGAATCGAAGACCCTAATGCTAATACAATTAAAAGTAAGAAGGGGATGATAACTAACCTAATACTATATGTCTTATCTTTCATTTTTATTTATTTTTTTAAACAAAATAATAGTATACTTATTTAATTAATTATTAAAAGCAGAACAATATCTAAATTTAATAATTTGTTTAACGCTTTGTTGTAAACTGCTTGAATAATCCTTAAAAAATATACAATTAATTGTAAAGTGAAAGAATAAATTTATGTAGATGATAAAAATTTAAATAAAATATGATAAATTGATGGTTTTGGTCTCATACATAGACTTAATTATATTAGTACAAAAATAATTTATAAATAATAGATATTATTTATTTATTTTCTCTTTAAATATTAATCAATAAACAATTTTTAAATTCAAATACCATTTAAATGAAATTTAATCAGATATTATGAATTTATTACACGTAAATTGACTAAAATTTAAGCTTTAAATTAATATCCTATCTATTTTTTTATATAGTACTAAAGGGTGACATATCTATCAAATTAATTAATTTATTTGCTTGCTTGCCTCTTCTATAAAAATTAATTTTTAAATTTTCAAGTATTTGTTTTTTAATATAATCAATGTAATTTGATATTTTATTTTTAAATATAATTACATTTAAAAAGTCAAATAAGAAATTAAATGTATGTAAAAAATGATATTATAACACATAGTTTAATACTTAATAATGAATCTAAAAGGTATGCATACTTACTTTTATTTGATAATAATTTTTTGCAATTTTTAAAAGTTTTTAATTATAAAAATTAAATAAAATTAACCATAAAATGATATTTAGTGGTTATGAATTATTTAACTATGTATAATATTTATTTTATAACTTAATAATTTTTCTTGCTTGTTAAAAGCAATAATAGACCTAAAATATTTTAATAACCTAATTTATTATATAAAATAATTAAATTTTATTTTTGAAGTATTTATTATCAACTTTAGTTAAACTTTGGTAATTTTTAATTCTTTTATTATTCTTAACAGAGTTTTTTACTAAAAAAACACTTTAGCTGCTTTAATGAATTTTGAATTAAGAATCATCCATTTTATTTTAACATATTTTATTTTTATTCAGATTTTCTTGGTGGAAAGGGTTTATTATTATGCAAAGGTTAAATTTTAGTTTTAAACTATTGCCTTTTTAATTGTTTTTTTTTAAATTTTTAAATATTTTATTGAATTTTTTTCTTGAATTATTCAAAGTATTATTAACATTAAACAATAAATTTATGATAAATAGAATTCCAAAATATTTTTTTTTCAATTAAACTTAAATGGTGGTTAGTTTTTATTTAAATATATTGAAATATAATTGTAGGCAAAAATAAAAAGAAAATAATCCTGATTATTTATGAGTTATGAATTAGTAAAGAGCAGGATAGGTTAGTTAGTGTAGTCTTTGTTTGTTTTAAACTATTGGATAAATAAATTTAGAAAAAATATATGCATATTACTCACAATTTTTGAGTTAAATCAATTATAATAAATAAACTCAATCTATTGATAACATATAATAGTTAAGAGTTTATAATTTTTTTATTAAAAAAGTAAAGCATACTTCTACTTCTAGTTTATTCTTTAGTAAAATATAAACAAAGTCAGAAAAATAAATAAATTCATTTTATAGAATTAAATTTATAATTAGCATTAGTAAAGAAAGTTTCAATTTAAAAGATGCAAAACTAGAATTAAGCAGATTTCGAATATACAAATGATGTTTCTAAATAATTAGAATACGAAGATGCTAAACTAAATTAATGTACACTTGATTTTAAGACCAAATAAGGTTAATATGATAATCAAAAAATAATCAATTCAAAAAGATTTTATGAAACTAATGTAGATGATAACAAACAAGATGGAGATAGCTCTTACATTATCAATTTTATTAATTCAAAGAAGCAGAGTGAGGATTATTCTGATAATGAAGCACTTAAACAAAATAGTAATCATGGTAGCATTACTAAAAAAAAGCATTAGCTATCTTAATATGACTAGAATTTGATTTTAAATTAATCTTATTTTTCAGATTAACCAAAGAAAGAATCAGGATAATTAGAAGAACATTTTCGCTCTACTAATTAAAAAGATCAAGGAGTAATAGTGGAGCGACCCTCAGATAGATTGACATTATAAAGCGTTCTTTCAAATTAAAAGTGTGACGTTAGTGATACATTGAGCAGGAAGAAAAAATAAAGTGGTTAGAGGGCAGATAAAAAGCACCTTACTACCAATGTGTAAAAAAAATAAAAATACATTTTATTAAATTTAATAATTTTTCATGAAGAAAATACTTAATTCTAATTTTTAAATTAATTTTATTTTAATTATTATAAAGTCAATAATATAAAAAATGTTTTCATTTTACTAATTATAAAAAAAAAGTAATAAAGCAAATAACAAACAGAATAACGTATAAGAATACAACTTTTAAATTAATTTTATATGAATTATTATAAAATCAATAATATAAAAAATGTTTTCATTTTACTAATTTAAAAAAAAAAGGAATAAAGCAAATAACAAACAGAATAACGTATAAGAATATACAAAGAGCACTTTTAAAAAGAAAATTAAATAAGATGATATAGATAGGTTTTATTAAAGAATTAAAGCCTTCTTTTACAATAAAACCTACTCTGGAAAGACTAAATAGTTAACCGAAAAGGTGAGATTGAAAATTGGTGATAAATCTGACTATGTTGACTAAGATCATAGGATATCTATGCATGTCAAAATTATTGATTTGATTGGTATTAAAATTAAAAAAATTATTGACAAAGTTAAAATACCACTATTTAATCCTGAACAGAAGTGGAGAATTTTATTTAATTCAATAATAGTTATTTTTAATTGTTTTTATCTCTATGTAATTTCACTTAAAATATGTTTTGGAAGCTATTCTATAAATTAATTATCTACGATGATACATTAAGTCGCATAAGTAGTTTGGATAGCTGATATGTTGATTTAGATGAATACAGCTATGTATCATGATAACGAATTCACTGAAGATAGAAGGATTATTATGAAGACATTTTTAAAAGAGTATTTTTTCTTTGAGGTACTTCCTATCATATTTGAGAACCTTCATTCGTCAAATATTTATGTTAGTATCCTTTTTCATTTACCTCTGTTGCTTAAGATGAAAGGCATTATGATTATGCTAGATAACTTAGAGTTCTACATTCTATAAATGTTAGATAATCATTCTATTTTTTAACTTTTTAAACTAATAATGAAAATGCTTCTTTTTGGTCATATACTTGCCTGCTTAAAATATGTTGTTGTTTAGTTAGAATTAAACTATCAAGAATAAAAAATATGGAGCTAAAGCGAAGTATTGTACTCTTCTCAAGATTAGATAACTAATTATTTGTAATGCATGTATTGGGCTTTTACAGTCATGCTTAATGTTTAATAACCAACTCCATCTACAAACTTAGAATTAGTTTTTACTACATTTTGTATGATACTTTCTAGTATCGCATTTGGGTATATTTTATCTGCAATAGCTAGCATATTAAGTAAACTTAATAAAAATACTGAGGATTTCAACAAAGACCTTAACATACTAAATTAATATATGAAGAGGAAAAAAATAGAAATGTAACTTAAATTAAATATTTATTATATATTTTTATTTATACTAACAGTTATTTAATTTATTGTAGAAGTTTAAAAAGAAGAGCAAATATTAATCTAAAAAAGTATTATTAGTAACAGCTGAGAACTAATATTGTAGAAGAAAAAGCTACTCTATAAAAAGTAAATTCAAGAATGCTTAAAGAATTGCTTGTATCTTCCAACTAAAAAATTTTGAAATACTGTCCTTTTCTGACTAATTTATTTAGTGAAAGTACCCTTTAACAGATTTGTATGAGTGTTGAAGAAGTTTATTATACACCTCAAGAAACTATTGTTGACAGTGAATTAAAGTAATCTGAGCATTATCTATATATTATCATAGATGGAAAGGGTAATTACATTTGTCGTTTATTTATTTATTAATTTAAATTCAAAATCATTTTCTCCATTAATTTATCGCAAGATATTGACTTTATAGCAGATAATTTAAATTTAGAAATCAAAAATAAATATTTTACAACTTTTTTTATAACTCATCACCCTTCATAAAGATTTTTTTATTTTGAACTTTTCGTTCACAACCTCGCTTATTTTTGTATTTTGAGAATTGCAGATAAAAAAAAGTATAATAATAAAAATAAATAAAATTAAGGTATTTTAAGTAAAAAAAATTTTAAGAAATAAACTTTTATTTGAATTAAAATTTAGAGGCTTATTTATAGTATTATCTATCAACCAATAAATTATTTAAATAATCTTTAATTTTTGCCTAAATAAAGAATTAAAATATAATAATGGATAATTTTATTAATATTTTTAAATTAATTTTTAATCCATTTAAGCTTTGTTAATTTTTAATTTTTAAATTATAGTTAAAGTTTGTGAAAATTATGATAGATTAGCATAGCCCATAAACTAATAAAATTACTTTATTACACAACAAAGATTGCTTGATAAGCTTATGGAGCTGTAAAGAATAAAAAAGACAAACTAAGTTGACAATTCTTTTTAAGGTGAAATATATTAGAAAGGAGATTATTTTGGGCTTTTGGGTTTGATTCTTGACACTTAATTAATATAAAAGGCATAAAGCCTAGAATATACTACAATTTTAAGGTTATCTAGGAAAGAGTTAGACAGAATTATTATGCTAAATTAAAAAGACCGAGAAATGTTTATGGAATTAAAAGATAGGATTTTATATAATAAGGATTTTAATTAGCTTTAAGTTCATTGCTAGTTTTGTAATAGTAGATAGCACATCAATTAGTAGTGCATTCTACTGCATTTTGATAGGTCAAATTAAATTCTGCATTCTAAAAATAACTTCTCTCAAAGCTAAGCTAGAGGAAATCTAAATTAAAAAAGGAAGTAAAAGTATTTCCATTCACTTTTAGATCAACGATAAATTGAAGATAACCTATTTGAGTTAAAAAGTAACTATGGAATGCAATCTACCAATCGAATTGAATTTACACAATAAGAAATAATGGATGAATCATAAGAAAACAGTTAAGATTAGTCAAATTTAGAATAAAATGAAGAGCTATTTGGAAGTCTTGAAGAATTAAAAATTTTAGAAAAGAGTTTTGAGGAAAATAATGAACTTGATTAGAAACAGTATGAATCTATAAGTCTTGATAATCCTAATACCGTATCATCAAATATGAAAAAATTTTAATCAAGAACTTCGTAAAGAGAAAAACTAAAATAATAAATTAAAGATAATTTATTTAGTAAGTAAATTAACTATGATGATTCATTAAAAATAAGCAGCTTTAACGAATTAAGATTAGATGAGGCTTAATAAACGTATACTTAATAAACGAATTAATTGACTACAGAATTATAAAGATAAAGTGCTTAATCGCTCTATAATTTGAAATAAAACGATATTAGTATATCAATAAACTAATAAATTTAGAATAATTAGTAATTATCAAATAGAGTGAGAGTAAAGTCTTAGTTATCTGCTGTAGATGAAGATACGTTTATTATTGATTAAATAGAAGATGATTATATTTCCAAAAAATCAATCCAATAAATGCCTTCCTACATACAGCATAGAAGCTATGATGTGTACTTTCAGGATGTTATTCATCTGTAATAATAATAATTATAACAATAATAATAACATGAAAAAACTTCCTCATAAAATTCTTTATTTAACATTCAAAGAATACCTACAATAGATACTGGCCCTAATAAGAGATAAATTAACTAGAGTTAGAATCATACTCCTTCAAGTAAGTAAAAGTACTTTGGTTCTAACAAAATGATTGAGAAACAAAGCACGTTGAGTTCTAATCTCTAAAAGAAAAAGAATTCATTGAAGAATTCATCTAGTATTAACTGCTAAAGCACTTCACTGTAGCCTACAATATCAGTAAGGGATCTAAGAAATGGTAATTCTAAAAAAGAACAAATTCATTCATAACTATCGAAAATGATGACAAAAATTTCTTAAAAAAGTGGCTCAATACCTTATAAAGTAGAGCAAGATCTTAAAAAAACAACAAAAACAAACATTTAAAATTCAGAAATAGATTTTTAAGATTTTATGGAATCAGACAAACACCACAGACATTAAAATAGTAAACATTTAAATTAAGATAAAATAATTTATTGGTATTTTGACAAGATATAAATATTCTAATATTACTTTTATAATAATAATTACCCACAATAAATTAAAAAATACACTGACTATTAAGAAAAATAGGATCAAAAGGCTAAAAATTTTGCAAGACAAAAATCTTTTGTTTGATTTTGTATAGTTCATATTATTTAATTATATTCATTTTGTTATTAATAATTCATGAAACGTTTTCTACCTTTTGCTTTGAAGTTAATTCAAAAAAAAAAAAGAACTTGTAAAAAATTAATCTTATTGATTTCATAGATTTATTTATACAGAAAAAAATATATTAAACAGATAAATAAATTCTTTTTTTCATAAACTATTGTGTTTTATTTATTTATTTGCTTTTATTGTTGTAATTCTTGATCTTAATGATGGAAGAAAGAAGAAAGGATTGATTAGGTAAATTTTACCTCATAGCAAAATATTAGTTAGATAATCTCATATTGAAATCTAATTTATGTGTTAAATTTAAAGATTAGAAATGAGATATTAGAATATTATTTAGATATTTTGATTTTATTTAATCAAATAGTTTCCTAATAATGGCTATATGTTTCTTTTATAGTTTTTTAATGTTCCTTGAAAAAATGCTCTAAAAAATCTCTATCTTTAAACATCTATTTGCATTCTTTGCATTAGAGCATTTTATGTTCACACTAACCTTCATGATCCAGCAATTTTATAAGGTTATTAGTTACAAATTTACAATCGTTATGCCTACATACACATTATTTAAGTAATTCAACTAGTCTTTAAGCAGTCATATTATTAAAAATAGCGTAACTTTTTTTACAATTAGGACATTATTAATATTTTTTATTGCAGTCTTAGCATAAAGACGAATAGCAGCAATTTGTAGTATATAATTTATCATATATCTTGTAGCATATTCTGCACATAATTTCCCTTCTAATATCCTCTTAATACAGCCTTTATTATTAAAGTGTTATTTTAAAAATATCTTAATCATTACTTAATGAATATCTCTGCTCTCGCTCAGTTAATGCTGTAAAACTCATGTTTGTTGATGCGCATGTACTATAGTTCTCATTAAATTATTAAATATTTGTTAAATTAGAGATTGATCTAGTCATTTTTTTTAATTCTTCTTTTTATTCCCCTTATTAATAATTAGGTAATATAAGCTTTAAATCTTTTTTTTATGAATTCTGTTAGTATTACTACTATAATTATTATTGTTATTACTACATTTTTTAATTTTATAAGTCCTAGATCTATTGGTTTTTAGGCGCTAAAACTTATGATTATTATTTATTTTAAGAGAGTTAATTTACAAGTTATTCTTTATTCATTTTTTTTTCTTAGAGAAAAGTTGTTTATTATTAATTATTATTAAATATAATTAAATATTGATCTACTTTTAAATAATTTCATTAAATTTAAAAAAATTGAGTTAAATATTCTAAAAAGTATAAATTATAAAAAGTAAAGACTTATTAATATAATCTCTGATCTCAAAATTTTCAATTAATATTATTATTTTAGTACTCTAATCTTAAACTATTCAGAAAATAAATGAGAATACTGTAAGATACAAACAAAAATAATTGATAGAATAATTTTTTTTCAATAATAAAATCATTAAAAAAATCAAGTATTTGTGTGTTTATTTACTTGTGTAATCGTAAATTTATATAAATTTAAAAAATATTCTTCTAAAATTTGCTTTTTTTAAAAATTAGATGAAGAGATATAAATAAATATATTTAAATGTCTTCTTTACATATTTTATTTATGAAAATTTGAATTAAAATGATTATCTATGTAGACTAAAATTTGTATTTTTTATATATAATCAGAGAAATAAAATTTTTTAAATTACAAATAATAATTTACCAATAAATATTTAAATAATTTAAAAAATAGCTAAATAAACATTTAATTTAAAATAGGATTTTTCATAACATAAACTAAAAAAATATTTATTTACTAAAACTTAATCATTTCTAATATTCCTTTAAAAAGCTATTAATTTATGTATATTTGATAATTGTAAACTGAGGCTTATAAAATATTTATTGTAAATCATCTTACTCTTCTAGTTCGTTATTAAATATGTAAAATTTTAATGTGTTTTTACAATTTGTTTGAATGAACTTAAATAATTTTTCAAATAGTGAATATTCACTATTAATGAATATTTTAGAATCTACAATAAATATATCAGGATATATTTTCTCAGACTCTAATTTTTAAATGCATTATATGAGAGTTTTAAACTCGTAGATATTTGTAAAGTAATTAAATTTTTATTATACATTTGCTTCTATTTCATCCTTAGATTATAGAGACTCTAAAACAATAAAAACGGTCTTAGTTTGATTGACATCTTTAAACGATTTTTCTTAGCTATTTAATCTATTTTAAGTTTATATGTTTGTAATTTTATAGTCTAAGCTATTGTTATTATTTTTTTAGATTTTATAAAAAATACTTGGGTTTTTTACTCTTATCTACTATTCAGTATTTTGAACTTCAAAAGGCTCACTTGCTCCACTAAAGTGTGTTTCAAATTAATCAAATTTGAGACTTTCCACCAGATATTCTAACTTTTGTTCTCTATACTTACTTTGCTATCTTGGTCTTATTTCTCCTTCTATTTCCTATGATTGGCTGAGCATATTATTATTATCACATTTCTAAAATGTTTTTTCTTGTTTATTTTCCCTCAAATTATTAAGGATAAATGCATCTAAATTTTTTTTTTATTGGGATAAATCCTTAGAAATAGTAAATTTGATTAAATTAATTTATTCATTTAATTCGTCTTAATTTTCTAATTCTTACTTAAATTCATCATTAATTTCAGTTTAATTGTTTTTCATTCTTGGTGAAAATGAAAAGTGATTTGTTTGCAAGCAAATAGAATCTAAATCCTAAAGCTTCTATTACTATTCAAATCCTATTTTTGATCCAAGTAAAGATAATGATTATTGAAGATGATTGTCTATAAATACTTTTCTTTTAATTTGAGAAAACTGAATTATAAAAGAAATATTATTAGAGTCTTCGTCTTTAACAACAAGGTTCAATTACTAATTTTTTTAAAAATTATTCGCCTTTATTATTTTCTCACAAATTATTATTAAAATGTATTTTAAAATAGAAAGATCAGTGTATAAATAAAGCTTTAGATCACTGTTTTAAGTGGCTGATTTTTTAGATTATTCAATAGATAAAGGTTTTACTTTGAGAGATGGCTATTAAAAAATTTCTTTATCATAACTTTTTATTGTAAAACTTTGCAAATATGAAAAAAACTAAGTAGATATAATGCCCTTTATTTCATCTAAGAATTCTTGAAGTTAGAATTTTTATATTTTTATTTAAATTTATTCTTTTAATAACTCAGATTAAATAAATTAATGCTCGTATTGCAAAATACTTTATAAGTATAAAATATTTTGTTGTAAAATTGTTAGGTTATTGTTAATTTTTATTTAACTCATTTAATTTGATATCTTTTTTTTTGGAATCGGTCTTTATTGCAAATTTTAGTTAGTACAAGAAGAAATCTCTTAATCTGAATCAAGTGTCAGTGTCAGAGGTAAATAACTAGCAGTTTCATTAATTTTATTGTTTTTCATAAGTTGAATTTTAGCTAAAATCTCATTTACAGATTAAATCGAAGGAATCTTAAGTATTTGCTTAATAGCAGTTGTGCTTACACTGATTGAATTATAAAATTCACTCGTTTTTGCTATTCCTACCTACTATGGACTTTCTGAAATTTTGAATTTTTACTGTCTGAAAATAAATATGACCAAATGTCTATTACCTGTGAAAGGATTTTTCACATTAAAAATCTTACCTTCATAAGAAAAGGGTTAAAATTTTAAATCCTAATTTTCATTTTAATTTTCTTAGTTGAGGATTTTAATTTAGAATGAGCATATTTATTTTTATTTAAATTTCAAAGTTAAAGAATTTCTAGGTTATTACTGATATTTTAAATTACTATTTTATTGATTTATTTTAGAACTTTTATTCACTTGCTATTGACTCCATATTTCTTTTATTTAATTATTTATTTAAAAATTATTATTTAAATCCACCTTGATAAACAATCAAATTAAAAAAATTACTATTAAAAATTTAGATAATTATTAAATTTAACTGATATAAGAAACAAAAAAAGATTTTAATTACCTTTATGTTGATAAAGAATCCTAACAAGATAGTCTAAGGTACAATTTTTATCAGAAATTTTTTGTAATATATCGCTTAGAATATTAACTTTTTATTTATTTTTTTGATTCATTTCCAACTGTTGAATTTAGACTTATTTCAGTATCTACATTTTTGTTTTCTTATAATTTCTAGTAGAAGTTTCTTCGTTTTACAAATAACTTTTATAATAGCTGCTATTAGGATTTTCTATTAGCTAAATATCATATTCATTTGATTTTTGGGAGCTTATTATTATACTATCACAGGATTTTTTATAGACTTCGCTAAATTCTTTAGCCAATTTTTAAAAATAGTTTACAATTTTATTTTTTTGCAAATGCTCTAAGAAAAATATAATCATCAAAATAATAAATGTGATTTGCCCAAATAAAAAGCAATCTGTGCCAAATTGCCATCTATTGATAAGTGCAATTGAAGTTTAAAAGAGGATAACAAATAGTATTATTTTTAAGTAAATGTTGCTAACCGATTTTACAATCTAAATGTGAAAAGCACCAAAAAAATAATAAATTATACCAAAATCAGTTTATTTACTACTATCCTAAAAATTATTTACTAATTTTCTTTAATAAAATGAATCCCATTAAAAAAAAATTAGCTAAATACTTACTGATACTAAAATTAGGAACACTACAAGTTTCATCGCAGTAAGATATTTTGAAAACACTCCTATCAGGAAAGAAAATCCTTAAAGTGTTAAAACTATTAGAATAGATTAAATTTATTATTCCTAGATTATAAAAATCATTATCAAAGCGCTAAAGCATGCAGACAAAATGCTTAAAAAAAATAATCTCTATCTCTCTATTGATTTAACCCAATTCTCATATAAATTGTTCATTTTCTGAAACAAGTTTCTTGTTATAAAAGCTTATCAGACTAGTTTGACTTTTCTTTTAATAAATTAAATCCTTTATCTAAATGTTTAATTAATTATAATTAACGATTTAGTTTAAATAATTTATATTTCCTTTGAAAATGTGTTAAATAATAATAAAACTCAATCAATTGTATTTGCTTAAAGGAATTATTAATAATACTAAAATTACAGCTTTCTTACATTTTTTATATTCATTAAAAATAAAATACAAACATATTCTTTTTGATAAAAAGAATTCATTGATGAGCTTTTAAATTTATAATATTTGTCTATTTAGTTTATTAATTTTTTATAATAAATAAAATAAAATAAATGAAATTGTTAATATCTAATCATCAATCTATCTTATATTTACTGAATGTTTAATTATTTTTTTACTGTCTCAATTATTTTTTGAAATTACTCAAACTTTTCATAATGATGGTAAAAAAAAGAAGTATCTAAAATCCACATTAAATCTTATCAAACACCCTAAAAAGTTATAAATAAATTAATTATAATTATCGCTATTATTGTATATTAGAGTTTGGGGAGGAAATAGTAGGAATTAATGAGTATTTAGGGTATACATACTCAAGTAAATGATGCATACAAAAATCTATGATATTTAAATAAAAATTAATCAAATAATATGTAATAAAACAAATCATACTCAATATTTATAATATAATCTATTATTTTTTCATAAAGTAAGTACTGCTTTAAAAAATTATTATATAATATGATGAAACTTTAGTGTTTTATAATTTAAAATATTAACTTACTTGTTCACTAATATATCCCTATATTATTTATTTAATCCGTGTTGTTGGTTGGATGATATTTGTAAGTGAAAGAACAAATAAAATTAAATTCTTTAAATTTTATGAGATATTAAAATTGATAAATTTCAATTATTTTTTAAAGTGATGGACAATTATTTTTAGTTGTTTAAGAATTTTGGATATTTTAACATAACATTAAAATTTATTCAAATAAAACTGAATAAAAATGAAGTTTATCAACTTTAGCTAAATAATCTTAAAGATACTCTTTTTTTTTTTGAAATTTTCTCTATCTGGTTGTTGTTCATATTTTTAGATAAAGTTTCAAAGAAAGATTATGGAAGATTTAGCCTACTTGCCTTTTTTTATGAAAAAATGTTTACCATTAATAAATTTAAATTAATATTGTTACTTCTGAGCTGATTGTTTAACTTTATACCAGTTCTTCTTTTGTCTATTTTTATTATTTTAATTTTATGAAAAAAAAATAAGAAATAATTAAATTACTCTAAAAGTTAAATTTTGAGGCGTAGTAGCTTTGAATAAATTTTAGTTAGCATGCATATTTTCAGTGCAAAGAGTTAATTACTAATTTTTTATTTTAAAATTATTAAAAGATTTACTAAAAATTAAATTACAGAAGTAGTCATGATCTTTTCATGATCTTTTAATTTTATTTAGTTTTGAGTGACATTTTGCAATTAAATTTCCTAATTTGTTTAAAATTTTTAATTTAAATAAATAAAATAATTGCATATTAATAAATAGATTTACTTGCTCTACTTACTATTTAGATTAACGATCTTTTGTTCTTTAGTCAGGCTTAAATATATTATTATGGTTTATTTTATTATCTATGCTTATATTATTTTATTAGTTATGAAAAATATTTGAATTGGTAAATTATTAGCCATTTATGAAATGTTTATTCCTGAATACTAAAATAACTTTTTTCCATAACTTGTGAATTCTAATAATTTTAACTTATTTAAACTTTAAGAATTTCAACTAATTGGGAAATTTCTATTATATTTTAAATATTAATCTCTTGAACTTGTTTAAAAAGGAATCTATCTCATTTATTTAAATTTGATGCCAATCAAGAATATTTAAAATTAAAGTTCTAATGACTATAAGATTCAAAAGGATTATATATATTTTACTCACAAGAGCAAATGTTTAATTATTAGTATCATCGTTTATTATTATTTGAAGTAAAGCAAATATGCTCATTAAGTTAAACATAAAAATTTTTTCAGTGTTTTATAGTTTTATATTCTTATGAGGTTTAACAAGTTGAAGTAAATATGTGTAAGCAATAAGTACGATTATGATTATAGCTGCCTTAATTTAATTAGATTAGTTTATATATATGACCACCATTAAAATAAATTTTAAGAATATTTTAACTATTTCCCAATATAAATATTTATTTTTATATCCATGATACATTACTCCATATGCAAGAATATTTTTTATATTTTAGCTTTCTTCAATGTTTGATTTTTAGTTCAATTAAAATTGTCTCAACTTAAAAAATAATCTCAAAGGTATCAAAAAGCACCAAATTAGCATCAAAGGACCTACAAATGCTAGCTCATAAAGAAAATAGTAATATTAATGGCAGCTTTAAGTGTAATCAGATATTAAATAATATTAATCATTGATCTTTATGCAGAATAAACCTTCAATCAATATTTTGGTCTTATTTTGTTAAGATAATTTTTTAAAGAATTATTTATTATGTTTCAAAATAAATTAAAAAATTGAAATTAGGTTTTGAAAAATGAAAAATAAAAAAAATTTACAAACGAAGGTTGAAAGAAGAGGTAGGTAAGTATTGATGTCATCTTTATTATTTATGGCAAATCTTTTATTGCTTTCTCTTTTTTGTTATATTTATTCCTTTAAATTAAATATAGGCTCAAGTTTATCAACACCTATAAAATCACCATGTTGAATAGCTATACTAGAATCCTATGAACCCATATAGGATACCTATCACTAGTTTTAGTAAGACAATCTAATGATTTTATAGAAGTCTTAATTGGATCACCAAAAATATTGATAGTTATGTTAAAAAACTGCGGTATATTAAAATTTAATTCTGTCGTACAAGAAAGAATTTATATGTAATTTATAAAAAGCTTAAACAAAATAGAAAGATCACTACTAGAAGAAGAGCTTAACTTACTTGTTACAAGAAGATCAATTTTTTTAAAAACTTAAAGCTGGTAAATCAGAATCTTAGTTTTTCTAATTTTATACTAAGTATATGATATATACACAAAATAGCATAGTAAGTAAATGACAAAATAAATTATCTATAACTTACTTGAGCTGCAAGGGAAGCATTGATTATTTTTAAATCCATATTATTCACCCCATATTTCTCCTTTGGTATCACAACTATTACAAATAGGACCTACATATCCCTATAAGCAGCCATTTTTGTTTTACGAATTGTCAAATGAGCAACTTTATAATTTGCATGCAAGAATATTATCAGTTAAATTGCTTTCTCTCCAAAATCCGTCTTTTATTTTTATTTCTTTTCCTTAACAAAAATAAGCTTGTTAAGGGCATAAATTACATTAAAGCTGTTATTTCTTTTACATATCTGGTTATTTTAAAGAATATTTGCCTTAGGGACACTCAATACATCTATGTTACAAATAATAAATATTTAAATAAATAATTCTTTCAATCAATAAATAAATTACTAAATGAATTGATTGCTCTCTTGTACAATTTCACCTATTTCACAGTCTCTAAATTACAAATTTAATTTGACTTTAAGATATGTTCCTTAATTATCTAAGGCATTTGAAATTAAAAATATGCTTTAATTCTGAGAGATTTTGTATACTGATTAGAAATTTAACTCAAACATCCCTAATGTTTAATTTAATATTGCATAAAAACCTTACTATATAATTATTTGGCTGTTATTTTATGCATAAAGCTGGAGTTAAAATGAGCTTTTTTCATTATTGGTATCCATATCTTGCATACCTGTGAAATTTAAGGGATTATTCTCTTCATCAATAAAATTTAAGTATATAGAAGAACGTAAGTAATTCCCACTAGATATGCTATTTATATGAAATTAATCAACTATTTTAAGAAATTTATTGTCTGGATGTTACGAAATTCCTATCCAGAAAGGAATTGATCCTATGTTTTTTCCGTAAAACTGAGCTTTTATTTTTAAAAATATTAAATTATTTTCAAATTTTCAAAATAAAAATTAATTTTTGAAAAAAATTTTCTAACACTTTAAAATTAATATTGAATAGTTAGTTACCTGTGTTATTTTGAAAGAGAATATTGTTTTTCATAAAGTTTTAATACTTCAAAAATGGCGAATTAGTTTATGTATAGTATATAGATCCTCCTATATATGCTTAATTTGATTTAAAAATAGAGTTTGAAAATTGTTTTAAGTCACAATGCTCAAAATATATTGCTCCTCCTTCTTATTCAATAGCTGAATTACTCTCAAAATTAGATTTTTTTATATTTATCCCTTTTACAAAAGATAAATAAACTGCTCCACCTTGACCTTTTTGAGATGTATTTTCTAAAAAATGAGTGTCTAAAATATTAAGGAATGATGGCTACTAAGCTTGAGAAACATGAACTGCTCCTCCAGAATAGAGAGCAGAGCAGTTGAAAAATAAGCAAAATTACATTGTAAAGTTTTAGTAATCTTTAATTTTAATAGCTCCACCTTAGTAACTTAATTATGGATCTATTTAATCTTCATTAATAAACTTTTAGTTTCTTAAATTTTTGAAGCTTGTTTCTATAATTAACACTTAGTTTGCTTACTAAACATTAATAGCACAAGGAGAATTAGATGAATTCACAAAAGTAAAGTTGCTCAAAATTAAAGTAATTTAACCATCTATCACATTAATTATGCTTCCGCCAAATAAATTAATATTTTAAAATTATGAATTTACAATTATTCCTTGCTTTTGAGCATTAAAATTTATAAGATTTGTATTACTACTAATATCTTTCAAAGTTATATTTGATAATAATGCTTGTATGGAATTTATACTAAATATTTAATTAACAGTAATTCCATCATTTTATATTTTAATTTAGCTTGCAGTTAAATTTTTTATTTAAAACAGACTGCTATAATATTATAGTTCATCTTAATAAGAATAATGACTTACTTAAGTCAAAGTTAGGTCTTGAATTTTTTCAAAACTAATATTATTTAAACTAACATTTTAACAACCTTAGAAATTTAATATTTGAGTAGTGAGATTTTAACTTTGTAAGTGTTTTTCTGTTTTAACAAATCTTATTTTATCATGAATATTTTATTTAAACAAACTACTAAATATTAAGTCTGTAAATTAGATATATTAGCATTTCAAGAATGATAAAAGACTCCCTGAAATAATATTTGTTGAACGAACATTCAGGTTTTAGATATTAATAAATTAGCAGTTTATAAAAATAAAAAGAGAAAAATCGATTGATGAGTTAATTATATTTAAGTTTAAGATTTCTAAATTATTTATATCTTCAAATAAGAAAAGACTTGAATTATAAATTTTCATACTTTAAATTGTCAAATTTTTTATCAGAATATTTTACACATTACTAAATCTTATTGCGCAAGATTACCTTTATAGTATCCCATCTTTTATCTATATATCATCTAATAATACTGTTTTTAAATAGCTAATATCAAGGGAAGATGTTTAATTGTAAAATGTAAAATCTATATCATTAAATATGATTTTTTATATATTTTTAAATGGATTAAGAGTTAAATCTTCTTAAGTTGAACTAATTTTAAGTGAAATAGTTTGAAAATTTAGGTTTTAAAATTAAGAAAGGATAAAGTAATTAGAATTTAAGTTAGCAAAACCTTTTTTTTAATCATTGTTCTCAGCTAATTTGAATTAATATTCTAGAATAGATTTAGAAGTGAAAATTTCATAGTATAAATTTAATGGCACAAGGTCTGTGTTCTATAAGTTCATTTTAATTATATATTTAGTTAAATTAAAACCCTATAAATAAACTTTATATTAAGTATCTAATACCTATTTTTTAATTTGAGTAAAGTTATTTAACTTATTAGTTTAAATCAATTAACAAAATAATTAAAATTTTTTTATAAAAAATAATAAATTTAAATAATTCAAAATTACATTTTCTTAGTTATTGAAGTTATTTTCTTGTTAGGAATATGTTAAAAGTACATTATTGGTTTTTATATTATTATCTTATATCTTGTAATAGATATCAAATATGTTTGTATGGCTATAACACTATATTTTTATTGACTGTGTTTTATATTTTTATTAGTCTAAATAAATGAAATCGATATTATAGATCATAGGACTATCTAAGTTTGAAAAAAAATCTAGTAACTAAGATTAATTTTCATTTATTTAAACTAGAATAATGTTTTTATATAAAAGGAGAGCAAAAATATCTTGGTACAAATTCTAAACATCTTTTAAGCCAGAATAAATAAATTGATTTATTTTAAAAAAGTTACTAAATTAAAGTGTTTTTTTGATAAACACATTAATTTGAAAGCTGCAAAATACATATAAATAGTTTAAATCTTATTTAAGCTAAGTTTGTTTAGAGCAAGGAGTTGGTAAATGGGTTATCAATTAATTTGTACGTATATTGTGTACCTCAACAGAAAAAGTAGATGAAAAAATCAATGTGTAAGAATTTTTAAACACAATAACTAAAAAATCAAAAATTTATTTATTACTATCATTAAACTACATAATTTGTTTTGCAGATAAAGTACCATCATTATTTATAGTAAATTAAAAGACTGTTAAGCATTACTACCCATTCAAAACAATTATATAGTCTTCAACCTATTCGATCTATTAAATAATAAGAAAAATAATCATAATTAAAAAATAAAAATGATAAATGTTAAAAATAATTATTAATAATTTTTTAATTAATATATTTATAAATGTTGGTTCAGAATTAATTTTTCTTTTAGAAAAATATAATAACTGTAAAATTATTGTTAAATAAGCCCAAGAACACGCATTAATTTTTTACTTTTTAATATTTTTTTTTTAGCTTATTTAACATTTAAATTTTAAAAATTACTAATCAAGTTTTAAATAATTGCAATAGCTTAATTTTTTTATTTTTAAAAAATGAATAAAATTTAATTAATTAATACCTTATATTAGCTCTTCATAGACTGTTAAATTTTAATAGATTGTTATTTTTATACATTATAAATTATCAAGTTACCATCTATATCAATAAGCGATAATACTTAATCGCTTAAGGCCTAAAATTTATTTATTTACAATTGTTAGCTCAAATTAGTATTAACAGTAGAGAATTCAAATGATATCATATTAAATATTTTTAAAATGTTTTAAGTCTCTAAACAAAAAATGGTTTGCTAAAAGTTAGATAAAAATCTACAGTTTATAGAACTTGATGCTTGCTTTATAATTTAGTTTCTTAAAAAATCATAAACAATGAATTATGATAGAGAAGTAATGGCCAATATAGTCTAAGAATTTATTTTATAAATTTAAATAAAGAATCTTGTGCAAACTTAAGAGTCTTTTAGCTTAAGCTATTATTTAATTTAATATTTGTTATTAGCCAAAAGAGTATTTAAAACACCTGTAAAATAGTTATAATAAAGAACAATATTTTAATCTGCAAAGTAGAGTAAGTTATTTTGTAGATAACTTATAGAATTTTCATATAACTTATTTAAAAAAGGTGTCCACAATTCAAGCAATATTATTTAATTATCAGAAAAAATAGATATAGTATTAGTAGATTAAGTATAATAAGCTTTTGTAGTAAGGCTATAACTTTTATAATCTAAACTTCCTAAGAATTAAAGGGTAGATTTACAAAAAATGTTTAACCTATCTTACGATAAAACAGTAACTAGATTAAGAAATTAATCAAAAATAATAAAGATAGGGCATGGGTACGAAGAACTTTCCTAAAATATTATTCCCTAAAGAGGAGCTTTTTAAATACTGCAAGTTTAGTAGTTGATACTATAAATATTTTGTTAATTAACACTATAAAATACCTAAATTTTAATTAAATTTAAAACATTTTGTTAAAATTATATTTTTTAAAAAAATCATCAATCAATCAATTGATGAAATTAATATGAAAGTAAAAAAGTAAATAATTTTAATTATTTTAAAAATAAAAATTATTTCAATTTAATTGAATAAAAAATTCGATGCTTCTTTTTGAGCATGGATATTATTTTAAATTAAAAATTACTCCTTCTTCTTCTGAATGTACATATTCTAAGCTGACTTCAGGATTAAGCTAGCATTATGTTAAATTCAAGTTGAAATCAAATATTTATATCTATGCTTAATACCATCTTGTGATAGAGAATAAAATTATTTAATTACTTTATCTATTATAGAAAATGTTTGCATCTTCAAATTAGTCTTTAAAATTTTTCTTATACTATATCTGTTAAAGTATTTCATATTCGCCATTTTTATATATTTTGAAATAAGTAGCTGAACGCAATAAAAACAACATTAATAAATCATCACTCTTAATTATTTTAAAGGAAAGAATAAATAAGCTTTCATCATCAACAGTCATAAAATTTCCCTTTTAAGTGAAATAGTCATATAAATACAAATACTTCTTCCAATAAGTTTTTATTGTAAAAACTATACTGTTTTATGATTCAAAAAATGCTTAATATGAGATAGAAATCATTTATTCTGTGAATTATAATATAATTTATTATGTTTATAAGTCTCTGTTTTTAAATAAAATGATTTAGTTTTGATTGTTTAAGGAGACAACTGCATCTATCTCTTTTATGTAATCCATACTTATTTGATTATCTAATTCTATAATCTAATTAGAGTAAATATCGCACATGATGTATTTTTTATTTTAATCTTAAGTCAAAAATTATTTATTACTTACAAAAATTGATTCTCTTTGAATTTTGCATCTAATTTGTTCTTTATTTTCTAGTTTTGATGAATATTATTTATATAAGATAATAATAAAAAATAATAAATTAATTTACATAAATTAATAAATTGATTTGTAAAAAAATCAAAGTAATAAGCGAAGCCAGATGCTTACTAATAAATCCCATTGAGATTTTAGATTCCATAAAGATCTAAATAATCAGGAAAATCTAATTCAAATTATTTAAAGCTCAAACTCAATAAAAATCTTCCTCCAACATTTTCTTAGTCATAAAATATAATTTAACCCTAGCTCTATACTAAAAAATAACTCGTATATGAGAACTGATTTAGGTATTAAACAAGCTATTAATTTTCGATATTATACAAATAGACTTACTAGATTTTTTAAATTTTTAATTAAAGAATTGAAATTAATTAGAAAGTAATTTGTAATGAAGCCAAAATAAAAATAACAATTTAAGAAAAAAAATTCACTATGAAGAATTAATGTATAAAGTAATTTACTTTCTCTTTATTTTGGATAATTATGTGTCTCTATTTGTTGATTATATAAATTTATGATTATAATACTATTACAGATAGAGGTAAAGAAATATCTGTTTAAGTTAGATCAGCAGATTGATACAATTTATATAATTTATCTTTTTGCATAATGAAATTTTCTTCACTTTTGGCTACTAAATCTCCATAAAGAGATTGCTTTTCTTATGTTTTTAAATCTATAAAATAAATGATACCTTATCCTAAAAATTTAGAATATGCGAGTTTATACTAAGAAAAACTAATATATTCTATAAAACCATCATATTTCCAATCTTCAAGGATTCTTAATATTTTCATAAGATTTTAGAGACTTTATCTACTATATTCAACTAGATACCTTTAATCATCACAAATGTTTAATCTTAAAATATAATTATTATCTATATTGAAATATCCATCTTAAGTATAAAAATTATCCTAATATTTTAGAGAAGATGTGTTTATATTATATTCTAACACAATAATATTATTTTTCTTTGTATTTATATAAATGATATTATTCAAAGCTTATAGACTACTGCTATATTTATCTTCAGATTAGTTAGTAGCTACATTTATCTAAAAAATATCTATTGTTAGATTAGAAATACAAAAGAGTTTGACAAAATCATCATAAGACACTGCAATATATAAAATATTTGGATTTTTTTACTAAATTATTCTAATTCTATTAGAAGAACTTACAATATCAAATTATTATATTAAATGTGTATCTATATTGAAAATAATAAAATTATACCATAGCTAACTTTAATAGACTATTACTAAATATTGATCACTAATTTTTGCTTCAATTACTAGTTAATATAAATTTTTTTCAAAGACTAATTTTTATTCTTGAATTGAAATAATCTAGAAACCAGTCTTTAATATTATAAATAGAAGACTTCTTTCTTCGTCAGTTAGTAAATTCTGAATTCCGTTCATTTATTAATAAATATTTTATCCAACATGGTTGCTATATGTGATGCTTTATAATTCATTGCTAAAGCTTATTTTCTAAACTTAGCTATTATACGCTATCACTAATTATTTATTAATTTTTAGCACTTAATAAATACCTACTTCAAAATTTAAAAAGTCAATTGTATTCAATATTATTGTTTGCTCAGCTTAATCTTACTAAACATAAGTGCTATTAAAATTAAGTTATTAAATTTGTATCTTGTCTATATCAATCAAATAGGCTAAGGCTTAATTATTTTATAGAAGTTTTAAGTGCCTGTATTCTAAGGTTTTTTATTATTTGAAAGGAAAATAGTAATTCAATCTATTCATTACTTTTTCATCGCTAGTAATATTTATGATTTCATAACCTTTTATATTTAGTAATTTATTTTTTATTTAAAATTATTTTAAAGTATTTTTTTCCGTCAATTAATACCATTATAAATTATCATTTTTCTTAAAATAAAGAAACAGATAAAAGTAATTTATTTAACCTTTAAAATGTGATTATTATAGTAAATAGTGATAATTGAATTAAAAAAAAAAAAATTAAAATATTACCTATTTAAGTCACTAAAATAAGAGTTTTATAATTGTCAAGTATCATATGTTCAATAATTTATGATGTTGACTCTGAAAAATATGGAGTATCCTTTTCAAGTATTTTATTTGAAAAAGTAAAAATAATTAATACAAATTAAAGTAATCAAAAAAAATAAATTGAAAATCAATTTACATATTAAAAATTATATTTTTCAGTTGTCTTATTATATACTAGATTAGAACAAATAACAACTGATTAATAAAGACCTTTAAAGTAGCCAACTTTTCTAATTATAAATCTAACTTTATCATCCCATTCAAAAACCTCTATTAGATTGTTTTCTAATATTTCATTTAAACGTAGAAAAATAATTCCCTTATTTAAGTCAAATAGTAATGTTTATTATTAAGAAACAAGAATTACTTTGTTTAAATTTTGCAACTCGTAAGCCATAAACTTTTATTCAAATTAAAATACTTTTTATTCTTATACTTACTTATTTTCAATTAAAATATCTCTATCAAATATAATTTAATTAGATTTTATTATTTCTAACTTTTATTCAGTTTCTAAAGGAATTGAGCATCCTAATTCATCTATTGTACTATTATTTGAGGAATTTTGTTATTCATCTATATAATCAGTATTATTTTAAGTTTAATCTTATTTATTTTAGTTTTCATTTTATTAAAAGTAATAGAAGTTAAAGGAAACATTTTCAGCATTCTAAAAAGTATAATTTTTAAGTGATTATGTTTGAAAGTTATAAATTTAAAAATTATAAGTTAAATATTAGTAGAAATTATATTAAGAAAAACCCCATAAACCTTATTTTTGAAATTATTTAGTAATTTAAATTTTTCCTTCCTCTAAATCAATTTCTTATATCTCAGCTTGAGATACTAAGAAAATAGTGCCATTATTTTGAAAAGCTTGATAATAATCTGATAATAAATTTATCTAAAAAATAGGAATCAAATCTTTAAATGAGTAGAACACTGCATATTATTTATCAAGAGCTATTACCTTTATATAAATAAAATGAATTGAATGTAAATTTATTAATTTCTCTCTTTAAAATTATTTACAAGTTAATCCCCATTTGATCTTTGATAATAAAATAACAAGTTTATGTTAATTTAATTAATTGTAGGAGCAGCCATTTTAATTCTACTAAATTTTTTTAGACTAACGCAAAGTTTTAAATCTTCATCTGTTGACTCAGGACAATTAGTTGTACAAAAACCTGATTCTTTATTATAGCTGTAAAACTCATTTTCAAGACATTCTTCTTTCTAACAAAAGCGCTGGTCTTATGATAACTACCATCCTTTTTTACATTCCTAACATTTTTTAGTTTTAAATTCGCATTTTTAGCAATTATCTATTCCACAATCAATACACCTCTAAAAGTATTCTTGTTAAAATTAATTGTTTTGACATTATTTTACACATTATTTTGAAGTATTGTCCTAATTATAATAAAATAATAATTTTATTTTGTCTTTTTAAATAATTTACCTAATAATATGACTCCTAACAACTAAAACAACTATTGGAACCTGTACAAGAATTACAAAATTATTAACAATCTCCACAGCTTTATAAAGATAAGTCATAATACCGTTTTTGATTTTTACATTCTTGAATGATTTGTGCTTAAATCTATCTTATTATTAAAACTGAAAAAATATATTTTATAATCTGATTTAGCTTCATCAATTACTTTTTAATTTATTAATTTCTTTTTTTCTATAAAAATAAAATTTACTCTGTATTAAAGGACAGCTAAATACTATTTATTCACAAGATTTAAGATCAAGTATAATTATTATTAAGGATAATTATATTTATAGGTATTACCATTGATTTTAGTTTTAAATTAAAAACAAATTAAATGAAAAGTAAGTAATAAATGTTAATTTGATTTTAATAAAAAATCAACTTATTTCAAATTTGAATAATAAATATATTTTATAATTTTCATAAAATATGTTTTTCAAGATAATTCAAATTATGTAATAATAAATAAATGACAAATATATTTATGTTTATTTATGAAATTAGGTTCTAATTATTTCATATTAAATAAAAATTAAGTTCTAGTAATAATTTGTAAGGCATCATAAACCTTCTATCAACTGATTTAATTTGCTTAAATTACAGTGCTAATTATTTATTTTAAAAATAATATTAAGCATAAAAATATTTTTAAAAATAACATATTTATAATCTTAAAATTTTTTTTAAGATTTTGTAAAAGAAGGGACACATTTTTAAATTTAAATTTAACCAAAGAGTTAATTAATTTTAGTATTTGTCTCACATTTTATAAATTTATTATTAAAGTGTCCAGTTAAATTTTTAGAAAGGATAATTTGAATTTTACAAATAGTATGTATGTATGTATGAATTGATGTTTAACAAATCAAAAAAAGCACTAAAATAAAAGTGTACATGAAAAAATGTAAGGTTACATAATTTTTAAGGCTAATTACATACATTTTAAATGAAGTTTATTTTCATAGTAATAAAAATGTTAATCCTATTAATAGAATCATAATAAATGCTAATCTAGTACCAGTTTGAACAAAAACACATGAATTATTTTGTAGTTAATATTGCCCTTTACCATCTTATATGCTGATGCAAGACTAACATGTAGCAGAGTCATATAAGTAAGAAGAATAAAACTAGCAATTTGCTACATAGCAAGTACTTAAACCTTAAGAAGGTATGCAAATATTATTTCTAAGGTTATAATTAGGTTAACATGCACTGCAAGTATAGTATGAATTACTAGCCAATTTTTAGACAGCAGAGCATCCAGGTAGGTTGAAGATATCTAATATACAATTTTACTTACCAGTTTCTGTAATATACCCAGATTCACATAAAGAACATTCAGAAGTATTAGAGGTAGTTGCAGATACTATACAATGAGAAGTACTCCTTCCTGTGAAACATTATTTACCATCTTAAGATATTGTATATGTATTATCCTTACAAAGCAAGCATGTATCTGAATCGATTTAGTTATACTTACAATTCTAGGCAGTAATTTGTTTACAAGATTTAAAATCTGTGCTTAAATAGTAGCCGTTAGCACATAATCCGCACAAACCAGTTGTTATTACATACGTAGAGCAATTTTAAATTGGAGAAGATTATATGCAAGCATTTTTTACTAAATAATAATTTGGTGCACATTAATAGCATGTTTCCCCTCTTTCGCTTCCATTATTAATGCAGTTAGAAACTTGCATTTGCTAGCATGTCTTAGTTGTTGTGTTAAACACATATCCTAAGCTACAAAGAAGACAAGCATCATTTACTGGGTCAGGTTAATCACAATTAGTAATACGAGCTGGTGTATAGTTTTAGCAGGTTGGAGGATTTGTAATATTGGCATCAGGTACTAAGTATTAATTACTAGGACAAAGAGGGAAGCATTAACCATAACTTTTTAAGTAAGCATTCACTCCTTGTTAGCAACTTGAACATTTCGTTCCTTAAGGGTTAAGCTTTTTAAAAAATAAAAATTAATATAATAAAATTATTATCTAAAAACTTACAGTCAGACAATTCATTTGGCTTACGTCCTTGCAGTAATTCTTCGATTAAACTAACCATCCTTACTGTCCATCATTAACTTAATTACAAAATTGGCATTTGGGACTATTTTACTAATAAATGTTACAATTGTTAATTGAAATAGGGTTACAAAAACCTTTTTTTAGAGAGTGATCATCTTAAACAATCACACCACCTATTCCTTAAGTTGAGCATAAGATACAAGGTGTATCAGTTAGTGAATAAGCTTTACAGTAGTCATTCTTATTAGATCTTGGATAGCATATTTAACCTACAAGATAAAATGGTATATCACATTCACTGCACTATTAAGTATCATTAGTGTATATACGACAATAATTAATAGGGTTGTCAGGTGGAAGGCATTAGCTAGTTGATGTCTTGAAATAAAAGTAATCTTAACATTTCGTGCATACGGCAGTAGCTGATCCATCTGATTGAGCACAATTGGGAATTTAATCACATGCAAATGAAGCATTAAGCTTAAAACCAGGTTAACATTAAGCACAGACGTTTGTTTGTGTTGGATTATTAAGTGGACTATATTTTAAGCAATTAAGAACTGTGCCGAGCTGGCAAATGCCATTACTATTCAAATAATATTTATCTCCACATTAACTACAAGTTTAGTTTATTCCAGAACTTTAAATGCAACCATTCATGTTTAAATCAACACAAACTCCTCCAATTGAAGGGTATTTTAATGAAATGCATTTTAAACAGAATGGATTTATACCATCTGTAGTTACACAATCTTGAATTTAATTACATAAAAATCTGCTTGAATCAACATAATATCCACCATGATCACACTCTAGGCAGCCTGTACCATCACCTTAACCAGTTGGGTTTATACAATGATTTACTTGTATACAATCTGCTCCATTAAAAGATGTATTTAGTAAATAATTTGCACTACAAGTCTAACATACTTAACCATTAGTATTTACAGCTGAACAGTTGGCAGATTTTGGAACACATATAAGGTATATTTAGTTATTTGTAGATTTTTAAAGTAGATAAGTAGACTTGCATTTTGAGCAGACACCACTTGAATTATATTCTTAACAGTTAGGGTCTGGCAAGGTAGAGAGGTTTAAGCAGTATGGATTATTAATTGGATCTCTAACTACAATATTTGAGCAGGGTGCAGATGGGCCAAGATATGGGTTATAAAGACACAAATTAGGATTAGAAGGCAACTTATATTCATATCCAGATTTACAAGTTGTGCATACAGTATTTGAACTATCTGTATAACCTGTACATAATTACCCAGCAAAAGGAACACATAAATTTGAACTTAAAACAAAATTAGCTTAACAAGCATTGCACCCAGAAGCATTGTATGTTTAGCAATTTTAGACAGCTATTAGACAAGTATTACTATTTAAGTAAACTCCTGGTAAACATATTTGACAGTTAACAGCATTCTTAAAATTTAAAGGATCTATTGTATTTTAACAGTTGCTTATAGCAGGTTGGATTACGCAATTTCCGTTAACATCAGGTGCATAATTATTTTCACATATTCTGCATTTTCCTGGAGTAAAATCATAGACTCTACAATTATCTATTAATATACTTATAGTATTAATATTAACGCAGGATTATGTTACAGCTGAAGAATTAGCACAAGTGGTACCATCAATACTTAACTAAAGGACAAGTGGACTTTAACATTATAAACAATAACCATATTTTGGTTTTAGATATAAATTTGTGCAAACTGCATCTTTTAATTAAGTAGTACCAGGAATAAACATGTAAAAGACACTACAAAATTAAGGAGGCTAGTAAATAGGATTAGGATTAAAAACAATACACTAAGAAGTAGTGCTGGTTGAGGTGGTATCTAATTACATATTTGGTACACATTAATAACACTTATTTGAAATACCATCAGAAATCAAGCAATTTTGGATTTAAGTACATGTATTTCCGCTTTTAGCATATCCTGATTAGCACTAAAGACAAGTCGTTGTACCCCCGTTTGATGTTTATATAAGACAGCCTGCTATATATAACTAACATTAATTATTTACTAATATATAGCCTTATTAACATGCTAAGCAAATGTTTGCTAAGCCATCTGAAATTGAGCAAGAGGCAATAGCTACGCATTAAAATGTAGTAGGGTCAATGTAGTATCCCATTTAACACTACATACATTTACTTTACCCATCTGTACGAAGACATTAAGAATATGCAGGATAGCATATATTACTACTATTTAGGAATGCGTTTGGTAAACACTATATGCATTTATTTGCTTTACCATCACTTACTAAGCAAAGATTTGCATTTGTAATGTCCAAGCATTAAGGAATATACTTTAGAGATTAACATTACAAACAGTTTCCTTTTCCATCTGTACTCTAACAGTACTCTTAGAACTGGAGATTGTGGAGGAGACATACTGAAAAATCAGGGGATGGAGTATACATACTTTAGCAAATTTAACATCCATTAATTCCAGTTGTGAAATAGGTTACACAGTTAGGTATATTTTAATAGCAAGAATTATTAAATAAATGATATTAACTTTAGCAATTATTGCAAACATATGTAGCTGGATCAACTGCTGTGCAATAAGGAGTCATTTAATAGCAGTTACCATCACTACCCTTATAGTAACCACTACTGCATGTTGTGCATGCAGCAGTAGTACCAACTGAGCAGTTAGGAGGAAGAGGTGAGCAAACTGTATTTCCAGAATCAAGATAAAATTGTTGATTACAGTTCGTGCATTATGTTTTTCCATTACTTGTTTAACAATTATCTATATAAATACATTTATTGCTTGCATCTAAAATGTAACCATTTGAGTTACAAGTGTCACATTTATCTGCAGCAGGTTAACGTATTGCACAATTATCAAACATTTGATTCCTCATGAGGCATTTATTTGTAATTTGATCAGCATAATAATTAAGAGGATCTTTGCATTTAATACATTTAAATGTAGTGTTATCTGCATAATCACATAAACTATCACCACTAACACACTGTAACTAGTTTTAAGTCTTAACTTATCCTTTACTGCACTAAACACAGAGAGCAACATTGTTATATCTGTTGGTAAAGTCATCATATTAAACACATCCATTGATAGCAGCTTCAAAGGCACCTGCATTAGTGAGACCTAACATAATTGATTGCCATCCTGGTATCACTTATATAGCTGTTGTAGGAGTAGTCATATCGTTAGATGCAAGCCAGAAAGAATGCTCATTTTGTAGCCTTCTTGAAAGTTTTTTGCAACTATTACCTCCAGTTTCTAAATAAAACCCTACCTAGCACATTGTGCATCCAGTTGTTCCAGATAATTACCATCCGCAATACTAGCCTTAATCTGGCTAAATAGATTAATAGGAAAAGACACCATTATTTTAAGAATAGGTCACTGTATATCCTATTTTCGGTTAAATACACCCTTTTCCAGTTTTATCTAACCTAAGACAACCTTCTATTTATTGTTAAACACACTTAGTAAGATCATAAGTGGCAACGAATCCACATTGGCACTCTAAGCATCCCCATTTAGATTACCAAATACAGCCTTTTAAGGTAGAAAGTATGCACTAACTCATATCGTAAGATTTAGTGAAACCTGCTTAGCAAATTTGACATCTCTCAACTCCATTGTTATCCAGTATGCTTTCAACACAATTAGGAATGTTTACTGGATGTGTTAATGTAGGAATTTAAGCTCTCACTAAACAAATAAACTCGAAAATAGTTAGTACACCTAAAAATGCAGCTACTTACTTTAACCTTTTCATCTAATATATGCTTGATGTCCTAGTCCTAATTTAAATTTAACTAATGTATGAACTTATGTTGTTTTTTTGCAAAATCTATCAAATTAATTAAGAATTGTTATTATTTTTATTGAGTTTTAATAAACTTTTACAAAAAATAAATGATACATAATTTATTTATTTTCTAATCTTTGAAAATTAATTAATAAACAAATAATCCAAATATCATTAAAATGAGTTATCTTTTCACTTTTAACTTATCAATTTACCCTTCTTTCCCTTAAAATTGCTGGACTCAAAATATCAATATTTATCAAATGATTATCATAAATTGTTTGTTTCAGAAGGTAAAATCTTACTGGGCCTTAAAAATTCCTATTAAATTCTCTTAAAAACTTTATTTTTTTTTATACCTCTTAAACTTTAAAAATTATAATAATATTTGCAAATGTATCCTTTAAAAATGCTAAACATTAATATATAAATTTACAATAAAATATCATTTTAGATTGCAAATATGATTTAATTTTTTTTAAAAGGGGCAATAAAAATTATTTAAATTTAATTAATATTATTAAGTTGTTAAATAATATTATTTAATTTTCCTCAAAAAATTAAAAATAGTTTGATGACTTTAAAAATTGCTTAGAAAAGAAATTGATGCAATATTAGAAAAGATTGTTTGCTAACAAGTAGTAATAATTTCTTTAATAATTATATAAAAATTTGTATGAAATTTAATTAAATTTAATAATTAAATTGATATTATATATTTATAAGTTAATTATTTTTATGTTTAGAGTAAAAAGCTAATTTATTTTATTGCTTCAAATATAATATTAAATGTATATCCCGTAATATCTAAATTTTTATTCAATAAGACTCGTCCACTGCAAGTTAAAATATCTTATTATGTCAAGTGATGAATGATCAATTAATTCAAAATTATAATTTTACATCTGAAATGGTAAAATTATGTCAATCTATTTTAGATTCTCTACAGAAACATTATATGAATAAGATTTTAAAGGTAAAATACTTTAATTATAATTGTTCTGAGGGATATAGTTGGATAATTATTTAATTATTTTTATATATTATGACACTTATGCTAAAGCTTAATCTGAATAAATCGAAATGGAAATATCAGATAGCAGTATTTAGCAAAGATCATCCAACGCAAGCTAATAAAATCTTAAATTAGGGTTATGATTTAAGTTGTCTTCTATCAAATCTTAAAATTAATATTGCTTTTATTCAATAGCTTTGTCGAGAAAGAACGTTACTATAAAATTTTCAATAGATAAACTTATAAACTCTTAACCATAAGGGTCAGACGGATTATTAATTTAATCACCAATAAATGAGTAAATTTTAAATAGGACACTATTATTATTATAACCAGTTTCAGAAGAAACTATATTCCAATCTAAGCGTTTTTAAATTTCATACTATTCATAAAAAGACTTATCTACCTAATCATCCGTTTGGTCAATAAATTAATTTGTATTAGAATATATACTTTGAATTTCATGAAAAAGCCTTAATACTTTAGATTCTAGTTTTATCATGTTTTACTTCAAATGGTCTTTAGGAAACTTCCTATTGTAGCTGTTATATTTTCCATTGGCACCTAGCTGTTGAAATGGTTATGAAAACATTTGTGTATAATCCATACTTTCAATATTTTCAAACTAGTTGCTATTTAAATTTTTACGAGGACGTCCTCTACCACGCTTTTTATTAGCTTTATTAATCTATTTCAATTTATTATTAGATAGATTGCTTGTTTAAAAGCATTCATTATCGCTATCTTAATATTATTCTGTTTGGTTCAAATTCGATGGTTCATAATTGAATTCATCATCGATAATAAAATGATCGGGGTTAATAAATTAAGCATTTTAGTAATTTCCTTTTTAATATTAAATAATCTCTTATTACATTTTATTTAATTTGATTTGTGTTTAAAGCCAATTAATTTAACTTTAATTAATTATTAAAAATTTTGTTTTTTCTTTAAAAATTACAAATACTATCAATTACATCAATCTATTATAAAGCATAATGAATCATTCGTATTTTGTTTACAAATATTTTTTAAAAGCAATAACAAGTAAAGCAAAATATTTTTTGTTTTTATGAGCTTTAAAAAATTAAATTTAAAAATATTTTATCAAAATAAAACATTTAAAAAATTTTTTAGAAGAATAAAAAATAATATGTTTGCATATTTAATATTAATTGTTTTTTCGAATTTATTTAAAATCAATCCTTTATTTTTTATAAATTTGTGTAGATGTTTTAGATGTTTTAATATTTAAACTAATTTAAAATATTTTTGTAGATTATTAAAGTTAAAATAATTGTTTAAATTTAAAAAAAATACTTTTAAAAGTTATGTTCTATTATAAATGTCATTTATATGAAAAATTAGTTGCATTTTTTTAAAAACCTCTTAGATTTAAAAATCTATATTTTAAAATGCCCCAAGGCAAATAGATAAAATAGTTTGCTAAATTATTTAAAAATTAAATATTTTAGTAAATAATTTAATGAAACTAATAATAATAAATTTTTTTATGAAAATATTTATTTTATATATAATTACATCTTTTATTTTAAAAAGAACTTTCTAAATATCAAATTTTTATATGTTAAATTTTGAAAAGCAAAAAAATTTAATCTCTTTTATCTTATTCAAGGGAATTTTGTCAGGCTAAGATATGCAATAGCTACTGAAAATGTAATTAACCCTTTCCCTACTGGTCCTATTTATTAACTATCACAAATATCTCCAACGCATCTAGTAATTGCTACTAATGGTGCACCTTTAATTATTGATTTTCCTATGTATTTATATATAGATCTCTTATATGCTAAGTTTTATATTCCAGGTTAGTATAAAGCAACAGGTCCATAAACACCTCCAAAACATATTCCAAATATAACTCCATCAAAAAGTCCTGAAACTACATTACTTTTAAATATTTTAATATCCCTTTCGCTTAAAATAGCACTCATTTTTATTTAATTGCTTATTATAAAATATTGAGGAGATTGTATGTATATATTATAAATTATTACAAAAAAATTGTATTTTTAATTTATTATTTAATAAACAAATTAATTAGTTAGTTAATAAAGTATTTAATTTGTTTAAGCTTTTCAAAAATAATTAATAATTATCTTTTAAAAAAGTTTTGATTTATTTTTCGCGGAATATTAAAGTAGTTTTAATTGCATTAAATAAATCAATAAATCAAATAAGATGAAATTGTTACTTCAGAATTAGAATATTTTTCAAAAATTGAAGAATACCTTAAATGGATGCATCAAAAAATTTTATGATACATATTAAGATTTAGAACAGATGTAGAAGTTTGAAATGATTGTTGAGGACAAACTTCTTTTTAGATATTCTTGTAGTTAATCAGAAATGTTTTCAGCTCAAATTTAAGCACACTATTTAGAAAAAAGAGTACTCTAATTAACTGATGGTAATGTTAAATATATAGTTAATTTTAGAGATAAAGGGGTTTTAGATAAAGCTAACTTTTTTGATACTCCAAATAATAGCTTGGTTATTATAAGGCAGTGGAGCTATGAGATTTATTACACTAAAAATACTTTTTAAATTAATCTAGTGATAGATGAAATGAGATGCATAGATATTATTACCACTATTTTTTATTGCAAATTAGAATTAGATTTTACATAGGGGATTAAAGGGATTAGCAAGTCATCTTCTTTTTCTAATTAGATTTATGAGTATTCAGCTCAATATTATAAAGCAATATAGTTATTAAAAAAACTATTGATCAACGACTCTTATATTTCAGAGCTTTATAACTCAACTAAATCAAAATAATAGCCAAGACTTTTTATTTTTTAATCATTTAAGCCAAAAATGAATTTAGCCGAATAAAACTTAAGTAGATAATTTGAATAGTGTTAATAAGATGATTTTGGTGATGGTTGCTTATTATAAATAGTTAACTATACTCATTAAAGCCTAAAGTAAATAGAAAATAAAAATAATAGTAATTAAATAGTGAATGGTTAGAATGAAATAAGTAAAAAGAAAAGAGTTTTGAAAAGCAATGAAGATCTTTACAAAATTTCTTTATAAAAGTAATTAAAAATCTTTTAGGAAGAAGAAATAGAATTACATTCTTAATCCACTATCAGGAATTAAACAAATTAATAACTTGAAACTTTTGAATCAGATACAAGCAAAAGAAACAGTGAAAAAATATTACACTCAATTAATGAACTCAATACTTCAAAACAAAAAGTTAATTAAATGAATAGTAGTTAACACTAAATATAAAAATTAGAAAACAATAATCTTAATAAAAACATTTTAAACTAAATAAATGAGAATGATATTAAAAATGAATTAGAAGAGAGATAATAGTAACATCTAACATAATCATTCAATAGCAAAGCTCAATTAAAAAAAATAATTACATTAAAAAAAAATTAAGATATTTTATTATTTAAGCCTCAGGAATAAGAGGGTTCTAAAAAATATTGAGTCTAACTTTAGATATTTAAGATTTAAGTGTTTTCCCATAATAATTGTAAATTATTAAAATATTTATTAAACCTTCAAAAAATAATTAAAATAAGTTAAAAATTTTATAAAAATAGTTAATTATTTATTAAATAAATAAGAAAAAAAACTAAAATTATTTGTAAAGATACATAAATTATTTGTAAATATTTTTAAAATAAATAAAATAAAGAAGAAAAAAACTTTATTAATAATAAAAAATAAATTTAGTTAAGAAGTTTTTTAAATCAAATTATTTTAAATTTATAAAAATTTTTAAAATTAATTATAACAACAATATATTTTTATAAAATTAAACAAATCAATGAAAATTTAAATATTTTTTGTATATATTGCCAAATTATATTAAATTAATGTTTATTATTAATGATTAAGGTAAGCAAGGGCAGTACAATTAGATAAAAATTTTGATTTTTCAAAATAATCAATAGTTATAAAATCAATTTAATTAAGATAATTTTTAAAACCAAATTTTTTCATATTTACTAAAATTAAAATAATAATTATTTGAGCAAAATATTAAAATAAAAATAAATTATTAAAATTTATTTAATATTTTAACTAAAGCATTCTATTATTTATCTTTGCAAAATATTTACAAATTTTTAAAAATTAAAATTATTCATTTGATTTTTAATTATGATAACTATTTTTTTACTGTAATAAATATTAAAAAGTATTCTTAAAAGTTATTTCAATAAATCCAATTTAATTGTAATTAATTATCTACTAAATAATATATATATCTGCAAATTTACCAAAATTACATTTTATTATGTATTTTTTCTTTAAATTTTTTGTATGAATTATTATATTTTTGTTAATTAACAATGGTACATAACTATCAATAAATTTTTTATTTTAAAATCTATTGAAATTATTATAAGAAAATATAAATGAATGAGAGTGATTTAAGGGATATTGTGGTTTGAATAAACGAACTAACAGCTTATGTTTACACAAAAAATATAAATTTGATGGATAGTTACATTTATTAAATTTTTAAGTTAGAAGTGTATAATATGTTAATAGATTTTTTAAAATTTAGATCACTTAGCAAGAGGCATACCAGCAACTTCGAAATGTTAGTGGATCTTTCTAATAGCATTAACGTAGACAGCAATTCTCATAGAGCAGTGTAATTCGAGACAAGTTTCCTTGGTTTCCTTGACAGCAACAGACATAACTTCTTCCAAACCAGAGTAGACAATATCTTTCTGTTTTTTATAAATTAGATTTGTTAATATATTAATTTAACTATTTTTTTTCTCTATATTTAAATTGATTGAGGATGTTTTTGCTAGAATAATTTTTATTGGTGCTTGTTATTTTTTATTAGTAGTAAGGCTAATTTTTGATAGATTATGCTAAATCAATCTAATTTTAATTTAAGTTTAAAAAGAGTATTTATTACATCAGTGGCACCTCTGAGGAGATTCTTGTGCTTTTCTTCGAGTTAGTGTAACTTAAGACCAGTGATGTCTGAAATGACGTGGAGGAGATTGAGCTTGGACTTTTCTTCCCACTTTCTAGTAAGTCTACCAGGTCTCATGTGATCTAAGTTCTTAAGCCATTCGAAGTAAGATACAGTAACACCACCAGCATTAACTAAAATATCAGGGAAGAAAACGACACCCTTCTTGGTTAAGATTTCTTCAGCAGCGATGGTAGTAGGACCTTTATTTTATTTTAAATGCAAACTATTAAGACTTATCTGATAAAAAATATTGTTAATTACCATTAGCAGCTTCGGAAATGACCTTACAGTTGAATCTGTTAGCGTTATTCTTGTTAACAGTTTATTCAAAAGCAGCGGGAATGAAGACATCACATTCCTTGTAGATGGCATCTTCGTTATCGAAAGCTTCTTCAGCTCTAGGATAACCCTTGATACCCTTCTTGTTCAACTTATATTGGTAGAGATCTTCAATATCAATACCTTTAGAGTTGTAGATGGAACCATCCCATTCAGCAATACCAGTAACGATACCACCATATTCAGTGATGAACTTAGCAGCCCAGTAACCGACATTACCGAAACCTTAGATGATGAAACTATTTAATTATAAATAAATTATATTAGAAATTGTAAATTGGAATATATTTGATTCAGTAATTCAATTGATTTTATTGGTTGAATCTAAAAATTTTTAAATAGTTGATTTATATAGCTAATCAGATATTTTTTTGATGATTTTATCTTTAATTCTTGATTAATTAATTAGTTAATATTTCTTTTTATTTCTTTAATTTTTCTTTTTCTTTCCATCAACACGCTTCCTTTTCTTAATTAATAATTCAATACTTTAAAGATTTTTATTAAGTATATTTTCCTGATTCTGATGATGAAATAAACATCTAATTTATATATGCTTAATATCGCTTAAATCTTTTTTTTCATCTCCTTCTAAATTAAATCTTATATATTACTAACCCTGTCAGCCAACCAACCAATATTTAAATAAAATAAAAGTATAAATTATTACCGTTTGCCCTTCATGCCAGGTTCAACACCGAACTTTTCCATGAGAGGCTTGTCGTTAAGGAGATCTCTAGTGCAATAGAAGACCTTTTTGTTATTATAAATGTTTTAATAAAAAGATAAATAAATATGAGTATTTTTAAACTGACTGTTCAATTCATATTGCTTTTTAAAATTGAATAAAAAAAATGCTTACACCAAGACCAGTAGATTCAGTTCTACCTCTGATACCACCCTAGTTAAGAGCCTTACCAGTGACACAACCGTGAGCATTGATATCCTTGTGACCGAAGAAACTATTTTATTCATAATAACAAAATTTAGTATAAAATGTAAGTCTTGAGAAGATCATTTAATCTTTTTAAGAGAAATAGATCTTCTAACTAATATAAAAAAGGAAATAGTATGTACGTTTGATAAGTATCCTTCATCCAAGACATTTCTCTTTCACCAGTACCCAAATCAGGTCCTATTATATGATAAATTTAAAAGATTAGATGATAATTAAGCATTTTAAAACAAAAATTTATTCATAATTGCTAATCTTCCATTCTTGATGATGGTTTGATTACATCAGAATTAGAAAAATGAAAAATGTTAATAGAAAATGCTCTATTTGTTCTTTGAAAAAACAATTTGTAGTTTTCAGTAGGTAAATAGTTAGTCTTATTACCGGGAACGTCGATGGCAGCACCGATGAAGCCCTTCTTAGCTAATTCAAGAGTGTATCTTCTGGTGAGAGATTCGATTTCTCTAGCAGAGTATTACTTGGGGTTGAAACCAATACCACCCTTAGCACCACCGTAAGGCAAGTTAACGACAGCACACTTTAAAGTCATCAAACAGGACAAGGCTTCAACTTCCTATATGATTTAATAAAAGAAGTTGATTTATTTGTTTGAAAAATGCAATTTTTGTTTATGATGTAAAAGCATAATGAGTGGTTACTTGAATGTTGATGTCTTTAGCATATCTGGTACCACCCTTAGTAGGAAGTCTGTGTAACTTGTGTTAAGCTCTGTAGGCTTCAATGGATTCAATAGTACCATCATCTCTAACGAGGGGAATGGTAAACTTGATAACACAGTCGGCCTAAATTCAAAATAATCAAAATAATCGTTAAAATTATGATGTAGGTTATCAAACAAATATTTACCTTCTTGTAGTAGTTAAGTTTATCAGGAGAGATTCTGGTGTATGAGGCAGCAGCATCGAAGTATTGGTGGACCATTTCTAAGAACTTGGGTTCACCAGCAACAGAGCTGAAGGAAGGGTTGTACATACTAACTAAGGAGTTAGCAGGTAATCTGGAACTTAAAATCTTGGAAAGCATCTTTTTTAAATGAAATCTTTTCTTTTAGATTTTTTCTTTCTTTTTTATCTTTTAGTTTTTATTGATTTTTTTATTAATTTTTTTATTTCTTTATTTCTTAATAGTGTGTAATAGCAAACCTCTGCTCCTATTATTTGTTTGCTTTATTCTTTTAATTTTTTTACTTTTTTTCTGAGCTACTTACTATCTTATTGAGAGATGAATTTGTTTCTTATTTGTTTTATCTAATGATCTTTTAAACTATATTTGCCTTTTGAAAAGTTTTTTTTGATGTATTATTATTAGTTCGTCACTTCAAATACTTATTTTTCAGCTATGTGTTAATATTCAGCCTTTCCCCCACCATATCCTTCTCCTACCTACAATGCTAAGTCTCCACCCTTTTAACCAATGCCCATTTTTTCCTAGCTATAAAAGATTCTCTTTTTAACAAAGATTGATAAATACATTTAACCTTTGGCAAGCCCATATTTCATGTATTATTGCAAACAATATCTTAGTATCTTTGATGGTCTTTTATCAATAAATATATTTAATCAATAAAGATTTGCATTCCCCATATTTCGAAATAAATACTTTTCTAGAAGTAATAAATAAGATTTAATATTGTTTAGAGTTTGCAATATTATTTATTTATCTACACAAAAATTAATGATAATGCATATGTATTTTTTTGAGAATGAGCTATTTTTATGTTATCTACTCTTCCTTAAGCAATCCTTCATGCACATTGATCATTAATTCAAAATAATCATTATCGAGTACATTTTATTTTCTGCTTTTACATGCTCGCTTATCAGTAGAGAAAATATGGTTCCTATTGACATCTTTTTATTTAGTTAATTTTGAATGAAATAAAAAGGATAAAGATGATTAATTTATATTATTTTGATAAGAAAAAATTAATGTATTTTGATTGAGATAAATTAAAGTTTATATAACATCATATTATAATAAATTTAACATGATAGAGAATACTTTCTGCGTATCTTTCTAATAATATTTTTAATTATGAAGATTATAACATATATTAATTTGCATTTCATTTAATTAAAGAAAGTTAAAATTTTTAATAAATAAAATCAATCAATAATTTCCTGCTCCCCAACTCGTTTTATTCATATCAATTTTATAAGACCACAAATAAATTAACAAATAAATTGAAAGTAAATATATAGGGATTAACTATTGAAATCTCTAATTTCTAAAAAATAAATAAGCATAAAGTGTAGGGGAGGAATAGTGCGATATTAGTAATAAAAAAGAAAAACAAAATAAAAAAGTTAAGCATATTATAACTTAATATTGCAGATTTATCTTTAAGTGATGAAATATTATTTAAGCATTAAACCCTCACATATCTAAATGTCACATTAAAGAGATATTAAAATTATCATATCAGAAACTATTTTTCTTAAGTTCTGAAACTCCATCAGTAATGTTTGCTTCAAGTTTTAGCTAATTATTATTAGCCGATTTTGGTAGCATTTCTCATTATTTTCTTTTTTTATATTTCTTCTTTATTTAAATGACTGGTTACAGAACTAAAATCACGTCACTTTTATCAATAAAGGGTCTTTTAATAAATTTGTTTTGCGTATTATTTCCACAAGAAAATAAATTTTTTAAATGAATTAATTTTGATGCTTTTCTTCTTAAATTAGAGAAGAATATAATGAATTTTTTTTAAAATTAGATATTTTTTATATATATTCTAGTAGTTATTAAATTATTCCAAGAATGGCTATGTATGCTTAAATAACAGTTTTGGGTATCTCAAGATTGATAAAGTGAATATACAAATGATGGATAAAAAATAAATTGCATCAAAGATAATTTAGCCAAATAAAAACGATTCTAATAAAGTTTAAAAACAAATAAAAATTATTCTATTAAAGCTAAAAAAGTTTTAAATTATTGAAATTATTTAAATTAATTAATAAATAAAACAGTTTAAAATAAAAATCTCTTGATTTATTGAAATAAACAATTATTTTACATTTTTTTAACACATTTAATTAAGTAATTTATTTATTAACAAAGAATCATAAATTTTTATATAATTTAATACATAAAGATTATTAAAATAATTAATTTGAGATAATTAATTTCAGTTTTTAAAAATATTTTTAAAATATTTTAAAATTTTAATATTGTTAGTTAATTTATTTATTTATTTATTATTTTTTATTATTTTAGATATAAATAGAGTGATTTTTTTTGTATTGATGATTTTTTCAATATTCTGACTTGAAAGTTAGTTCAAGAACTAAATAGAAGCAAAAGTAAAATATTTTAGATATTATTGAAACAGAAACTATAATGTAAATTATCGCAGATAAATTGATGTTAATACCATGTCCTATCCATTCAGGTAACGTTTGTATTAATGAGTATATAGAAAGTGAAAGTTGTGATAAATATGTTATTATAAATAATATGAGAATTATTCTTCTTAACTTGTATAATTTTTCAACAATTGAAGACCGACTATAACTATCTATTTGCTAAACCATATAATAAAAAGCGAGAAGTATGATAGCAATTGCTATTTCTAGATAGCTCATTATTTTAACTGAAATATTGTCATATAATTAATCTTTTATACTAAATGATAATATGTATCCTGAAATGCTAAGTAAAATGAAAAACCAAACTACTATGTAAAATACTAGTTTAGTAATCTGATTTTCTGTTAACAACAATGAAAGTTCATCTTCCTATTAAATAAATTCAGTTAAAAAGAATGAATATCGTGTATGCACTAATTTTTTTATCAATATTTTACAGCTAAAAAGGCTTCCTTAAAACAATTTCTTGGTTTGTCTTTGAAAATCTGATGATCTTAAACAAAAATCTATTAACCATTATAAAAAGAGCTGCTAGGAATATCATTTTGATAGTCTCTACTGAGTAAATTAGTATAAGCTTATAAATCTTCCTATGACATTCCAAGATATGAGCTATTATATTTTGTATTTATTTAGCTATTTTTAAATAGATAGCTATTTTAAAAAGTTAATCAGATTTCAACTAATTGAAGAAGCTTATATTATAAGATTGAAAGCTATTATTTATGGATTAGAAATTGGTGTAAACCTAGAAATATATTAAAATTTTAGAGGATATTCACAGATTAAAGAGAATAATCAAACATATAAGAACAATCAACCAATATCCAAAAAATTAAATATATTTTTTAAAATAATTGAATACCATTAGAAATATACAAATAATTACTATAAATTTATATTTACACAAGTATTAACAGATATTTAAATTACATTGTAATATAGTTCTTATAAATTATTTTCATTCTTTTTTAAATAAATTTGATAAATATTTTAATTATCTTTTATTATTAATATTTTTATTTTACTTCTTTAAACATAAATAATGTTTGTATTTTATATAAACTACTTGATTGCTTACAAATTCTTTTATTATCTTACAGATTAATGATGATAGTTAGCCATACACATAAAAACAATCAATTAATATCAAAAAAATAAATATATTTTTAAAAATAATTGAATACAAATAGAAGTATACAAAAAATTACATAAAATTTATATACATACTTACAAATATTTTGATTACATAATAATATAAATCGTTTACATTCTTTCTTTAAATTATTTTAATTCTTTTATTAATAAATTTTTGATAAATATTTTAAATTAATATATCTTTTAATATATAGATAAATATTTTAATTTACTTCTATAATTTTTTTTTTGCTATTTCTTAAAACTATTTGTTTTTTTGCTTACTAAATTTCTTGCATAAAAAACTCATTTTTTTCCAATAAAATTTGTAATTGACTTGACACTCCCTCTCTATCTAGGTTGCTAAACTGGAGTAATAGGATCTTTTACCTCTAAACCCTTAATAGTAGTGTCACTTTAAGGCTCAACTGTGGCTCTTCTAAATGCTGCTCTATTTAGCTTTATTCCATCAGTTGGTTATTATTTTAATGAATTCAATGTTGGAATGAGATTTCTTCGTTTGTTATCAATTTATTTAATACCAGAACCGAGTTCTTTCTTTTAATCTTCATCTCCTTCTTCTATAGAATCTAAAGATGCCTTCTTTTGATTCGAGCCTAATCCCAAATTTGAATTTTTTGAGGATCTTCTAGATGAATTATTTGAAGAAGACTAGACTTAAATAAAGGAACCTCTCTTTGTAACAGATGAGTGTGGTTGAATTGGTTTTGTTTTACCAGTAATCAGTGGCTATTTCATCTTCAAGGGTGAATTTTCAGGCATTTCTTCATTTCTCTTCCTAATTGATATCAATAAATAAAATATATAAAATAAATGAAATTTAATATTTTCTTTTTTCTTACTTTTCTTATTTGATTAAGTGCCTCATTTTTTCAACGTCTCCTTTAAATGGAGATTTATGTCTTTCACCTTCCTTTTCAGTAACATCTTTGAAGAATTTATGCTTTAAAGCTTCTGTTGCTGTAATTCTTTACTTAGGATCACACTTTAGAAGCTATTTAAGCAAATCTTAAGCAAGTGGAGGAAGATCTTTAACATCCTAGCAATTTAAATTAAAGTTTACTGACTTATTTTCCTAAAGCACCTCTGCATGAGTAACTCCTTAAAACAATGGTTTGTGAACACATCTGTTTGTAATAAAAGAAATAAATTTAAATTAAAGTCTGTTGTTATATCTTAAATTAATTATACAATTTATAAAATATAGCGCCAGCAGAAAAAATATCACACTGAGTATCATATTGAGTTTACTCTTCTTTGAGATTAATGACTTCTGGAGCAACATAACCTGGAGTTCCACATTTTAAGTATAGATATTTTTTAGCATCTGCTTTTTAAGCTAATCCAAAGTCTCCTATTACTAAATCTAAGCTTTCTTTGCTTCTCATTAGAATATTTTCTGGTTTTAAATCTCTGTGCATAATATTCTAGCTGTGAAGAGCTTCAAGACCTTTTTTTTGTAGAACAAATATGATAAATTAATTTATTGATGAAGTAGAAAGTATGCCAATATTTTTAGGAAAAAAAGACTATAAATTTACTAAATTAAAAATAGTAATGTTCTTTTTTCAAATATAAAAGTTTTACCTGAAAGAATCTATTTCATTATTAATCCAATTTCAAACCATGTTAAATTTGGGTTTTTCTTCATTAGATCAAAAAGTTATCCACCTTCAACAAGCTCTAATACAATCTTTATGGAGCTATCTGCATCAAAGACTTCAAATAATCTCATAACATTTTTGTGGCGGACAAGTCTCATAAGTGCCAATTCATTTTCTATTTCTGCCTTTTATAATAAAACTCAATATTAATCTAACCAGTTTTTAAATTTTGATAATAAAAATAATATTGTTATGAAAATGAGATAATTGTAAAATTTGTGATATTTTACCTTTCCATCTGTTGTTTAATATATATGAGCTTTGCTTAAACTCTTTACTGCAAATAGACTTCCATCAATTTTTTTTTCTGCTATAACAACCTTTTTAATTTACCAATATATTAATAAAAATCACTGGATTTTTTTTTCTTTATATTTTTAAATTAAATTAAATCTATTATTTATGACTATAAAACTTATAATTTTAGATATAAATTAAATCTATTATTTATGAGCTATAAAATTTGTAATTTTAGCTGTAAATAAAATATCAATTACACTTGCATATGCTCCACTGCCAATTACCCTCTTTACATCATAATAAGCATAGAAGTTTTTTTAAGTTATTTTTTCAGAGAGCTTGCTTTACCATTCTACATAAACCTTCTTATCTTCATTTATAAATTCACAATCGCACATGTCTTTTTCGATTTTTAATGACTTGAAATTATGTTATTTAATATTCTCTAGCTCATGATCTTTATCACCGTCTATGACTAGCTCAAATGTCATTTCGAAACAAAATTTCAAAAATGCTATAACTTGATTTCGCTGTTTGTTTAAAAATAGTATTTTACTATTAATAGAAAGTACTATAGTAAATTATATATTCAAGTTTATTCAAACATTATATTAATTGAAAGCATGAATTTTACTTATATAAGATAAAGTCTTTTGCCATAGAGCTTAAGCTCACACTCTTCATACTATTGTGAGTCACCTATTCTCTTTTTAAATTTAGAAGACAATAGACATACTTCATTATCAGGTAAATGAAGTTTATTTTCTTCGTTACCACTAATCCAGTAAAACTCTAAAGAATCCTACAGAAGAGAGTTTTCCATCGTATTTGAAAATTAAAATAATTTTAATTTTTAAAGCAGAGAAAGGATGAATAATTTAAAATTCTTAGTTTTAGAAAAAAAATTTATGTTTCTTTTTGTCTGTAAATTACTTTATAATGTTAGTAAATTAAGATGATATTTTTTTATTATATTAACGCAAATAGTAAAATTTTTTGATGAGTTATAGCCTTTCTTTAAAGATATATTTTAAGGAATTCGAATTAGAGTAAATTTATAAGGTTTATATATATCCAAAAGATAGATAAATGCTAAGGATTTTTTGTAAACAGATAGTTTTTTAGTATATGCAATATTCTTTTCTCTTTAATTTATTGAATAAATTTAATGATTATTATAAATATTAAAATAATCTAATCACTAAAAATTTATTATAAAATTTCGATAGTATAGCTATTCTAACAATTATCTTTTATTATAATTTTTTTTGCTAGATCGGATGATTATAAATATATAGGTTTAACTTACTAAAATCCTAAATATTTAATTTAGAAAAATCCATCCATTCTTCTATCCATAAATTATTTAAAAAAATTATTATTTTTATAGCGCCTAATGTTAATTAATTAATAAATATTTATTACACTCTTCATACACTTGAAATACTTATAAAATTTTTGCTTTGAAGAATCTACAAAAATAGAAACTTAGTCAAAATTTATCAAAAAAATTTTAATATTTCACATTTTAACTTTTCATACATATTCTTTCATAAGAAGATCATATTAAATTTTAAAATCATATTTTTTATTAGATCAAATTAAAGCCTCACATAATCTTACTAAATAATTAAATTTTAAGTTCTTCATATACTTTGAAATGCTCATAAAATTATTAACTTGGAGACTATACAAAAATAGCTACTTATTCTATTTTTGTCAAAAAATATTGAAAATTTAACATTTTAACTTTTCATATAAATGATTTCAGAAAAAGACAATATTGAATATTAAAATCATATTTTTTTGATAAAAGATTCATCAAAATAAAAGGCAATATATTTTTTTAAAGCCAGTAGGAATTTAGACAAATATTACAAACTTCAATTTTTACTAAATTAATTCAATTAAAAATTCTAAATAAAAAATCTGATATGGATTGCCTTTTAATTTTACTGTTATCGTTCTTTCTTTGTACAATTTGAAAAGATTTTTAGATTTAAAGGTAAACAAAGAGTTGAATTAAAAATTAAACATTTCAAAAAAAATTTAATTCGAAATAAAAAAGAGGTATTTATTCAAAATAAATGAGTTGAATGTTTTTTATATATCTTTTGAAATAATTTAATTACCATACTAAGCTTTTTACTTTAAAAGTACAGAAAATAACAAAAAATATATCATAATAGCTTTGAACTTTAAAGAAAAGGAGACAACTAAAAAATTGTCATATTTAGGAACATAAACTATCAAACTAATAAAAATATATAAAAGAAAAATTATTTCATGAATAGGAATCTTAAACTGACACAGATATTTGGACAATTCTATGTTCTATTTGTGTTGAGTTTTATAATGTTCATGTATTATGATATCTATCATGTTTTTTAGCCAAATCTTTTAGAATGTAAGCATTTTATATTTCTACAGCAATTTTAAAAGATTTACAAGTATCTTAAAAACATATTCTTCAACTCTTTTTTTATTAGGGCAACATCACGCTTTTTCAAATCTATATTTTATCGTTTTCAATCTACTATTTATAATGTTGTTTTGGTGCTTAATTAGAACTATGATATCTGATCCTGGCAAAATTCCTACATTTTGGGTAAATTCTTATTTTTTTTCTGAAAAAACAATCATTCTTTTGTTCTTTTTTCTCTATAAAATCAAGAATATGCTTTTAATAACTCTATTCATATTTAATTTTTAAAAGGGATTTTACTTAGATGATCCAGAACACAAAAAAAGAAGATATTGCTTAATTTGTCATATTTTTAAAGTGAATAAAGTTATTTTGCGAATTGTACATTATAATTTAAACTTCAATATTATAAATAGCCTGAGAGATGTCATCACTGCAGTATATGTGGAAGATGCGTTTTAAATATGGATCATCATTGTCCTTGGTTAAATAATTGCATAGGATTTTAAAATAGAAAATTTTTTTTCCTCTTAATTTTCTACGTAAATGTTGCAGTTTGGTATATCTTAGGTGGATTTTTACCCTTTGTATGGAAAATATTAAGCAATTTAAGCGATTTTAAAGTTGAAAATTTATGGGTGCTAATACCTTTCTCAATATTTATACCATTTTCTATTGTCATCTTTCAATTTTTCCTTTTCCACTATCGCTTAATTACCAGAAATATGACTACTTTAGAAAATTTGGATAGAGAAAGAAATAAAGAACCGTTAGATGCACCCTCAAAAGTAATTATATTTTGTTAAGTTTTTTCAAAATATAAATAAATTTTTCTTTAAAAAGTATGATCTAGGATTTAAATATAACTGGGAATAAGTTTTTGGTAAAAATTAATACCTTTGGCCTTTTCCAATTCACGGGGAGTCAGGAAAACCAGCTGGTGATGGAGTTACTTACAAGCATCGTAACGAAATACAAGAGTAAATTTATAAGATATTAAGCAAAATGATTAATCAAAAACAGAAATAATAATATAACAAATAGATAAAATGTTGAAATGAAAGAAAAATCTGATATAAGTAAAAAAACAAATGATTAGTTTGAGGAAGATAATGATCATGACTTATAAATGCAGAAAAACTTTATTCCCCCTTAATATAAATAAAATCAGCGTCTTTCGACAAATTAGCATTAAACCACCCAAGGAGATGAATAAAGAGGATATAATGGTAACTTTATTATTTAAGTATAAACATTGAAAGATTATTTTTTTAATTTAATAGTCTAATTTAACAACTCTTAAGGAATCAGCAATTTAAAGTTTAATTAAACAAATTAAAGTGTAATGAATTCAACATTAGGTAGAAATAACCAAATTAATGTAAATCAATCTTATAATCAAACTCAAAATAGTACCCAATTCAATAAAGGAAATTTAGATAATTCTTAAAACCAATAGCTTAATTAGAGTAGCAATTAAAACACAAGTAGGAATATGAATAATCATGTCACTCAAAGTTTTAATGGAGTTGTGTAATTTAATAATCCTAATTTATTGTAAAATTAGCAGCAAAGAGCTAGTTTTGTTGGTTAAGCTTGAATTTGGTGAGAAAATGCTTTCTAATAAATTAAAATATTCTTAGAATTTCTCTAGCAAAAATAAAAATTTTGCAAATTATATAATCAAAAAATAAACCTATTTTATAACTTTATTACTATTATTAACTGTAGTATATTTTCTATATAAATATTTTTATATTTATTCTTTTATAAACTCAAAATTTTCAAATATTTTTTTATGTAAAATAAATAATATTATAAGATTCATTGTCTTTTTTATGTTCATTTTATATTAAGATTTCAATAAATTATTTATTTAATAACGACCTTAACTTATTAAATATTATTTAAATCCTAAGAAATCTTTTAAGTTATTTTATTATTTTATGTATGATTTTAAATATAAACTTTCTATAGTTTGCAAAAAATTAAACATTTGTGATTTGAGTTGATAAATATGGATAACTCATTCTTTTTTCAAAATAAAATTTATATAAATTAATTGGTTGCTATCTATAGATTTTAAATGGCTTTAATCAGTTCAAATGCTTCTATTAAAAAAATAAGAAAGATTTAATGTTCATTCATTTTCTTGTGATTTTAATATTAAAAACTGAAAAATTTTGAAATTTTATTTTATTTAAAATAATGAACCTAATCTTATCTTAATATTTTATAAAACCTAAGAAAATTAAGAATTATTTTAATATTTAATTTATGATTGTAAATAAAATCTTACTTATAACTTACCAAAAATTAAGTTCTTCAAATTTGATAAATATGGGTAAAATGTTTTTATTAAAAGATAAAATTTATAAAAATAGATTATCATCTGACTACAGTATGTTATTGATTCAAATACTTTGCTTAAAAAAATATTTAATAATTTAAAATTTTTTAAAGTTCTGATTTTATTAAATTTTAATAAAATAATAATTAAGTCATTATACTTTTGTTAGATTCTGCCATTGGGCATGTATATGTGCCTATATAAGAAGAACTTTCTAATAGTTAAGGTTTTATAATATCAATAGTTGAAAAACATATTAGTATATATTAGCTTTTTAATTTATATTTGTTAAAAGAAAAATTAAATATATAAATAGAAATGACTAAAGAATAAAAGTTATCAAATTTAGAAATTAGCAGAATAGATGAAATAAATAATGATAAATAAAAATCGGTGTCAACTATTTTTGGTTTTTGTATAAGTATCGCTACATTTTTATACTTTGTTATAGCTGAAAGAGATTAGTATAAGTTTATTCTTGAGCTAATAAATATGATAATTTATGTGCTAATATTTTTTAGAAATTCTAACTAATTAGAGTGCTTCTGTTACTATCTCTTATTTATTATAAATTAATCTACTGCTAATTATTACAAAGATGGTTTTTGCCTCTACTCTAATGTGATGAGATAAATACAAACATATTTTTATATTCGTTTTTAAATACAAAAGAGCATTTAATTATTTCCTAAACATCTAAAAGCTATTATTGATGTAACAACATTTTTATTAATAAATTATTTTAATTAATGCTAAAAAATATAAAACAAGCAAATTTTCTTTCGACAAAAATTTGATTCCATTTTTACAAAATTATATTTGTTTATTTAATAATAAAAAGGTATTTCATAATACTTTCTTTATGTTAGGAGAGATTTATTAAAGTAGGAATGGCCTTGATTTAATTATTTATTTTTTTGTTATTATTTTGATTATACTCTACTATAAGCATGAATAAAAGGAATTTTATGATAATGATGAGACTAAAGAAAAAATAGAGGAAGATGATAAAGATATGTGTATTTTAAATGACTTTATTCATTAAATGTCAAAATCATCAGGGATTTTAATACTTAAAATGAAGTATCAAAGTAGCAAAGATACAGATTAAATGGTGTAAAAGGTATAAAAATTTGATAATTAGGCAAAGAGAATGCTAAAAGCAGATAACTAAAAAAAAATGCTTGACAGGTTTAAGAATTCAGAATTTGAGCTGGTTGATGAAGTTATTAAAAAAAATGAGGATTTATTGGATTTTAACTAAATTAAAAAGCCACTCGAATATTGGATAAGAAAAGCAGCTGCTCAGCTGATTATGTAAAAAGAATAGGAGGAAATTGAAAAATAGAATTAAATTTAATAAGGACTCAAAGAATTAAATCCTGCTAGCAGCATCTTGAACTTGGATCATAATTTATAGGGTAAAGCAGAAAATTTAGATAATCAAAAAGTAAATAAAGATAGCTTCGATTAAAAGAAAATAAACACCTAGAAAGAAACAGCAAAAATATGGGTAATTTAAAATAATGCTCATTAAAGTAATATTGGCTCGGCTTTGGGATTAGTAGGAGGATTTAGTGCATATTAAAACAGTACTCTCCCATATGGTAGCAATTTGTAGCCTCATGAAAATGGAATGAATGAGATGAGCAATTTTTAAAGCTTTCTAGGAAGCAATTTAAATAACAATTACAATAATGTACAAAATAATCATATTAATAGTGATGATTAATTTTAGTAATTACTATCTCCTAAATCAAATGGAAATTTGCTATAAATATATACAGCAAAAAGTAATGATAAGTAAAACGAAGAAACTGCTTTAAATCCTTAAAATATCTCTCTATAAAACAATATTGATCAAAATAATAACATCGAATAAGCATACTAAATATTTAAAAAAGAAAATGAATAAAAAGATAAAGATCTCAAATAAAAGATGTAAGGAGATGGGAATCTGCTTAATGATATGACGATAAAAATAAATAACAAAGAAACTAAAATATCATCTCACAAAAAACATCATAAAGAAGAAAAATAAAATGAAGAAAGAAGCGAGGCAGATAAAAATGAAGTTAAATTAAGTAAAAGTAAGTAGAATATGAAAATTCACTCTAAATAAAATTTAACGGCTTAGGAAGATAAAGAAAACGAAGAACCTATTATTGAATACTCACCTAAAAGAAATTTTACAATAGAGTAATTCAAAGGTGTGCTATTTATCAAAAAGAAAGCAGAAGTTTTTCGTCGAGTAACAATTGGCTCATTTATGGAAGGAGATGATATTTTTGTTTTGCTTAGTATTTAAAAAGATTTTTAGACATAAGAAAAGAAAATAAATTAGCTAAGAGAGTTGCTAAATTAATATGAATCTCTTTATTTATAAACTCTAAAATGCTTAAAAAATCTTACTTATGACGCCTATCTTGATATTCCTGCAATAGAAACAGAAGAAAAACTTAAAAATAATTTTGAAACTATTTTAAATAAAAATTAAAGCTTGAATCTGTAAATGAAAATAATTATGAACAAAATAATTAATCTGAAAGATGTTTTGAATCTATAAAAGTCTATTCAAAGAAACAAATTATAAGTGGAAGTTATTGATTTAATGGATTTGCTTAATGAATTAACAAATGATTTCAAATCTATATTAGAGGAAAAAAATGTAACAATTTAAATATTGAATCCTTCTAACATTACAACAATATAAAATTCACCCAAAAGAGTAAAGCAAGTTCTTTTTAACATTCTTCATAATGCAATAAAAAACACAGAAAGCAATTATTTTGTGTAAATAACAATTGATTACTATTAAGAAAATAATAAAATTATATAGTTTCATATTATAAATAAGATTAAGTAAAATATATAAATACCAACAAAAGATGACGTCGTTTTAGACATCAAAGAAATTTTAAAAGGTGTTTCTAAAATGTAAATTAAAAGAAGCAAAACGAAAAAGGATCGCTCTAAAAATAGCTTACAAATAGGTTTAAGAGTCTCAAATAAAATACTATCTTTGATTGGACCTAAAAGCAGTTTAATTATGAAAAAAGTTGATAACACTTTCCAAACACAAGTTCATATTTTTTCAGATGCTTCCTAATAAATTAGCAACGAAAAATTAATTAAAAAGGAAAAAGAGTAAAAGACAAAGCAAGAAGAGGTAATTAAGTTTAATTTTTCAATTTCAAAAATGAGATAAAATTTTAAATTAATGAAAGATCAATTTAAAAAAATCGAAAATTATCTTTCTATCTATCTATTTATTTAACTTTAAATACTTAGTGTAAATTTAGTTTCTTTTTTTAATTTGGTTGAATAGTAAATACATACATTTATAATAATCATATGAAATACTATTACTATTTATGCCTTATGAATAGATAGATTTTTCAGCACAATAAAATTGGTAAGCTGCTAAATGGTTATATAATTTAAGATTTATTACTAAAAATAGATAGATATATACATACATATCTTTTAATTTATTTTTAATATTTGAATAAATTTTTCCATTAGTGAAATAAACCAACTATGTTAGTAAGTGAAGTAAATATTTTTTTAATTAAGATGGGATTATCCTTATTTACTTTTTTGTAACCATTTTAGAGAAGAAAAAATAATATGTTTTCTTTTAAAACTACATATTTTGTAAAATAAATAATGTAAACTAAAATTAGGCCACAGAAATGAAATATCTCGAATAAATCACAAAAATTAATAAATTTTCAGTATAATAGATGTTTACTGAAAATTTTTGCATAATCGTGGTTTATTTTGAAAATTATAATTAATAAATAAAATTCAAAAAATTAATTTGGCTTTTAATAATATACCACAAATTGCATAAACGATTTTGCTATTTTGGGATATAATTTATTCAAATATTTATTATTGTCTAAATTTACCTTAAAAAGTTGATTTTGCTTAAGCTTACAAATTAGATTTTGGAAAATCCCCATCACAAAAATCATGAAAAATACACAATTTGCATCTTTTCAATTTTTTGGATTTACTTTTTAAATAAAAACAGAAATTTAATGTATTTTAGTTCATACAAAATCTATGTTTTTAAATGTAATATTTTATGCATCTTTAAATTATGATCATTTTAATTCCTGTACTTAATTAAATATATTAATTCCAAAAATTATAATTTAATATATTTTTTTCTTAATGTATGAATAGGTAGAAGATGTATTATAAGATTCATGGTTGCAAAAGATGGAGACTTATTTACAGGATTAAAGAATTTTAGCATTATAAAAAGGAATAGAGGAGAATAAAATTAATTAATTTATTAAATAAAATTACTAAGAGAACTGAGGGAATAGTCTAGTAAAAAAATAAGGAGAACTGTTATTTGCCTATCTTAATTTTGGAAAATAAATTAAATTATATTTATTATAATATGAGCCTTATAGAACAATTATATTATTTAGAAATAGTTCCTTATGCTTGCAATTTAAGATAGCCCTCAAATAAATATAATTACTACTTAAAAACTATACTTAAATTATAATCTACTAAAATAACTTTTATCAATAATCATCAAAAGTATCTGTAAAATAAATAAAACTTTATCTTAAAATAAAAGTAAATAAAATGAAATATTTAATTGAACTTATTAAAATTGTATTATATTTTTTTCATATAAGTAGTTTTATTTTAAATTTAATTACTTTATTTAATTTAATAAACAGATAATAGTTTCAATGATATGAAAGTAATTATGTGGATAAATAATTTTGATCTATATTACATAATTAAAATTTGAATTATTTAGCTGCTTTACTTAGAATGTAATATCACTATAAAAGCGTTTTTATGAAACTATAAGCAACTAAATAATTCATTTTAATTTAAAAATCTATCCATCTTATAAATGGGATTTATTTATCTTAGCATAAATATAGGTTTGTTTTTTATGTTTTTTATCCTGTAAAATTAGAACTTTTTGTGTTTATCAACATTTTTAAAAAAGTAAACAACTATTAAATACCTTTTAAAAATTTTTAGATATTGTAAGAAAAAAAATTAATTTACTTCTGTTAATTTTCAATAAGTTTTAATTGAAATGAGCTTTAAACATACTAGTTATTAAAATAAGAAAAAATTAGCTAATATATCCAAGTATATTATAGAGTTATTTATTTGTATAATTTTTGCATTGGTTTATACTATAAAATATAGGAATGAATCAATAAAGGACTGTATGAGTGAGTGGACAAGCTTGTTAAATAAATAAATAAATGATTAATTAATTAATTCAATGAATAATAATTGAAAAAGTATACTTGACAAACAACAAAATAATTAATTTAAGAAAAGAATTATAATTAAATATAGAGCCAACTAACCAAGTCAAGTATTAGTAATATCACTAGAAAGCCACAGATAATAAATCTTTGACTTTTAATAGGATTCATACAAATTATTTCAGAATCAATTAGCAAAATAATAGCTTTTGGATAGAATCTTTAAAAATATTGTTTCGTTGAATGACCATAAATAAATATAAACCAGAATATTTATTAAAATCACTGTTACTTGAAAAAACAAAGAAAGAATTAAACTACTCTCAAAATAGCAAAGAGAGTTTCTTGATTATTTATAGGATTAACAATTTTGAGCTTCAAATTTGGTACAAGCTACCATCAATATACAACTTATTTATTATTGGATGAATACATTGAAAAATATGGGGTTAGATTGCGAGCGTAGTTCTCTTAATGTTTCAGAGCTCTTACAATATAATACCCATAGCATTGACGAAGAAGATGAAATTTCATATGAGAATTAAAATGAAAATTTGAAAACGGAAGATGATGAAAACAACCAAAACGAATAAAGGAGTGACGGTTTACTTACAGAGAGAAAATATTTTAAAGAAAATAGTTCTGTTTAAGTGGAATCAGAAAACGCTGCGTACATGAACAGTTAAGTTAATTCAATTCGCTTGAGCAGTATTTCCTTTGATTATCTTAATCCTTCTTCATATGAAAATTCTTCTAGCGATATTTCGAGATCACCTTCTCCACTTAAATTGAGTAGAATGGGTGGGTTCTCTCCTGAGGCTAAACGCAAATCTTCTAAAAGCTTTTTAAAAATTTCGATTCCTTTAAGAAAGTAGAGTCTTTCTAATTCTGGAAGGAAGTCTTACCATGATAAGTATATTACCCTTGAAAAAATAGGATAAGTAAATAAATATATTAATAATATATTGAATAAATTGAGATAAAAGTCATTGAAAATTGTTAGCCCCCCTTTTTATAAATATAACAAAATTTTACTTCTAGTAAAAATATTTTAGCTTAAATACTTATCGTTTTTGTGAGCATTTAAAATCAGAACAAACTAATTTTCAAAAACAATTAGTAATTTTTATTCTTTTTTTTTTTTTGAAAAGTTAAGGACATTAAGCTCTCTCCTCTTCTTAAAAAAAAGCATATAATTTATTAAATTAATATCTTTGTACGTTACTTTAATTACTATCACTATCTATGTGTTTATTCTTAAAATTAATTTGAATGTTCCAAATTTATTAATAAAGGGATCTTTGGGATTAGTAAGCAGATGCAAGTGCGTGAGTACTTAAAAAGATTATGCTGTAAAAACAATAGGTTTCAAAGATGGAGAACACCTTTTGAATATTTCAAGGGAGTTTTTTTTACTATAGAGCTTAAAGCACCCAAATGTTGTGAGAACTTACGATCTTTTCATTGAAAATAAAAAATGCTATATAATATTAGACTATGTAGTTGGATTTTCATTGTAAGATTACTTAGAAAAGCACCAAAAAATGAGTGGTAATATTTTTTTAAAAAAATTGTCATAGCAATTTGAAAAATGTAAAAATACATCTGTGCTTTGTAATTCAATGCATTAATTAAATTAGATTAATTAGTAATATTTTTTTGCGTTAGAGAATATCTGACATTGAGCATATCAAATACCTCAAGAATTTTTAATTTTTTTGTTTGGAAATATCTATCTTCCTTGCTTTGCGTTTATATTTAGAGCAATAAAAAGAATTGTTAATTTCCACAAAATCTTTTGTAAAAAAAAATATACAAATTCGTAAGAGATTTCATTGATTTACTAGGAATGAATCCTTAATTAATTGATAGAATTTTTTATTTAATGTAAATTAAAGTTAAATTAAAATCATTCATCATTATTACTGTTAAAAAAATAAATCTTTTGTAAATCAAAAATTTTCTTCTATTGTTATAGTAGATGAAAGTATGAATGAATCAATAAATGATTGAATTATGCACAGATAGTTCTAATTTTATTTGCATTCTAAATCTAAATAAATCTCATATTTACCTTTATTAACTAGAGGAGTACACTAAATTTGTAATTATAGAGTCACTAAAAGCTATATAATACTTACACTAAAAAGGTGTTTGTCATCGTGATATCACTTCCAATAATATTTTAATTGACGAAAAAAAGAATTCAATTAAATTGATCGATTTTTCAAACTCTAAAACATGCGATTTTAGAAGAATGATGACGAAGACTGGTACGATAAGCTTTATGGCTCCAGAGATTTTTAAAGAGCAAGAGTATGATAAATAAGTTGATATGTGGTCATTGGGAATAGTGACGTTTTAATTATTAACTGGATAACTCCCATTCTATTCTGCAAAGTAATTTTATTTTAAATTGGATGATTATTAATAGATGTATTTCTAACAAAAATTTAATACTTGAATGGTTAATTTTTAATGATTATGCCAACAAGGTTAAATATTAACAATAATTTGATATATTTTTTAATTTATTAAAATTTTAAATATCATATGTTGTAATGAACAATTTTAATAATAACTAGTGAATAAATTTTGATATAAGACATATAAAAGAAAGGATTAGACATCTCTTAATAAAATAAACTTTTGGCTCATATAAGTACTAGTGGGTTAGACTTCCTCTCTTAAATACTCAAAAAGAATCCAAGAGAAAGACTTACACCTTCTTAAGCTTTATGCCATCCGTGGCTTGTAAATAAAAATCTAAAAATATTCTTATTTACTTACTTACTTACTTCTTTTTTTATCATATCTATTAAATAATAAAAATTAAAATATTATATTTGTTTAGAAATAGGTTAACCTAATGTGCTAATTCAAAAAATTTAGCAAAAAGAGATTAGGATTTTCATCAAAAAGCCCTATAAAATCTGGAAAGTCTACTGTAAATGAAATCATTAGCTAAGAGTTAACCTCAGATTTTTCCCTAAATTCTGAGTAGTAAAAACTAGAAACACATTCTACATATCATAATTTTATAGAAGAGATATAAGTGAAGCAATAAAATACTCACAGCTAAGCACTTTCATAAAGCAATTTAGACACTTTGGCTAATGAAAACTTAGAGCCTATTTCATTTGAAGATTAAATTAAGCTAAATTAAATTACTAATTGTGAAGAAAATTAAGCTAATTCTATTTAAAATACAACAAAAAATTCTCCTAATATTATACCAATACCAATAACTAGTTAAATTGAAAAAAGTACAGTCTTGACTCCATGTAATAGATTCACAAATTCAAGTAATCCATAGCCATAATCCCCTCCTAACTGCGCTTAAGCACAAAAGTTTTCAAATAATAATGATACTAATTTTAATAGTAAAGCCATACTTGATTAAAATTTAGATATAAGAAAGCGCTCACGTAGCAGTATTTACTATTCTTAAATTCAAAGCTGATCTGAGAATAATAAAAAAATCAAATCTTAGCAACAAACAAAAATAAAATTAAAATATTACTTGTAAAAAACAAAGTTATGCCACATTTAATTATTATTTATTATTTCAACTAACAAACTCACTCAAACAAACATGCTTAAACACTTATATGAAATCTAGTAATTAATTTTAATAATAATAGCAAGCCTATATTTATCATACATACATACTTAAAAGCCTAGATAAATCTTTACTTAAAAAATAAACACTATTAAGATCTTCATATAATTTAAACATTTTTTTACTGTTAAAAACTAACTATTCACAAATTTATTTATGACTAAAATGAAATGAAATCTTCTTCTTATCCTTTCCTACCAAATAGATAGATAGATAGTACTTTAAAATATCTTATTTCAAAATAAACGAAATGAAGCTACTAGTTTTGTATTATCTTGTTATAACTCTGTTTTTGAAATGAAAAACAATTATACTTACCTACGCATGGACGTATTCACATTTTTCAAATATGAATAATAAAATATTCATACATAAATTATTATTTTAAATTATCTTCCATATTTTAATTATTAATTATATCAATTCACTAAAGATAAAATATTTAAGGTACCTTTTATTCTCTACATTTCTTTAGACATTAAAAAATTATAATTAAATAAATAATCATTTCTGTATATATTTTTCAGTATATCTAATTGTAAAACTCAAATCAAATATTCAATTTAAGTATTATCATATATTCACTCAATTTTTTTTTCTAATTCACACTAACAAAATGCTATAAATTTACTAGAATTTTTATTTATAATATTTATTTAAGTTAATTTTATATTTTTTTACTCAAATTTTTAATTTTTATTTAAAATAATTAAAATTTTTTTATTTAAAACTTTTATTTCAGTTAATTAATTATTTTTATTATTTCATTTAATTAATTATTTTTTTTATTTAAGTAAATTTATTATTTTTGAAGTAAAACAATTTATTTATATTGTTTTTTGCTTCTAAATTTTTAATTTAAAAAATCATTTTAGATATTATTAAACAATTTCTACAATATTAAATAATTCAAATAGAGAGTAAGTTTTAAAAAAGATACATCGATGATACCTTGTTTGTATCCTTACAAAAACAAATTAAAAATAGTTTATATTAAAATGCCAAATCAAAAAAAACATTAATTTTATTATTACTTTTAAATAATCTAAGTATCCAAAAAATCAAAATATATTATATACCACTCATTTCTGAATATTTAGCAAATAATAACTTGAGATTTTAGATCACTTATTTTAAAAATTAAAATTTATTTTAAAAAAACATTTATAGTCTTTGAAAAGATCATATCACTGATATATGTTTGGATATTTTAGCAATCACATTTTTAGAGTATTGATTATAATAATTGAAAATTTAATCAATTTAAAAATAAATTAAAAAAAATAAGTAAAAGATGGTAAATAATCATAAATTTTATTTGATTATATTTACATATTATTGTAATAAGATGCCTTTTTTTAGAAAAAATATAATCGTTTAAATTTTCAATTAGAAGAAAGATTTATTACATTGTGGGAAATAAAGCATAGAGAGATTATATGTTTAAATTTAAATTCAAATTTGAACGCACGCATGTATATATATGTATATGAATCTTGATTTAGAACTCTTTTATTATAAAAAATTAATGATTAAAATTATGAGCAGTTTATCTTATTCAATAGTAATCTATTATATATAACTATGTTTCGAGATTGAAAATTTTACTAAAATACTTAGCTTTATTCAGCAAATTTTTAATTTGCAAAAAACTACTTAGATAAAAATCTTTTGGCAAATTTTTGAACAACTTACTTATTCTTTTTTGAATGAGTCAGTCAGTCCCATTAAATTTGCTTTTTTTTAATAAAAAAATAAATTATATATATTTTCCTTATATTCAAAAGTAAAGGAAAACTAATATTAATATTTAAATAAAAGTGTACTTCCTTCGTTCCTATCTTTTTTTTCTTTTTTGTGATAAATAAAAGTAAGTTTCAAATATATATTTTTTGGGTGAAATTAAAAGTTTTATCGAAATAAGCATTTATTAGTAATATAAATAAAATTAATATCTTTTATTTTTGGCGGTATTTTTAGAATTAGCGAGTTTTAAGAGTTAAATACATTCATTTATTTTCAAATAATCAAATGTATTTTTGAATATTTTTTGTCTAGAGAAGAGAAAATAATAAAGAGAAGTCAAATGTGGTATTTATATTCTGCGAAGCAAAAGAAAAATATTATTGTTATTAGATAAAGGTAAGAATAAAATAAGTGGGGAATATTGCATTTGAATTTAAAAATAAATTTGGTGCGAAAAGCAAAACCTTAGATTTCAAAATTTAATTAATAAAATTTAATAAATTCTTGCTCAGCGATAAATTTGATTTGAGAGAAGAATTAAATGAATTAAGATTAGATGAATAATATAAGCACTGCATAATACTGTATTGAATGTATGTATGGGCTTTGATATTTGATAAATCATTGTAATCAAAAAAAACAAAAATAAATAAATAAATAAAAAACTCATAGCTTATAAATCTCAACAAAAAATAAATTAATCAAAAAAATTAAATAATAAATAGAAACTTAAAGAGAGCAAATTCTTATTACCAAGCCTATATTAAGCTGAACTCTTCATATCGTTGCTAGCTTGGGTGCAATTAAATTGCTAACTTTTAATAAAAATAATATATTGAAGTCTATAAAAAGGAAATTTTACATTTAGTTTGTTGATGAAGAATAATTACTTTGATAATAATTCCCATAAATAATAATAGTAGCAATTCATTTCTACTCCTTGTAAGAATGATAAATTTGATTTATCTGATGACCAAATTCTTAATTCTAATAGAAAGATCGATGATCCATTCCATTCTTACTGCTAGAATAATCTTTCTCCTATCAATAACTTTCAATTTATGGCTAAAACTCATTTCATGGCATCACCTATATAGCAAAATAACAAGAGGTAAAAAATAAATTATATCATTATTCTTGCAAAAAATTCATTGAAATTAATATTCATTTATGCAACAAAAATCAATCCTCTCATCTACTTATTTATGAAGAAATATTTGAAAAAAAATCTTAGGCTAATATTTATTATTTTTTTTTATCACTCAAATAGCTATAAAAATATGAAGAATGTTTTTAGTCCTGCTCCTGTTTCTCATAATGCTTAATATGGTAAATACCCTCCTATAGGATATAACCCAGTTCATATGATTCCACCACCAATTCACCATCACGAATATGGTCATTTACAAAAAGATGAATTTGACTCAGATTATCATTAGCACTACCCACATGGCCATAAAGCAGCGACTACCCCTGTCATAAGTAAGCAATAACCTATTATATTGCTTAACGGAAAACCTGCTAACTACCCATCTAGCAAGCTTTCTCATTTTGCCAACCAACCATTAAACGAAAACCACAGTAACTACTATGTCTACTAGTCTCCTGTATTTAAAATGACTTTCAACAACAAGTAATAATAGATTTCAAAAAATAATTAAATAAATAAAGCTTTTAACTTTGAGTTTTTAATTAATTAATTAATCAATAATAATGTTAAGAAAGGATATTTTAACACTCTAATTTTTATTTAGGATTGGCTTTTTAAGAATTATATGATTGATTAAATTAAGATTTTGGCGCGACACATTTAAATTTATTAATTTTACAAACGATTAAAAATATTTGCAAATATCTTTAATTTTTTATCCATTAAAGTTTTATATATTTATCTTTTTTTTTATTAAAAAAGAAACTAGTTCGAAAAATTTATTGATTCAGATTTTAATAAAGTGTATGTTGATGATTTCTAACTTTAAAGCTGTGGAACTAAATAAGTAATTCCTAAGCCATAAGACTCTGAAAATGAAAACCATCAAATATCTTATAAAAGAGTGATTCAATTTCATGACGAAAATGATGATGAGTGCTAAGAAGAATAAAGATAAGATGAAAAAAACTAAAAGAAAAGTGGGCCTTCTATAATGAATGCCAAAAATCCAGTAAAAAAAGGAGATGTTTAAAATTCACATAAGTCATACAATCTATTTGAAGAAAATAACAATATTCAATAAAATGCAGCCTTATTTGATTCTTAGAATACATAAATGACTTTCAATCCTTACAAAAATAGTCAAAGTAGTTAAATCAGCGACAATGCTACTACAGTTAAGAAAAACACAGACTTGCAAATTTAATCTTCAGATTTTATTTAAACTGCAGAAAAACCTTAACAGTAGCAAAAGCGTAAACTCTTTGAGTCTCCTCAAAGGAATGATGATAGAGATTTACACACTCCTTCTACTAAAAAGAAGTCTAGTTAGCTTCTTACTGGAAATAACTAAATTACATCATAACTTAGCAAAAAGAAAGAGGATAAAGTTGAATAAAAGAAGCAATCAAAAAAAGATAAGCTTCTCTAGCTTGAAAATGAATAGATTTAACTTTCCTCCAAAAAAGCTGAGAGCCAAAATATTGAGGAGGAGGAAGAAGAGGAAGAAAATTTAAAAAATCCTCCTATTGAAAAATCTACTGCTGAGAAGGAAGATGATCATGAAAATATGCATGAAGATGAAGACCATATTGAAAAACAATCTAATTCTTCAGGGGACTCTAATTTAGCTCCATACACAGCTCAAAACTCTTCAATAAAACCTGCTAATCATGCAGAAGATAGAAAAATTTGTTGTAACTGCAAAAGAACAAAATGTTTAAAATTATATTGTGAATGCTTTGCTGCTTCAAGAATGTGTGAAGGTTGTACTTGCTAAGGTTGCTTTAACAAACCTGAATTCGAAGCAATGAGAAAAGAGGCTAGGTAAGCTATCCTTGAAAGAAATAATAGTGCTTTTGATCCAAAGATTGATAGTGTAATAATTTAATTGTATTTATCTACCATATTTTATAATATATAATTTAAAAACAGTAAAGTAAACTCAAATAATTATGCAATGAAGAAGGAGTTGACAACGAATAAAAGGTACACAGCAAAGGGTGTAACTGTAAAAAGAGTAACTGCCTAAAGAAATATTGTGAGTGTTATTAGTTGGGAGTTAAGTGTACTAAACTTTGTAAGTGTGATAATTGCAGAAATAATATTAACCATCCTCATTCTCATGAAGAACCAGATTCCAGATTGAATGCTACTCCTTCAGCTTCTAATATCTTAACAAGCACAGGAAAGGTTCCTTAAAATCATCGTTCCCAACCTAACTAATTAAATTTAGCATAAAATGAATATTCCTAATATAATTAATATAATTATTACTATGGTTAAGAAAATTACTAACCTTACTACTACTAGTTACCTTACCCTTATTACTACAATGACTATTATATGATTAATCAAGAAGAATAAGGTGAAAATTCTGCTGGTCCTCATATCCTTTCTCATTACGAACACCCATACTAATATGGATATGATCATTACAATTTCCCATAAGGTCCCCATTAGTAAAATGGTAAAAACAGCAAAAAATATCCTCCATAATATCCACAATCAGCATACTAGTATGAATAACTATCTAATAGAAAGAGAGGATTAAAGTAAGGTAACTACTACGATGAATAGTAATACTACGATAACTATGGATATCCTTATATGCCTTATCCTGAAAAGAAAAGAAAACAAGCTCCTGCTGATGAAAAACTATTGGATGCTCAAAATATAGTTAAAGAATCCAACGATGAGCTTGGCGTAAATAAAGAAATTAGTGATCAATAGGTATCAAAGCAATTTATTTCTCCAAGATTTAAAGAAAATTCCATGAATGAAATTCAAGAAGAACAACAAGTTTAAATTAAAAAGGAGGAAATTTAATTCAAAAAAGATTAAAAGATATAGAAAATTAAGCTTGAATATGACAGCTCTATAAAACAAAAGCTGAAAAAAGAAGAAATTGAATAAGTCAAAACAATTAATGAAGCTATTGAAGAAGAAAATCTTGAAAATGGAGAATAAATTGAGGAAAATCAAAATAGCAAATCTTTGGAAGAATAAGATTTACATTAACAATAAATTGAAAATTTATAGTAAAGTGATGCTGAAGAGGATATAGAAAGTGAAGAAATTCAAAATACCATAAACTAAAAGACTAAAAAGTAACCCGCTAAAAAAGAGGATAAAAAAAGCAAAAAAAGTAAAAAGGAAAATGTCTCCTTAAATGTTGAAATCACCAAATCTCCCCATAATACAAGAAAAAACCAAAATTCAAAGATTTAAGAAGACAAACCAAAGCAATAAGCCAGCCAAAAGTAGTCAGCAAAAAAAGCTGCAGTTCCTACTAGTTCCAACAAGAAAAAAGATAAAAAAAGTATTTAAAAAGAAGAAGTTGAAGAAAAGCAACTCCCCTCTTCTAATTCAAAAAGATCTAATTCAAAAAAACAAAAAAATGTTTCTTGAAAAAAATACTGTAAAATTATACACATATTGATTGATTGATATGGTAAATTTTATAAGATTAGATCAAACTAATAACAATTTTCCTTTTCCATGATTTTTTTTATCAGAAACCACTTGAAAAAAAAATCATAATTTATGGCTCAAGAACTTTATTATAAACTTACCATCTATTTCTGATAATAATAACAAAGAAATTCTGCAAAAAAAATATTACTTTAAATTAAAGAAATTAATTTTATTATCTATCTACCTATAATCAGATCCATAAATCTAAACTATAAAATAATAAAATAAATAAATGTATATATTAAATTAAATACTTGAAAATTATATAAATAAATAAAATAAAAATGTATTATAAATATTATCTATATTCATCACATATTACTTATTTTTTATCATTTCTAAAATTTTATTTACATATTTATTTTTATTTCAATTTTAGTTTACATATGTTATTTATTTTAGATTAACAAAAGTAGTTCTAATCCATTTATTTGTCTTTATTAAAAAACTTATGTCAACAAAATTTACTTAAGAAATATGAAACTATTTTATGAAAATTGATATAATTTATAATAGTTTACTAAAATTTTTTTAAAAATATTGAATTTTATGTTAATATTTTATATTATATAAATTAATTATACGCTGTAAATCTTCTTAAATTTTTCACATCCCAAGTTAAGCCCGCCATTTTTGATGATTAATATTTTGCATTTTACCTTATTTTTTAAATTAGACTTAGGATACGAGTATATAATATATTTATTGGTCCATTAATAATGGAGAAAATAATTATTTTTGTAGTATAAAAAAAAGTTTTAGTTTTATTGTTAAAACTAAAAGTATTAAATTAATTTTAAAATATAACCTATTTAAATATTGCTATGTTTAATTGTGCTAGATAATTTATTTGAGGACCTTTTTTAATATTTTTTAATGTAACAAGCAAAGAATATTCTTTAAAAATTTAGAAATAATTTTTAGAAAGTGAGAAAATGGTTTATTTTGATTTATTTGTAATAAGCAAAAGTATGATAAATTACATGGAAGCAAATATACAGTAAAAAAATAGAAAAACTGTATTAAACGAAAATTAGGATGAGTGGCAAATTTGAATTTGAAAGAGAGGGAAATTATAAACTCTTTACTAATTTTAAATTTCTTCTCTTTTTTTAAATTAGGAAGTATTAGTTAATTAATATCAAGCATTAAAAAAGATTTAATATCAAAATTTAATGATTGATTGATATTTGGAATAAGTTTAATATGTACATAAATTGCGCATAATAAATTATTTGCATTTATTTATTTATTTATTAATTCATTCATTCATTCATATTTATGTATGTTTCTTAATTAAATTGCTTGTTTTCAATTAATAAATCAATAAAAATACATAATAAAAAGAAATATAAAAATTAATTAAAGAAAACACTCTGTTTTTTAAAAAAGAAACAAAAAACATTAAAAAAGTTGCTACTTTAATCACCAAAACATATTAAAAGTAGTGATAAGGAAGAGTTAAACCTCATAGATCTCTAAAGAAAATGAAAGACTCAACAAAATCTAATTTGTAAACTCCAAAAAAAGAAGGTAAAACAAAATTCAAATGATATTTTTTAAATCATTTTACTGATGTTTAAGAAATTTTACTTATTTTCTTCACTTGATCAATTACCATCAAGTAGTATTAAGCATCTATGTTGCTTAATCAAGCAAAATTATATTTTAATATTATAAAAGGATTTACAAGATATGATAAGACACCTTCCGCTAAATAAATGATCTCTCCTATTAGCGAGAAAAAAATAAATGCTGCAATAAATGATAACTAAGCTATTTTTAAATCACCTATGTAATAATTTTTATATTTTTTTACCTAGCTCCAGCCTGAATCTAACTTCAAAGATTTAGATCAGGACTGTTTCAAGCATGGATTCAATAGAATAAATCTCACCTTATTAGATTTAATTGTTTTATTTTAAATTAAAAACTTTAGGATTGGCGGAAATCGTTTAATTACTGGATAAAACTTGAGTGACTCCCCTAACTACTAGGGATATGATGGCACTCCATTCCAGCCTCTGTCTTTCCCAGGCGAGTAAGAAGAGCTTATCAATTTTTCTTTTTAATATTTAGATTAATATAAATAAATAAAAAGATACACTATTAAATGGTTTTTTGTTTCTTACATAAGATTCAATTAGATATAATTATGCAGATACTCAATATTTATATTTACTTAAAAAAATTAATATTCTGCAAAATCTTATACTAATTCTAATAATTTTCCATAAGTTTTTCTATCTTCAATGTATTAGGTTACCATTTACAATTTAAATTTTGAAATTTAAAAATAAATCTTAGATTAATTTTGCTTCTTATCAATTTACTTACTTATTATATACCACTATTTTTCTATCAATTTAATAGATATCCTCCAAGCGACATTCACTTTCATAGCCCTTTTAAAAGAGACTTTACAAGCCTTGTTCATCCAATTATCCACACTCAAAATGCTTACCATAAATTATAATAATATACCAGCAACCCTTCAAGTCCATTTTAAGAGAAAAATAATATTCATCATCATCATCAACCTGAATTCGTATTGAATAACTATTTTTAATAGCACGAAGAAACAGGATAAGTGGAGAATTAGAATGGTGAAGAATAAAAAAACACTGAAAAATAAAATATAGAAACTGATTTAATTTTTAGCGAATAGAATGGTATAAGCCTATTAGCTTGTGAAACTTTAATCAAGGATGTTAGAGATTAAGAACCTAATGCATCTGGAACTGTGATAATGAAAAAACCTAAATTTATAATTGAATTTGAAAATGAGTAAGCTATTTTTAATTTACTTATTTTTTAAGAGTGTATTTTATTATTTATGTTAATTTATTTATAAATAAATATAGGACTGAACTGTAAAATTTTAAGGAAAGTGACGAATTTAAGTAATTAATAAGTAAAATAAACTTTTCAGAAAACTATTTTCAATTTGAAATTCCCTCAAACGAGTAAAATTTTAATGGAAAATCTTTGTTTAGTACAGGTTCTCGTTACTCTAAAAAAAGCTTCTCTTCTCAAAGAACCCCACCATTTAAAGGCCAAATTAGTAACAGATATATATCTCCCAATCCTTATTTCCAATTTATGATGAAAAAAAATCTTCCATATTAGTACTCAATGAATTCCTACTATTACAGCTAAGAAATGCCACCATAATCTAACTCTCCAAATGTTAAAAATAATATTTTGCATAGAAATTTAAATCATGATACTAGAGTAGTTCCTAGATAAGATGGTCCTTTTGCTAGTAATAAATCAGCTTCTTTAGTTTATTAAAATAAGTAGTTAGGAAAGTTACTCTTTGATAATAATCATGAAAAAGAAATAAGTGATAATGAAAATTCAGACTCCTAAGAGCAAATTAAGAATGTAAACAATAAGTCAAAAAAGCAAGAAGGCAGTAGCGAAGATTAATCACCATAACAAGACTCTAAATATAATTCAGTCTAAAAATAAACTAGAAAAATATTAAAGGAAAATGATGATAAAAATGACATATTTGAAGACACAAATACAATTAATTTCCCTTTAAATGAATATTAAAAGCAAAGCCTTAAAGATAAACATAAAAAAATCCATAATAAAGCAAACACCACTTTTCTTTAATAACAAATTTAAAAAATTAAAAAAAGTGCTTCATACTAAGAATAATCCCAAAATGCATCGTAAGAGATGAATGAAGATATTGAAGAAGTTTAACTTAAAAATCCCATCCTCCTTTCTTCTGCTAAAAGAAAAATCGAATAATAAAACGAAACATAAAACGATCAAATAAATGATAAGTCAGTTAATCTTAACAGTTATTCTTAAACTACTGCTAAAAAGGCTAGATCTATCTCAAAAAATGATAGTTCTCACTAAGATAGCATAAATAAAAAAAGACGCCACTTTGATACACCAAATGTCAAGAAAAATGAGTTTTCTACACCTTCAACTAAAAAAAAATATGATTCACAACAATAACAGTCAAATCAAGATTTAGTATAAAATAAAAAATCCTCTTCTAAAAATCATTTAGACTCAAAAACTCAAAGTTCTAAAAATAACAGATCTCAATAATCATAATAAAAATAAAATGAGAAAATGAATAGCTTGGTTTCTGACTTTTCAAATGAAGTTCAAAATAATTTAAAAAATTAAGCTTAATTTAATAACGAAGATGATAACAATCATAGCCACAGTGATCTTATGTGTGACCATGACCATGACCATGAACACCACCAAAGGAGTGAATTATAAGATAGAGACATGATGGCTGAAGATGAAGATTTAAGGGATGATGATGATTTGTAAGATGAAGAAAACAATCTCTAAGATATAGATGAAAACGACAAAAAGGAGTGTTGTGGTTGTAAGAAAACAAAGTGTTTGAAATTATACTGTGAATGCTTCTAAGCAATGAAATACTGTGTTGGTACAAATTGCTAAGGCTGTCTTAATAAACCAGAATACGAAGACTAGCGTAAGCATGCCATGGAACTTATTCAACAAAGAAATAGTAGTGCCTTTGATCCAAAAGCTGATAAAGTAAATAAATTATTTTTAATTTCATTTTTTTTAATTTTTAACTCTTGAAGCATCAAAATTTTGAATTATTTTTGGAAATTTTTTGGTAAAATAATTAAAATTTTTAAGATAGATTTGTTAAATATTTTTAAAAAAATTCTAAATTTTAATTTTAATTTAAAAGAGTGATTAATACTATAAGAGTGATAGTGGTACAAAGGCAATTCACAGTAAAGGATGCAATTGTAAAAAAAGTGACTGCAGAAAGAAATATTGCGAGTGCTACTAAATGGGTGCTAAGTGTACCCATCTTTGCAAATGCTACAACTGCAAAAATAGACATGATTCAAACCCTCATTACTTCAGTGGAAGTAAATAAGGAATGCCCATACACTCTCTTTACATAGACGGTGTTCCTTCTCATATTCCCCCTCCTCCTCTCCCTCATTTATTAGGAGTTCCACATTAATATCCTTTTAGAGGATCAAATTAAGCACCACCTGTAATCTTTTAATATCCTTCGATGTACCATCATCATCCTCACTCTATTTAAAATTATGGAATGTATGATAGCTGGAATTATTATCATCCTGATTATAATATTTAACGTCAGGGAGAATCATCTAATAATAACAGTAATAATCAAAATTAATAAGGATAATAAAATGTAGAATTTGATAACACTCCAAGATTTAACAGTATCAAAAGATAGTAACCTATGTATTAAAAATCTAATGTATCTGTTAAAGATTTTTAAAATTCAGTAATGGAATGAATGACAAATATAAAAAAAATATATAAATGCAAAGACTACTACTAAAAAATATCGTTTGATAACTTCAAGCATGAATTAAAAAATAATAAGTATTGAGTTCTTAAGTAGGAAATATTCTCTTTAAACGAGGATACATGTAATAAATTAAATTAAATATTAATACTTAACTAACAGAATTCAAGCTTAGTTGAATTAATTTAAAATATATTAAAAACTTATATAAAATGTTTAAAATTCTGTAATATTTATTGATCTTATTATTTCTCAGCTATTTGTTGCAAAATAATAGCTATTTACACTCATAAATGTATATATACGCAGATATTCAAAATCAAATTCAATAATTTTTCTATATATATCTAATAATTTAACTGCCAATGTAAAATTTCTTTTCTTTATTCTTAGGTCATAATTTTTGTGGTAAAAATAAAGTAAGCACCCAAAAATTTTATGTTTTTTTATTTAGAATAAAATATAAGATTAATCCCAAGCTATTTTTATTTTAACCTTTTTGTTCATATTTATCTTTTAAACGCAAAAAGAATTATTATAATTTTAATCTTATTATAGTTAAATTATCAATACTTACTTACTTATATTTATAATTTTTAAACAATAAATAAGAAAAATAAATTTGATATTTTGTTTTCGAGAATTTGATGGCAAATAGATAAAATATAAAATTGTGAATAATTATGTGGTAAACTAGTGTTCTCTAATTAAATTGAAGAAAATGAAATTATAATGCCTAGTTAATGAATTAAAATATTAAAATAGATTAATAATTTTTCTTTTTTGTTTTTTTGTTGCATTTGCTCAAGATTTTTATCAAATTATTATTACAAAAGTAAAGATTAATAATTTTAGTAACTAGTGGATGGTATTAACAAAAAGATTTAGATAGTTATAAAGAAACAAATATTTCTTATATTTTACTTATCTTATTTATTTTAGGTAATACAAATACATCTAGCTAAATTTACTTAACAAATTATATTTCAACAAAAAATTCTACAAAGCTAACAACTTTATTTCAGCAATATGAATTTAGATGTTTCTCCTTAGCTGGGTAGCTTTGAGAGAGCAGATTCTAAGGATCCTGAAGACTACTTTAAACAATATCGCATTTAATTTAATCAATCTTAAATGAATATTGATAGCATACATAAAATAAAATTTAAAAAAGCTGAAGAAGAAGAGCAAGTAGCTTAAAATGAACCTATGTCATTGCTTTAAATCTAATTTGATAAAATTGCTATATCCCCTATTCAAAATTCAAGAAATTCTAACATCTCAGAGAGTAAATTCTATTTTACTATGACAAATACTTTTAATTTATATTTATTTATTTACGCTATTTAGGCTTATATTCTCAATAATTAAACCTTCACAAATACATAAATACATATAAAAATATTTCAATAAAGTAAACTCAAGTTTTATGGATTATTTTATTAATTAGGTAATAGGAATATATAGAGCGACTCCAATCCTATGAAACATTTAGGTCCATACTCAAATAATATGGGTAGTGATTAATTAAATGAACTGCATTTAGGAGTTGGTAGTAGCCATTTAAACCCACCTTCTAAATTCAACAATAAATCTATTGATTTTGATTATTATAGTTCGAATTAAGGCACACATTAAATAATTGCTTAACAAAGCAACAAGACGATTACTATAAAAGATAAATAAGATGATGAAGAAAGCAAAGATAATTAAGACAAATACATATCAATGCAAAAAATAGCTTTTGATAAAAAGTCTTTTAAAAATTAAGATTACGATGAGCTATATGATTACAATTATACTGATAGAGAGGATAATTTAACTTTGAAATAAGAACCTAATTCAATTAGGGAGATGTTAAGATAATCGTTGAAGAGAATGTTTAACTTACTCAAAATCGAAAGTGCTACTATATAACACGAAGTTTAACTAAATGAAGAATAGTATAGATTAATTAATGATTTAGCATCTGATGTAACTGTTGCTTCTGATGAAAAATCAAAGACCTTTCTATTTAAGATAATAAAAAGCATTTGCTTTATCACAAGATTACCAACATTAAACCCTTCTCATGTAAATATATTTGTTAAATTATTTATTCATTTTGATCTACATAATTATTTACTCATTATTAAATTAAAATCTAATTAATAATTATTTTAATATTTTTATTGTGAAACATTTAATAATAAAAATTTTACTTTTAATCTATTTAGACTCTCTCTTTAATTTGGGATGCAGCTTTAATTATTTTTTATTTCTTAGCTTTTATTTTACTCAGTATTCAGGTATTCTTGAATTCTGGTATATATAATGAGTAAAATATAATAAATAATTCTTGGATGAGACCTACTTTAATTGTGGTGCTCTTATAAGATATATTTAAAAATTTAATCACTGGATATTATTGTAAAGGAAAATACCAATCAGATTTGAATTACATTATTTATCGGTAAAAATTCTTAAATAAAAAATATTATTTCAATTCAAGTAAATATATTCAATAAAAATTTAGTTATGTAAAATGGTATTTTATTTTTGATTTAATACCCTTTATACCTTTGGTAGCTTAAGCAGAAGAATATTTAAACTTTGGAATAAAACTAGCTTTTTCAATTTTGTATTTGTTTAAAATTGTTAGCGTAAGACTTTGTTTAGAAAGAATTAGGCTGTCTTGGAATGTCACAAATACAAACTATGTTAAAAGATAATTTATTAAGCTATTGATTTGCTACATTCTTTTTATTCATTTTTTTGGAATAATATATCATGTAAAATAATTAAATATTTATTCATTATTTTTTTATTTTGAGAATATAATTCATTTTTGAAAAAATAATAATTTAGGGCTTAAGTCTGATAGAAATAGATTAAGATTATGATAGCGAAAATTCATGGCTAAAAAGATAAAATTTATATCCAAACACTTCAAATAATCATATATAATATCCTTCTGTATGGACAAGATATTTATAATCTTTACTACAAGCTGCTCTTATATTATCTAGCCAATCTTCTCAAATTCCCTAAACCAGATTAGAATAGTTATTCTCTATAATTGCTTCATTTTTTTCACTAATTTTATTTGCCTACTTCTTTAATGAATGTAACTTAATTTAAATTATTAGCTTTAAAAAAGAATTTTAATTAAATTAAAAAATTTAATTAATTTTTTAGCTTAATAATTTTATTTTATCATTTATATTTTAAAAGTATATATTTCCTTCAAGAAAATCGACAAAGAAGACTAAAGTTTATTAGAAGAAAAAAGGCATGTTAGTCACTATATGCAATAAATGAATGTATCGGGAAGCATAAGAGGAAGAGTTGCAAATTACTTAGAGTATTTACATGAAAAGAAAGCAAATATTAAAGCTTTACATTCTACAGAACTAGTTTTAAAGAAATTACCAAATGACTTAAAATCTGATTTAATTTATTCTACTAAAAGTTACTTTGTTCCATACTTCTAACCTATGCTTAAAAAATTTTCAAAATCAACTATCAACAATGTAAAAAAAATAAAATTAATTTTAGATAATTTTTGACATTCTTTGAAAACAGAACAAACTCTTTGAAAAAAAATAATTTATATTTAGAAATATTTTAATTCTTCATTTGTAAAAAATTAACAGATTTATAAAATTATCGAAGAACATTCTTATTAACCAGGTGAAATTATATTTTAAGAAGGTGACTAATCTCAGCCTTCTCTATATGCTATTATTTCTGGGAAAGCGGAATTGTATCTTTCTGGTTCATAAATATTAAACTCTTTGTAATCTTAGTAAATTAGCTCAAATAGATCATCTTAATAAAAATCTTTAAAAGTTCATGCTGTAAATCCATCTAAAACTTATACTAGATTAGCCCTTCTGAAAAGTAGGGATTGTTTTGGAGATATAAGCTTTTTTACAAGCTTACCTCCTTCAGCCTCAGCAAGGTGTACTGAGTTCTGTACAATTGTTAAAATAGATAGATAAAAATTTATAGATCTTTTGAATGAACTAAATTTAGAAGAGGATTTTGAGATGATGTGCATGCTAAGAGATGAAATTATATTTAAAAAGAATTATAGATGCATAAATGCTCGCTGCTGGTGCTGTTAAAAATTTGGCCATCTTGCTAATTATTGCAAATTGACACATTTTTATCCCTTAAAATCAAGAATAATTTAAGTATTTTATTATTATAAATATAAATAAATTAATAAATTTTATATAAATTTAATTAGACAAGAACTTCAAACTACAAACAACAGCGCTAGCAATTTTTTGACAGGAAAAAATAAACTAAAAAATATTCATTCTTAACTATCACTTAGAGATAAACAAAATTTCATGAAGACTATGCTGAAGAGATATCAAATTATATAGAAAAATATTATCCTGGATAAAGTAATCATAGTGATTATCTTCCATCTAGCTAGTCAGCTACAAGTGCAAATTAGCAATCCTCAAACACAGAAATATTAAGTGATAAAGTGGTAAAAAAATTATTTTAATTTTTAAAAAACTTCAACCAAACAAAATAAAGGTTTTAATTTAACTATTCAATTGATTAAAATTAAAAATTTAATAGGAATATGAGTAGCATATGCATGGTGGTCCTGGCAGTAATTTAGATTTACCACAACCTTTTAATTCAAACTTTAAACCAAGTAATACTTTGAATGAATCTTCTATGATAAGATAAGCTGGATCTTCAAAAGTAAAGCACAAAGTAAACATTTTAAATATTTTATATAATATTGTAAATTTAACTTAAATGAAAATAAATTGTAATTTTAAATAGGATTCTACAGATAGTGCTGATATGATGTTAAAAGAAATAAAGGATTCCAAAGGAAGAAAAGATAGTGCCCAAACAAAAAATTCTAATGATTCCTTTATCAAGCATAAAAACACTAACCGCTCATCAAATAAAAAAGACTCTCCTGTTGAAAATATCTAAAAAATAGAATAATTAGCTGATTCATCTAATAAAAGAAAAGAAAGCAGTGATAGCTCATTTTCTAAGCCTGAATCATTAATTAGAGATAAAACTCTCAAATCATAAAAAACAAGAGGTAAAATAAAATTGAATATTTTCATTAAAAAATATTTTAATCCAGTATCCTTGATGTTTTAATTTTTTTATTGACAGGTACGTAAAAGACCAACAAAACAAATAAAAGCGGTTCAAGTCTTTATAGAAGTAAATTTGAACACTCTGTTCCTACTTAAAGAATGGATTCAAGAGCATCATTTGCTTCTATTACAACTCCTCCACCAAAAGTATCAACTCCTCAGTAAAATATCTCTTAGGGTAAGCATTTAATAGCTTCAGTTATTGCATTAATTTCATGCCTCTAAAAAATTATAAACTGTTTTATTTTTTAAAAAGAAACTTTTATATATTTGATCATTTTAAACTTTATTAATAAACATAAATTTTTAATTTTTATTTAGAATTTATATTCATATTGTCTATATAAAGATAACACTAAAATATTAGTTACGACATCTGCGACAAAATAAAATCTCAAAAATAACCCATAGGCACCAGTGATTGCTGTTCCAAATGCACCTGAAAATCCAGAATCTTAATAGGATTTGAGTTACGAATTGGTTTTACCAAAAATTGAGCTAGTTTTAACAAATAATAATATCCCAAAATAACCACTAATTGATAATTCTCCTGATCACAATACTAACTTTAGTTCTATGAATTTAGACTAATAATCTTACTACAGTAAATCTGAAAGTAATTTAATACCTGGAATAAGCTCTCTTTATGTTGAAAGTTAGCATAGGCACTTCGTTTAGGGTAGCCTACTTGAATTCGATTGCATGAAAAACTTCAAAGTTTATAATACTAAAAGCAATCCTAGTAATGTTCTTGAAGCTCCTAGCTTACCCATAAATTTACATAAAAGATAATCAAAGAAAAAAGTAACAATTATTGCAAGTTGAAAAATAACAAAAACAAGTTTAATTTTAACAGGTTTATTTTACTTTATTTTATCATATTTATAATTTAGATGTATATATTTTAAGTTTTTATATATTTGTTAAATAAGATAGATATATATTAATTCATATTTATTATAAAGTTAAGCCTTATTGTTAAAATTAGATATTTATTAAAACATAGAGTTTAATAAGCTAAATTTTAATTTTTTTATTCATAATAGTGTTTTTATAGTATTTATTAAATTCTTTTATAAAAATTGAGATATTCTAAAAATTTCTATGTTATTTTTTGATAACAATTCAAAATTATATTTCACTCCTTACAGTTTATCTTGTACAAAATGAATGTTTTTAAATTTATTATTTCAATTTAAATTATTTTTAAATTTGAATGTCACATTTAAATTCTTTTTATATATTGAATATTCCTTTTAAACTGTTTCTTTATCTTGAACTATAGTAGTAGCTTAAATAACTCTTTATCTAAAAATACATATTTTTTATTTGTAAATCTTAATTTTTCAAAAAAGATTTAATTAAAAGGTAGTAGATATCATTAAAATAACTTAATAGACTAATTGATTCAATCAAAATATCCATATCCCAAAAGTAATAGTTATAATTTTCTAAGGGATATGTAATAAATAAATACTATTGTTGAGGATATTGTGGATTCCGTTTAACTTCATTTATTTTTCTTTTAATACACTAATTTTTAATTAGAAGTTTTAATTAAAATTAGAAAGTTTTTCCTTATTATAAACTTATTTAATGCGAATTTATTTAGAAATATTATGTTTACATTAATTATTACGCAATTTTTTTAGAAAAAATAATTAACTAATTAATTAACAAATATTTAGATCAGCAAAATAAATTACATCATTATTAATTAATTAATTTCGTTTATATATCTATATTATTAATGACTTTTTATTTATATAAAAACAAAATTCTGGTTTTAGCTAGACTAATTAGATTTATTCAATCAATCATCGCTTGAAGGAGATGGAATTAATTTATCATTTTATTTGCTTAAAAATAGCAATAAATTAGGATTATCGCAACACATTTTAAAAAATTCAAGTACTGTAATAATATCTTCTTTGCTCTAAAAAGAGCTTTACTTTAACCAACCTGGTGAATAGTTTACTATATAGTCTTTGAGTACAGAAGAGTATAATTTGTTTTCTATTATTTATCTAATTGATGTATTATTACATTTTTTATTCTTTATAAATTTGTTGAACTTTTATATAAAAATTTTCTTTTATTGCTAAGAGGGATTTTCGATTCTTTTGATATTCATTAATTCTTCATCTTATTTATTTCCTTCATTTTCATAATCGTATACGTAAATGTGATCAAAGCAATTATTTACATGTTATGTAAAGCCCTTAAGTATATTTTTAAAGGCATTTTAAATGTTAACTACTTATAGCTGCTTGAGGATACTTACTTCTTTAGAGGATAATTTAAATACAACTTAGCCATTTTAGTTACTCTCTTCCTATTTTCCTTGTTAATTATTTGTATTTTTAGAATTCTAGCTCGAATCCTTACTCATAATATTGATTTTTACACTATTAACATTTTATACTCCTGTAAAAATCTAGGGTTTTATAATTATTTCACTAGTCTGCTTACTATTTTACTGTATAGGTGTCTTTTAAATTGCTTCTTAAATATTATTTATTTTTTGTTATTCTTTCTATTTTTACTTTAAGTTTGTCTTATTTTATGCAGAAAAAGTTGTAAGTTCTTTTTCTAAAATATAATTTTATTTACTATTTTCTGTTATTTAACTAGTTTTTTCACTTTAACTCGCTTCTTAATTTTCATAGTTTGAGTAGTTTTGGCATTATTTATTTGTATCTGTATCTTAAGGTGATAAATTATATTCACTTTTAACTTAATTTTAGTAGTTCTAATTTATGATTTGCTAGGAGGATGAATTCATGTGAATGTTTTGATTGCTGTTAACAGGGAACATTTAAACAAGCGGTTAGCTATTACATACCATATTTGGATACTGATATTACATAGGATTAAATTAATTATAACCAGGATAAGGATGAACTTATGTGTACATTACATAAGGTTGGTAAGGTATTTACTAAGGTAAAGCATTAACTGTAACAGGAAATTGTATACAAGGAATACTTGGAGATTACATCACAAACGATGGAGAACATTATATCTATGGGATATTCTAACCTTTCATACTAGCGCTATCATATCCCTAAGCATATCCAGCATTCATATAAGAATTTTAGTAAAAGTTCATTATTAAATATTAATTTATGCTTGCTAATTTATATCAAAGTCTATATAGCTTATTTATTTCCTTCTTTCTTTTTGTTTTAGAGTTTTTGAATGTATATTTTTTTGATTTGTTTAATAATTTTAAATAGTTAACCAAGGATTGAATATATTAAATATGGGAAAAAGTAAGAATTTTTAATAATCTTTAATGAAAATTTAATGGATAAAGAAAAAATAAACAATTTAAAAGCAGGTCAATAAATCATAATTTAATAAACACTAATCTATTTATAATAATTTATGTTTTTTTTAGTTCTAAGATTACATTTTGCTTTTTAAAAGATAGCAAAAAATATTAAAGCTATAGAATTAAAATTGCAAATAGATATCAATATTTTTTAAAGATATATATTTTCATGTTACATTTTCTAGTTATAAAACGTTGAAGGAATCTAGATTTTTTGTATTCAAAATATTTTTAATTTTATTTAATTTATATTTCTATTTTTAAAAAAATATTTAATTTCTTGCAAATTAACATGTACACACAAGATTATATTTTCAAAATACAAAGTATTCATGCTTGAGATCACAGTTTTTTTAAATTATTATGACCACCTTTCAATATTATAGTGTAAAAATTTACAAATTTTTTAGATAAATCTTAGAAATTAATTAAAAATTAATCCTATTTAAATTAATATTAAATTATTAAAAGTATTTAATTTATTTATTATTTTTTAATTAAAAATAGTTAAATCAAATAAAATTTTTTAATTTTTAATTATTATATTTTGATAATATTTTTTCGTTAATTAAATAAATATATGGCCTTCTTGCCTAATTAAATTCCTAAAAATATTTGTTTTGCATTAAAAAAAACATATTTCTTTGAAATTTATAAATATTATTTTTAGCTAAATTGAAAATAACTTATTAAAAGATAAATATATTTTATTAACACTTTAAAGCATAAAATTGCATTTTATTAACAAAAATTATAGCTAGGTTTTCTATTAAAAGGGATAAACACAAATAATATTTTTTGCAATTTAAAATTTGAATATTTTTAAAATATTAATGATCTTATCTCTATCTTAAACTAATAAATTCAGAGTGTGAAGGAAGGGATTTAAAATGTATTTGATCATTTGATTTATTTTATTGGGTTTTTTGTTTTTGGAATAATATTTATTACATTTTTGGAATATATTAATTAAGTATATAATAAATTAGAGGCAAATAACACCAAAAGAAATAAATTTTTTAGAAATGAAAGAAATTAAAGTTTTTGGCATAAAAGTAATTAATAAATGATTACTAAATATAGATTATACTTGATTAAAATTCAAATTACAGTAACTTAAAATATATTTATAATGTATTTTGTTAAAGAGCAATTAAGAAAATTGCATTTCATTCATGATTATTCTTAAAATTTAACTATTTTATCAGTTTAGTTTGTAGAAGTTTCTCCTTATTATTATATAACTTGTATGGCATCTTATTATTATCTATCTGAAGTTTAAGGAATATTAATTGTTTTGCTTACTTTTCTTACTTAAGCTATGTTATCGAAAACTGTACCTTCTTATTACTATTCTTATTTGTTGTTTGTTTAGCCTGGTTAAGATTAATCCAGCTTGTTATTTAATTACTCATTATTTACTTCTTAAACTACCTCTAGATCTTGCTTGTTGCTGACTACTTTTTACATGATTATAGCAGATTTTTATTTTTTACTTCCTCTTTTTAATGGACTCTAGCGTAAAGGAGAATTGCTCAGGTAAGCTTAGCTTCCAGAGCTACTAAAAATAAAAGTACCAGTATTACTGTTATTGCTGTTTTCAAAATTATGAAGTTTGTTTGTTGGACTTCCACCATTTATATTTTATTCAGTTGCTTATTTATTAGAATTGGTTGGCATTTCTCCATCTTCACAGTCTTTAATATTTGCAAGAGAAGTTAAAACAATCGTTGGTGGTTTAGAAGACATGTTTCTACGGTTAAATCTTTTGTGAGAAGGAGAAGTATTATAGTCGCTTAAGTTTACTAGTGTTTTTATTTTACGTAAATCAAACATATCTTAGATATCTTTAATAGTGCAGTTATCAATATGTTGCACATATTTCATATTAATTAGAGTGCTAATTAGCATAATACCAGCATAAACTAAAAATGCAGCTTCTAATCCAAATGATGAAACTAGCAAAGGGAAAGTGTATAAACTAATATACATAAGGACATAAAACTGCATAATATATATTCCCAATCCTTCAGGAGGACATATCTCATATGGATAACCTATAAATTAATTAAATTATAATTAAAAAATGTTTTAAATCTATTAAAATGACAAAATATTTTTTCTGCTTTAAATAGTAAAAACAAAAAATATAAGTTAAGTTACTCCAATTAAATGGTCCAACAGTCAAAGAGAAAACCAATCTGTGAATAATAATGAAGAAAGCCATAGCCTTTTCTTGTCCAGCAAATCCTAGACCGCTAAAAATACACTCACAAAGAATCAGACCAAAGCATCCATATATGCAAGAGTTCTTTTTTCCAAACCAATTAATAATCTTGTTAGATAGAGGAGGTAATAGTATATCTCCTAAAGTAGTTGCTATGGAAAACATGGTTGCTACATTAGTTGAATAACTATTCTCAAATATTTAAGTAGAATAAACAGAGAGTACCGAAACTGCTGTGTAAACCGAAGTTACATTTAATTCTAATGCAAGAAGAGTTCTATATCTATATTTCTAATTGAATAAGTCGCAAAAGCTAATTTTCTTTTACTTATCGACTTCTTCATTTTCTTTCTTTACTGCTGAAATAGCTTCCATTTCTCTTTCAACATAAGATTAACCATAAAGTTTTGAGAAGAAGTTCTAAGCACTTTAATAGTCATTCTTTTAAAGTAAGTAAAAAGTTGGTGTCTCATCCTTGAAAACAAATATGAACAAAAGAAGATGAATGGCCATTAAAATAGCAGGTAAGCTCAATGGAACATAGAAAAATTTATTTTCAGTGTCAGCAGGATCAGATGGTAATCCAAATCCCTAATTATAAATATATAAATAATTAATTAATTAGATAAATAAACAGCTTTTTATGTAAAAAATATTATTTACCATCAAAAATGCAGTTAATACTCCCAAACCTTAACATCCACTAATTAAAGTACCACTCTTAGCGCGATATTCAGTAACTAAGACTTCCTGGCTATATAAAGGTGAGACGGTTGAAAATATGGCAAAAGTACTTCCTTGAAGTATTCTTCCTATTTATTAAAATAATTTTCTTTAATACCATTTTTTTTATTCATTTTTTTATTTTGATTTTTTGTTTTATTTATTTAATTAAATTTTGAAGTAATCAAAAATAGAATAGAATGTAATATGCATGCATACCTATTATTAATAATGGAGTATTTCTAAATAGTGTCAAGATACTACCGATAATTAGTACAACGCTAAAGAACATAAGGGATTTTCTTCTTCCGAATTTTTAAGCAAACTCTCCACTCCAAAAAGCTATACTTGCAGCTCCAAGCATAGGAAGTGAGTTGCAAAGGTTGCTATACATTGATTTTTCACTATCATCCCAGCCATAAATGTGTGGTAGATGATTTAACATAGTGTTGAACTCTGCAGTGACATATCCAGAGAAGAAAGTAAAGCAGCTTGAATGGAAAAATAAACACCAAAATCTAAAGGTATTTAAAATCATTTTTTCTTATTAAGGCTCATCCTTTTGGTTGTTGATAGCTGAAGTAGTTTCTTTGTCCTTGTTTAATTAGAAATCTATTACAGCAAGAGATGGAATATTTTGACAATTTTCAGTCATAGCTAATTGCAATATGTTATGTCAAAGTTTTTTGTTGTTTCCTAATAAGATTAAGATATTTATTTTATTTATATTTTATAAATGATTTATAAAAATTTTATTTTCTAAATTATTTTTAAATCATATTTTTGATGAAATATGGCTATTTAATGGTTAATCTTATTGATAATGGTAAGTTTTTTATTCGAAACATACCATAGAAACTATCATTAATTATGGTTATAAATCTTCTTTGTTTTGTGATTAAATTTGCCTTTTCATAAAAGATTAATCAGAATTTATTCAGCTAACCAAAAATTATTTATAAATATCGTAAATAATTTAATCTTTTTTAAATTATGTTACATCCCTATTTAGTTTTAAAATTATAAAAAAATGGATTTTAATTTACAGTTTAAAATTATTTTTTATCGTTATTGGCTCATTATATGCTTAAATTTATACAAGTTCTTTTAAATTTTATAGTATATATTGATGAAATTCATCTACTTCCTAGCTAATAAAATGATTCTGCATTATAAAAATGTCTAATAATTAGTATCCCAAACCTTACAATTTTACATACTTATTTAAATATTAATTTGTTAAATAGTGAGAGAATTTGATTTATCCAAAAAACTGTTTAGATAGAGATTATGAATTAAATTTTTATGAAATCTCTTAGATTAATTTACTTATTGGCTATTTTAGTATTTATTTCAAGCTTAACTCTTTCTTTTATTTATAACTTTTTAAAATTTTTTCTTTGAAGTTTTTATATTTGTATACTTCCTTCACTTATAAAATAAAATGTCTCAAAATTAATTTCTATATGTCACTATAAATCTATGATTTAGCTGTTAAAATTTGATATTTTATGATATTATATTCATTGAAATGCTAAAAAAACCTGTATATTCTAAGTTCATTTTAATAAATTGAATGAAATTAAAATAATAAGATTAATCTTCCATTTTTTCATAGTAAAAGGATAGTATTATTATTTTCGGATAAAATGTATTTAGTTATTAATTAAATACATTAAAATTTATATTCTAAAATATGAATACCTTGTTTTTAAACTATAACTCTTGCTAATTTTCTAAAAATCAACAATAAGTTTAAATCTTACAGAGCATAAAAAATCTTTGACATATTTTGTATAATAAACACATACTATGGATGAAAAATACAAACAATATGTTTTATAGTAGCTAAAGTAAAAGTAAATTTTAAAAATAATTTCGCTATACGAGCTCAATTATTTAGTGTTGCATGAATAGGAAAGTATTTTTGTATAATAGAAATACTTCAAAGAATAATTTTAACCAACAAGCATTTACAAATCATAGTATATCACGTATCAGAATTTATGTCGTTACGCACTAAAGATTTGAAAATCTTTATTGAAATGATAAATTTAATCGGTCATATAGATTAAATATAAAATTAAGTTTATAATTTATGGTAAAAAATAAAAAAAGTTAATCTTTCAAAAGACCATAAAATATCCAGATCAACTTTTAATGTTACATAAAATAATGATAAAATTGTTTAAAAATAAATAGCCATATTCAAAATCAGACTAACTAATGATTAAAATTTATCTATAGTTAGTTATTAAATTTGGAAGGATTTATACATTTTATCGGTATATAATAACAAATAATTATATTTATTTGTTCTGAATTTACTTTACCAAAATAAAATACAGAATATAAAACTATGGCTGCTTGCAAAATATATAATAATATTAAAAATATATTGCTAATTACATTTTTCTTAGCAATTTTATACTAAGTATTATTAAAAAATAAAAATAAAAAGGTGATTCAATTATGATTTTATGGAGCAATTAATTATTGCTACTTAAAATAAAAAGATTTATTCTTTTTGATTAAAATATCAAAAATTTAAATTTCTGTGAATCTTGAAACCAAAGTTAAACCAATAATTTAAATTGTTTAAGCATTTAAAAAATAAGTTTTTTATGTTTTAATAAAAATTCAATTGTTAATTAGAATTGTAAGCAAATACATAGATTGTTTTGCTGAATTTGTTTTCTATCCCTTGAATTAATGACCCAATAAGCAATTAATTTAATTAAATTACAATCATTTGTTTTTCAAAACTTAACCTGGAGGATAGATAGATGAATTATTAACTATCAGTTTATAGCTTTATAATTTGTATAGACTTATAATTTAATATAAAATCAAAAATGATTTGTGATTGTTTTGTCAAGTTTGCTTAGAGTATCCTTAAGCCATTGAATAAATGTCGCTATACGATTATGTGAAACATTAAATATGATACAAAATAATAACTTAAAAAGCTAAACAAAATTAAACACTTATAAAATACTGTAAATGCTCATTAATTAAGGCATTCCCTAAGTATCTTTTTTGCCCAAAAAAAAGTGCCAAATAAAAAATTTAAGAAAAAAATGCCTTAATTAAAATACGACTTAATTAATGAGCATTTACAGTATATTGTATTAAAAGATGAAATTATAGAATGAAAAACACTATTATGTCTAATAATAAAATGTGTAAATAGTTTATTTATAATGTATTTATTTTATTATTTTTAAAATACCAAAATATTTAAAAGAGAATAAACATTAAAATGAATGAATATAGGTTTACAAATAATATATATGTTTTAAATTTCAAAGATCATTAACTGCTTTATTAATAATATCAAGAGCTTCTTCAATTTGTTGTTTGTTAATAACGAGAGGGGGAGAGAATCTAATAGTAGTGTTATGAGTAGGCTTTGCAAGGAGACCTCTTTCTTTGAGTTTTAAACATAATTATGTTGCAGTAACCTTAGTACTTTCATGGAATTCCAAAGCGCAGAAAAGACCTCTTCCTCTAGCTTCCTTAATGAAAGGCTTTTGTATATCTTTAAGACCTTTTAGGAATATTTCTCCCATTTCCAAAGAGTTTTCACAAAGTTTTTCTTCTAAAATAACCTTTAATTTTAAAAAATATAATTTAATTCCATTGAAATTAAATAAAAATGTCTAGTTTAATTACTTTAGTGGCAGTTACAGCAACTTTGGAACCAAGTGGATTTCCTCCATAAGTAGAACCGTGCTCACCTGGATTAATTTACTCCATAACTTCATTATCAGTTAAAACTGCTGAAACAGGATAGAAACCGCCTGTAAGGGCTTTAGCAAGTAAAACCATATCTGGTCTAATATCATCCCATTGATGAGAAAGAAGCTTACCAGTTCTACCGAGACCAGTTTAAATTTCATCAATAATCAAAAGTACATTGTATTTGTCACAAAGTTCTTTAACTTTCTTGAAGTATCCTATAATAAAAAGAAAATGATAAGTTAATATAAAAGAAGATAGATTTTTGAAATAAATAAAATTAATAATTAATATTAGCATTTATATTTACCATTTTCAGGAAGGATGACACCTCTTTCTCCTTAAATGTGTTCAACAAAGAAAGCAGCAATGTTGGGGTCATTTTAGAGCTTAGCTTCAAGTTATTCTACGCTGTTAAAGTCAATCAAATCAAAACCTAATCCACCAAAAGGTCCAAATTTGTAAAAACGGGAGGGATCATCAGAAGAACCACAAGCAGCAATAGATCTACCCCAGAAATTGCCTTTGGCAAAAATTACCTTGAAAAATATAGAAAAAATAGATTTAATTTAATTTTAGAAAAGAGTATTTTCTTTATAATCAATATTTATGTATGTATTTATTTGATTATTTTTATTAAGCAAATAATTTCAAAAAAAGAACAAAAATTACGTCAATACAATTTGCCGTATTTTATAATAAAAAAATAATTAATTGATTAATTTGCTTTAAAAATATATTAACATCCAAAAAAAATATTGAGGATAACAGATTTTAATTATTTATGAATTATTTAATAAAAAATATATAATGCTTTCTAAGAAGTAATAAGAAATTAAGTAATATAAGAATTTAATCAATTGATTTAAATATGAAAAATTTCATTTCAAAAAACCAAAATTTTTAAAGTAAACTTAAAATTTTTTTACCTTAGCTTAGTTATCTGGGACGCCCTTAACAGTGTAAGCCCATCTACGTGCGAATTTGATAGCAGATTCACCAGCTTCGCATCCAGAATTCATCAATAGTACCTTTTGGTAGCCAAAAGTATCAGATAAGAATTTTTCACACTCTCCAAGATTGCTATTATAGAAAGCTCTAGAGGTCAAGGTAACTTTTTAAGCTTGCTCAATAAAGGTCTTAAGGATCTTGGGATGGCAATGACCTTGGTTAACGGCAGAGTAGGCAGATAAAAAGTCAAAATATTTTTTACCTTCAACATCAAAAACGTGAACACCTTCACCTCTTTCTAAAACAACTGGAAGAGGGCTGTAATTTCTGCAGCCATATTGCTTTTCCAAATCCATATAGTAATTTGAATATCCTAATCCTCTCTTGATTACCTTGCTCAACATTTTTTCAAATTTTCAAAGAAAAACTATCACACTTTCCCTTTCTAGGTTTTATTATTTTATTAGTTAAAGAAACAAGTTTCTTGCTGTCTTTTTGAACTATACTTTAATTAATTTTTTATGATTATATTTTTTTTAATTTTATGTATTTTTTGGTCATTCTATTTAAAGAATAATCCTTGGAATACTTTTTTTATTTTTTTAATTTTTAAGAAGAAAGAAAGACAGATAGATAGATAGAATGCATATCTTTTTTCAATCTATTCTGTATGAGAAGCTATTGACATTATTTACTTTATTAATTAAAATCCTTCCATTCCTTGTAAATGCTATTTATTATCCTTCAATTATCTTCTATGTTTATTTATAAAAAAATTGTGTATAAAATTGTATATAGATAAGTATAAGCAAAATAAGGATTTTTGTATTGAAGAACTAATTTTTACTTTATCAATGGAGTAATTTGATGATAGAATCTATTATATAACCTTTAAACAATGCAAATAAGAATATTTTAGCCGAAATATGTACCAGATAGAACTATTAATAGCATAGGATAGCTCTCAAAAAATTGTTTATATTAAAAACTATACTATTATTACTAGTTAAAGATAAGTATAAATGCGTAATTTTTTGTAAATAATTCGTACTATTGACTTAATTTTTGTTAATAAAGCCAAATAGAAATTTCTAATTCTTATCTCTTAACGAAATTGTCTTTTCCTATTTCAAATAAAAAAGTTAAGGCAATCAACTTTATTTTTGTAAATGACATACTTTATAAAACCATGGATATTTCTTTAATAATATAATCGTCTTCCAAAAATTTAACTGACTGTAAACTTTGATCAATTAAAATTTTTTTTTTATAGAACTAAAATAATCGATCAGCCTCCTAGATTATTTTATATTATCTATCATGAAAAAATAAGCTTTATTTATATGTTTTCAATAAAACTTCATAAATGTAAATTAATTATAAAATATTAAATATTAAATGAAGTTTAATTTAACCACATTAATTATAATTCACTGACTAATTAGTAAAAATCTTAAAGTATTTTGATAATAATATGAGTTTTATTTGAAAATTTTTGAATTACTTAATTAAATAATAAAAATTATTTACTTTTATCAGATAAAATATTAAAAAATACTGAATTAAACATTTTTATGCTCTGTTTATTTATTTTAAAATGAAAGCATTTACTTAATTAAATTTTGAATACTTTATAGATAAATTTTGAATACGTTATAGATAAATTTTAATACTTAAAAGATGGATTTGTGAATTGATGGATAGCTTTCGATGTGCTGAAAATTATAAATCCGAATTAGGAAATAAATTATAATGGACTAAATAATTTTTATTAAATCTATAAATTATTCATAAATTTAGAACAAAAAAAATTTTTCATGTTAAAATAAATACTAATAAATGTTAAAAGTAATGAAATAAAAAATCATATTTTTTTTATTCATTCATTTTAAAATTAAAATATTAACATCTTAAATTATGAATATATTGGATAGAAGAGTAGATGGATGGATGGATAGCTTTAGATATTTAAAAATCATGATTACATATTAAAGAATTATTAAATCTAATTTAGGAAAAAAATCATAATGAATTGAATTATTTGTATGAAATCCACAATTAATTAATTAATGAATTAATTTAGAACAAAAGAATATAGTTCATGTTAAAATGCATTATATTGAAGTTGCAACTGAAATAAATTTTTCAATTTTATAAGATAAACAAGCAAAAGTTACCTGAAAAATAATCATTTATTTATTTATTGTTATAATTTTATGATAGAAAAAATAAATACACAATTATAATAAAATAATATTTTAATATATAGTATTAAGCGATTGTTTTATTAGATGAGTTGGTGTAATCTAAAAAATATTGAATAAGAATTCATTTTTTTACAATTAAATTGATAATTTATTTGCACATGAATTCTAAAAATATATATAGCTACATTAAAAATTTAGTCAGATTCAATATTCATCTAAAGCTCTATGAACTTTTGAAAAAGTTATATTTGTATTTAGACCATCGAATTTATGCATTCCAGGGAAACTTTTTGAATAAGTATTGTCTTTAGGGTAAAATCTATTTGGAATTTCGAAAGCTGTAGGTTTTAACATACCATATTCTCTATTGGCAGTCATGTAAAGAGGATTACCAATTTTTAAACCTGGTTCAGGTGCTTTATAAGAATCTTCTTTCAATGGGAACTTTTTAGGGACAATAACATTTCTATCAAACTTACGCTTTTCTTTCATTATTTCATCCTCATCTTCTACCTTTAAATCACTAAACTTAGTTGCTACTGTTTTATTTTTTAATTGTTTCTCAGCTCTTGTAACTTCAGTTTAAGCCTCAACAAGCTCATTGTAAGTTGGCACAGTTTTATTATCTTATAAAAATGGCTATCCATAATCATTATTTGTTGTTTAATACATAGCTTTACACCCAAAGGAGTTATTTATTCTTTAACTGGCTAATAATTTATCCATTTTTATTAATTTCAACTAATTTATATTTTACGAAAGATGTTAATCTTTTAATTAATATTTATTTACATAAAAATTTTGTTTGACCTTCTTCCAAGTCCTATAAAGGCAATATTATAAATTAAAAATACAATCATTCAGAAAATAAAGTAAATAAACTAAGAAACCATTAATTAATTTGCTAAAAACCTAATATAAAATCTATGTTTGACCTTTTTCAATAGCTACTTTAAAAGGTAACTTATTCTTTTAATTTTGACTTGACTTGAGTAATAATCTTTTGAATATAATCTTAAAGCAATTTTATTTTTTATTTAAAATTTAATATTTTTAAAATATTTTATTTGAATAACTTTCTGTAATAATTTTCTTCTCAATTTAATTTAAAATTCTTAAGTTGTATTTAAATTTAAATATTAAATGCTTTCGATCATTTATTATTAATAAAATTTTAGAAAGAATTTTGATAATTTGTTAATTTAATTGAGTAAATTCTAAAAATGTTTTAAATAAAATCTGAGTTGAAAATTGATTGATGCTTTAACAAAATAAAGAAGCTATAAATCTTTTTATTATTAAAAAATTAATAAAAGTTTTATTAAAAAATTAAATAAAAATTTTATTTAAAAAGATTTTTAAAATATCTTTTTTTGATTACTATTTTCATAAAAACTAAATTTTCATTTTAGGGATTTTAAAATGTTATAAAAACCTATGAAAAATATTTTACTTGATGTATTCTTATATGTATGAAAGCAACTAATGTTAAAATAATCAAAATCAAAAACGGATACTGATTAAATTGATTTGAGTAAGTTTTTTATCAAAAACAAAATTAGATAATTAATTATTATCATTTAATTATTAGAGCAATATTGAAACTAAAAAATAAACATTCTTAAAGGATATTAATTCTAAAGTATAGTAGAAATAAAGATAAAAATAAAATAATTTCTATTATTACTTGTTATAAAAATAAAATTTTGAATGGATAAAGCTCCTCGCAAACCTAAGCAACTTTATAGAAAGGATGCTTAAATTAAATCTGAATAATATATGAATTATGATTTATTCCAAAATGAGGAATAGACATCATTTTTATCTTAATCTTTCTGCAGCTCAGTTTCCCAACGTGATAAAGATGGGGAAAAAATATTTAAGCCTTGTATTTCTAATAGTATATTAGATATAACTACTGATGATATATAAGTTGAATAAAGCAGAACTAATATAAAGTTTTTACCCATAATTTACCTTTTATCAAGTGGAATAACTATGTTTGGAGGAATAATAAATTAATTCCAATAAAGAAAACAAAAAATAGACACTTTATTGCCTTAGTTCCTTGAGTTACCTTTTAGATAATTGCACATATTCTAGGTATATAAAAAAATTTATCACATTTAATAATATAATCTTGAAATTAAATGAAAAAACTAACATACTTTCTTTATATATTTCATTGATATTGCTATTGTTTAAAAATATTTCAAAAAAAATAAATAGATTGGAATTGCTTTGACTTCAGTGACAGGAGTAATTAATCACATTCTAACATATTTAATGTGGAGACAAAGCAAATAACATTATAATGATGCTTAACTTATAAACTGCCTAATAGGAATTTTTTCTCAACTTTCCATTTTTGTATTCTCTATACTACCTTCTGCTATGCCTACCAATTTAGATATTAGTAAATATTTTAATTTATTTTATAAATTAATTTTAATTTTTAATATTAAAACTTAAAATTTTATTAGGATCAGAGGATTGTATGTTTTTAAATCTATATTTTGTTGCTAGTTTCTTATATTAATGCATATATATGTACTGCATGGTAAGAACAGTACCAAAGATGATCAAAATAGCCTATTCTTACTAAATTAGAATAGCCTTTTTCGTTATCTGTGTAATCGTCTTTGTCTTCTGTAATGCTTTATAAATTTTTTATTCAAATTTAAAATATTATAAACTTAAAATAGATGGTTTTACTGGAATTGCTGGTTAAGGTCATTATCTTAGAATTGATTAATTAGCTATTTAAAACGCAAACTCTATTTGTGCCTTTATTTTGTTTGCTTTGAATACAGTCTTCATATCTCTTTTTTATTTTGACCTAAAAACAGTAAACTTGATTCTAAAATTTGCTCACATTCAAGATGTAAAAAAGATAAGAAAATACAACCAAAGCATATTATGATTTTTGTTTGCTTAATTAATTAATATCGTTTTGCCTAATTGTAATACATATTGCTAATTGGTATTCATAAATTTTACTTGAAATTAGACTTTTGAAATGAGAGGGAAAAGTTTAAATTATAATAAATTTTGATTTTGTTAATGAAATTAATTTATTTGTTAGAATACTATTGGTATTAAGAGTATAATAAATAATAAATAATTCAAAAATTTTTATATCCATATAAACACAAATTAATTAATATTCTTTTGTTATTCGTTGCACGCATACCTTTTTTAATAAGAATCAATTAATCAATTAAACCATCCATTCATTTATTTCAACCTACCTACCTACCTACCAATAGCCAACGGAGATTTAAGTTTTTGATTGAATAATTTAATTTATTATGTTAATTAAATTGCTTAGATATGAAAAAGTATTAAAAAATATATAATATTGTAATAAATCATAAATAAAGCAAAATATTTAACTAATTAAAGAAAAAGTATAATAATCACAAGTTATTTTTTTGAAACTCCGCACTTTTTATTGAAAAATGTCTAAAAAGGCTGGAGGTAAAAAGAAGAAGAAACCAGAAGAGGAGGATCTCTCAACTGAGTAGCTTCCTAAGGTTTATCGCCGTAAATGCGAAGCTCTGCAAGCAACTTCTTGCAAATAGTTCAGAGAAAAAATAGAAGAAGCACTGGATGACTAAGATCATGTCAAAAAAGTATGATAACTTATAGTAATTAAAACAAGTTTATCTAAATCAATTCATAAATATATCAAAGCTTCATTTATTTGATCCTTTGCAACCATTAGGCATTAGGGCTATTATGGAGAGTTTAGCAGATCTAAAGTATAAGCACCTTCAAAGCATAAAATTAGTAAAAGTTGAATGTCAGGATGAAGGGGTTTAGTATATTTGCAACTATATGGAAAAAGGTTAGTGTGTTAAGCTTTTAAATTTGCCTCATAATGAAATAACTTTTGTTGGTAAAATATTGATTGATTGATTTTTTTATTAGCCTAGTTTATTGAATATTCTGCCATTCCAACAAAATAATTTATTTTGACAAATACTTTAATAAATAAAGGCTGTGAATTTTTAGGAAAAACAGTAGGTAATACTCTCCATGTGAAGCTTTAAAAGCTTAAGCTAGACTTCAATAACATAGGAACTAAAGGTCTAGCATTGTTAGCTAAAGGTCTGTGCATGAACCCTTTTTTAGAAAGGCTTTCTTTGAATTTTTGTAATATAGATTCTAATGGTGCTAAATATCTTCAACAAATATTAGCTTATGTAGATAGCTCTCTTCATACCTTAAAACTTAGAGGAAACTTTTTAAGAAATGAAGGTATTTATTAGCTATTTAGAGCCTTAGAATGCAACAACTGGCTCTAAAAGCTGATTGTTGCAAACAATTAATTTGGAGAAAGTGAAGAAATCCCAGTTATTGAAAAGATATGCGAAGTTATGATGAAAAACAATAGTCTTCAAATTTATGATCTAGACTAGAATGGTATTTACGATGATGGTAAAAATTAATTTCATAAAGTTATTTAATTTTAATTCAAATTTAAAAATAATCTTTGAAAAGGTGCTCGCAAATTGTTTGAGTGTTACAAAATGTATAAAGTTATAAAGAGAATACCATTACAAGACTTAATTAGTAAAGAAATCAAAATGGACTTTAAGAAAATCTAGAAGAAGAGAAAGTTCAAACTTAAAAAGAAAAAGAAGAAGAAGAAAAAAAAAGGCAAAGGCAAGAAGAAGAAGAAATGAAAAGCTATTAAAATTTAATAAATCTACATATTACTTTTACTGTATATATTTAGTTAATTAGTTAGTTAGTCGTTAGTTAATTAGTTTTAAAGGATTTTCAAATAAATATATAATCAATTTATATTATAAAATTCATTTTTTTTAGAGTACTAAATAAGGCTTTATATAATGTACCTTACTATCTATCTATCTACATACCAACGTATCTTTTTTAATAAATATAAAAATTCATATTATTTTTTCATTTAAATCAATCTTGTTATTTTTTTATCATTAACCCATCAATAACAGAATAACCAGCATTTACACCACCTTCATCATCAAAGTATCTCTTTAAAATAAAAAATATTTTCAATTTATAAAATCTAAGGTATTCAAAATAATTACCTTTGTCCTGACTAGATAACCACCAGCTTTATTGTGTATAATCTTTTAGCTATCAGAAATGAAATATGATATGATTCCTAATTCAGAAATTGAAGGAGCAACTTCTAATTTTCTATTTCTAATCATGAAAGTTATAGAAGGCTTTGGAATAATTTTTTCCATTAAAATATAATTCTTTCTTTCTGAAGGGGTAAGCTTCTCAAGGAAAGGGTAAATATTCTTTCCATAAATATTGTTATCTCCTCCTTCTCTTTAAGGCTTCAATATATAGTGCTATGGTTCATTCTTAGCCAAATTTAGAAGCTCCTCATGTTTACTTTCATCTTCAAAATCATAAATAGTTGCAAAATTTTCTTTTATCTTTTCACATTGTTATTTATTTAAAAACTATTCCATCTACCCTGCTTCTTATAAGGTCTTCTAAAGCTTTTTGAATCCTACTAATATGATATTAACAGATGGGCACTTTATAGCTTTAGTGAGCTCTATCTTTTCTCTGATTTTCCATATTTCCTGTAAAAAAAATATTTAAATATTTAAGTTTGATTATATTTTTGTACCTCATTTGGGAAATGATCAGGAGAATAGCCAGTGCGATAGTATATAACAGCTATTTCATCACCTTCTCTATATTAAATTAAAATTAAAGTTAATTTTTTAATAAATAGATATGTTAAATTTTACACTAACATAGTTCCATCATCTTTAACTTCAGTTTATTCAATTAACTACTCAAATGTTCTTCTTTTACAAATAATACCATGATCTCTTGCAAGTAAATATTCTGGATATCTTTAATCATAGCTATTACCTTCAAATCCTGAAACAACAACTAAAATTTAGCTATTTGGCTTATCATATAAATCATAAGCATTTTTTAAACCCTCAACAACTACAGCAACACTACTTCCTTAAAGGCCTGTATATTCTTCGAAGAAGTCTATATTGATTTAAAAAATATTAATTCCTTTCATAGCTTTTTATTTTATTTACTTTTGAGATATGAATTTTTTATTGTTCTTTAGAGTGATTACACTTATTCTGCAATATACCCAAAAGAAATAGATATTGTATTATATTCAACTTGAAGCCACTTATGCTTTACAGCACTGTGAAGTACATCATTCCTTATTAAACCCATTTGTATTTTCTTAAAAAAACAAATAAAAAGCTAAATAAAGTTATTTCACTAAAAAATTGAAGCTTACTTAAGTTATTTCTGATTTGTTTGCCTTTTCTGCAATTTTTAAAAATCCTTATAAAAGAGGGTCACTCATGCTTTTTTTATCATTTTAAAGTTAAAATAAAATCTTTAAACAAAATCAACTTACTTTTTAAATATTTCTTTTGCCCATTCAAAATTTTTTGACATTTTATCAATGAGTTCATTCCATAGTTAAGTCTTACTATAAAATTCATCAAATTCTTTCTTTTATATCTAAAAAAGTATAATTTTTAAATTGCTAAAATATTTGTTGTAATTTTAATTTACTAAAATTGGTGAAACACTAAAAGGTATGTGATCTGTATAGACCTTTTCCTCTCCATTTTTAAGCTGAAGCTTAAAATGATAAGAGCAGTTTTCAAGGTTTGCGAAGTCTGCAAATGTATTTAAATTTTTACTAGCTATTTTTTCTATTTCATTGTAAACATTTTTCACATGCTTAGAAAAAGGCTTCAAAAATAATGTCTAATTGAATATCCATGGCTAAATTGATTCAGTAGTCTCAAATTTAGAAATAAACTCTATTATATTTTCAAATTTCTCGTATAAAGGCCTATTAAGGTGTGAAAGAGTTTAGGCTAATTCATGTAGTAAAAAGTCATAAACAGTCAAATATGACGAACTTTAGAGGAATTAGCCACTCAAATAGTTATTAATTTTTTTAATACTATCCTCATCTATTTAACCATTTAAGATGTGATCATATGCAGTTATTATCTATTCGGAAACATCTGGTATTTAGTTGATAATGTTAACTTTGTTAGTAAATAAGTTATCAAAATTTTAGTTTATTGAGGTGATAATATCTTTGGTTTATGTTAGTTTTTGTTGATTGATAACAACGCTGAGTTCATCTTGGTCTTAAATTAACTCAAACTCTACATTATTGCTACCAAATAATGTGACATATGGCTCACTAATAGACCTGTATTATCCTATACTAATCTTAATCATATTCTTTTATTTTATAATAAAATTAAATTTGATATCTTTAATTCTTCTAATAAATAATTAATTAATTTTTATGTAATAATATAAAATCTTAAAATAAATAAAAAAGTTCTATCTATCTTCTCGAATGAAGCTCGAATAAGTGAAATTGTAAATTCTGTATGAATATGTTCTTAATTTATTCTACAAAATTTCTAGATTATCTGTATTTCTATTTCATTGAAAAGCTTAAATTATTTTAGGGGGTTGGGGTTGGGGTTGGGGTTGGGGTTGGGGTTGGGGTTGGGGTTGGGGTTGGGGGGTTGGGGTTGGGGTTGGGGTTGGGGTTGGGGTTGGGGTTGGGGTTGGGGTTGGGGTTGGGGTTGGGGTTG